CGTTATGGTTCACTCTCGTGCATGTAGACTTTGGTGAGGTGAGGTGAAATTGGGTTTAACGTCGCGTCCAAGATTATTGCACTTATATAGCGACGTGCATGCACGTGTCTGTGTGTGGCTGCTTGTACTAGTCCGGACTGATGCCGATTTATAGTGCTCGCACACTGAGATACTATGCCGCAATTTAACATGAATACTCCACTCAGATACCGCCTTGTCCTTGGTTTAGGCCCTTAATGCCGCGCGCCAGACAGGGTAACAACAGGTACCTTCTTTGAACGTATTTTGGTATGATGCGGCCGGGGATCAAACCCCGGACCCTCTGCTCTCCGGGCGGACGCTCTACCACTAGACCACGGATGCGGTCTTGTAGTCTTTGGAATATTATGAACCAATATTATGGATGGTGATTCTATTATTTTTTCATATTTAAAACAACGACATATTACTAATATCTGTCTTTGTAGTGAGTTGTTTCTCTTATCGATTAGCAGATGACTATTTTTGAAATATCAGGTTTTATTGAATATTTGAATCAACTTATCATATTGAGATTTAACGCCCCGCATTTCGGCGTAGTTTGCGTAATACAGCCGAGCCAGGATCCGCTGATATTAGTTCGAATCCCAAAGTCGCCCAGATTATAATCCTGGAGCCGGGACTACACGTCAGTCAGTTTGGGAGTACTCCTTCACACTGTGATATCACTGAACATGGCGTTTGACCAAACACACTCATACATCGCTCACTGATCACTCGCCAAACCCTATTATTTACCTATTTCGTGAGCGAGCTCTTGGGGTAACACGTAACGTTGAAACAGATCAACATCATGTTCTTATATACCGACGATCAGATTACCTTCGTCAACATACATGCATGGCGGCCGTTGTGCACTTACGTGTGGGGAATTAATCTCAAACGAAAACGTAAAATGCCTGTCTATGCACACACTCGTCTCTACTGCTTGAAGCTAAAATTCGTTGAGAAGCTATTACAGGAGTAATGACGATTGAAAGGGATATTTTAAAGGTCAGGCGTTTTGTGTGTATATACAATTCCTTTTCGTTACTGCGCAACAGCATAACTTGAACATACCAAACTCTCTGGGCTCGGCTCACTATGGCAAGGGAGATAACTACTGCCCCTGTTCAGCAGGTGAGTGTGAGGTGCTTTATGTCTGCTTCGGATGACACGGCATATTCCATAAACACTTTAAACTCTTTAAGCATGCATTTTGTCGTTAATTGTTACGTAAATAATGAAACTGCAAACAAACCAGTTTGTTTGAATGGTTTTTGTTCTAAATAGGTTCAGCAGGGACAAAATAATGCAAAGAAAGATACGTGACGCCTAAATTGTTTTTCTGATTGACAATCGAAATACTTATCGATTTTCAACTAATTGGGAGATTGGGAGTGGGGGAGAGTATTGATTGAACATCGAAGTACTCAACATATGTCAATGTCTGTATGAACATCTGTCCAAAGACAAGTGTGTCTTCATTTCTATGTGTAACATACAAGAGGGAGATGAGAAGGGAAGAGACCATTACTCAAACACGTATACACCTCCGCTAGCTGTACGACAGTACATACTGGCTGTCAGTAAGACCGTCTTTATCTATGAATAGTGGATACTCTAAGAAGTGATGCTTTTGAAGTGTTACCAACAATTGCATTTATTGTTGAAATATACCCAAAAGAGTTATCTCCCTTAAAATGAAGTTTCTCTTACAATTCGTTGCTTTTGCAAGTATGTGGGCTCAACGCTATGTGATAATATTCACATAAATCATTATACCCGCATTGGGTGAACTACTGTGTATACGACAAGCTTTGGGCTCTGGGGTATCCCCACGGAATTCCCCTTGGAACCCTTTTAAACTTCTTAATCTTTTCACGAAAACCCGGTGTCATCAATGATTTTCAGTGATCCATTCATAGAATTGTTCCCGCTATTTTGTCATTTATGAAATTTGTTTTGCCATATAATCGAGAATTATTATTCTCTGGCGTTGACGATTTTCAGTTGTTCCCACTGACAATACCTTAAATAACATAACCATTATATAGAAGCATCACAACATTAATTGCTGGGTCAAAGAACTAGGTATAAGTGACATATCAGATAATGCCACATAAAAGGCCAGTATCGTAACTGAGGAAGACGTCTGCAAAAAAAACCATGCATAGTACTATCAACTTTTAACTTGACTCTAAGACATCCAATCCTCTATTTATACTTGATTCCAAAACACCATACAAAGAGCGAGCTATTGCTGGGCCCAGCATATGTACCACCAAATCACCGTCTCAAAGATTAACAATAATCCTTACTACAATCAAGGAAGGACTTTCTTTATATTCACAGAAAGTATTTGAGACAAGTGGAAGCAATACCATGACAGTATTGTGAGTTCTAAAGAATTCAAAGGATTTGCTTGATATATTTTGGAAATCTTAGGAAAGAACCAAGTTCGACAAACTTAAGGAACAACGTCAATCCTTGATCCATTGGACATTTTTCACAAACAGAAATGACCACAGATATAAGTAACATATCTGTCTTCGGAGTTCAGGACAATTTGTCAAGTCTGAAAGCAAATGTCATGTGAAATTTACTGGAAGAAAATATGTGAAATGCTTCACTTTTTCATTGATAAAACCTACGTAAGATTTGGCATTTAGGCAAGAAGTAGGCATCCCCATCATCAACTTTCCCTTTATGTCGAGCAATATTCCAACAGCTCCAGGATTTAGTGTTCACATTTCACAACTACATTTCACAGATACAATCGAGCATGCTCTTTCTACGAAGATTTCAAAGAGCGTCATACGACTCTTGCTCAAAAGTCGTTTGATCAAGGTAACAATTTTCAAGGCCTCAGCAAAGCTTTCAAAACATTTCATGTCAGACATGTTGAGGACATTTCTAAATTTGACGCATTAGTGACGAAAATTATGACCGATGCAATTCCCTATTCTGTTCCAGTGTTTATTTAGGTGAACAATTGACTTGCCTTTGTGTGTGTTTGTGGCCGATGCCATCGGTGAGGCAGAATACACTCACCTTTTCGCGATCACCTGGTATCTTTCCTATTTGATAGTGATTCATAAACACGTATTCATGATATAGCCCATTTTGCAGACATCCCAGTTTGCAGACAGGTATATAAGATGGGGCTTACAGGTTTATCTATCTTCCAGAATAGAGATTTTATCTTTTTAAATTTTGTTACAATGTAGATGAATAGAACCTTCGTCATATACCCTTGGATCAAAGGGCTTGACATCAGTTCTAAGTGAAAGGCCCTCCCACCTCAAACATAATTCTGTTTATGCGTTTACTCGGTCCAGGAATGGCTCGTACAAGCTCTTCATAACACAACTGAACTGATATCAAAAGGATTATTAATATAAGCTGTGTTATAATGAGAATAGCAGTAATTGATAGTAACTGACTAAACTCTTTTTATTCAGTGGAGATCTTATTACAATATTTGCTACATAATGATATATGATAAAATGTAGGAAACCTTGAAACACAAGTAATCTCCTTAAAACTGTCAGTGGCGAAGAATTACGCATAGCTAAGTATACCACAGGGTTAGCCATGAAACCAACACGGACGAGATAACGAGACAAGCTCAAACAGTAGTCAAGCGTAATGTTTTGTTTGTTTGTTTGTTGTTTAACGCCGCACTCAGCATTATCCCAGCTATATGACGACTGTCTGTAAACAATCGTGTCTGGACCAGACAAGCCAGTGATTGATATCATGAGCATCGATCCACGCAATTTGGAATCGATGACATGCATCAACCAAGTCAGCAAGTGTGACCACCCGATCCCATTAGTCGCCTCTTACGACAAGCGTAGTCCCCTCTTACGGCAGGCATAGTCCCCTTTACGGCAAGCATGGGTTGCTGAAGACCTATTCTACCCCGGATCTTCAATCGTTAAGGTCTGCTCAAAGAGCAGCTGCTCAAGGACTGAGAACCCGACTTGACTTGGGTGCTGCTGGCAAACTTACTAAGTGAAATTAAGTTATCTTGATATCTTAAATCACGGAGAAACATTCTTTTATGTTCTTGACTAATGTCTGCAAAGTGGGATATATGTGGGTGATGCCATTTCATTGAAGAGATAGGAAGGTAGTAAATTGTAGTTCATTTAGCTTTGTCTTTTGTTTGTTTAGTCTGTATGCAAGGGGGCACTGGTGGCCCAGTCGTCTAAGGCGCCGCGATTCGCTGTGCAGGGTTGGGTCCCTTGGGCACGCCAGAAACCTATGATTGTGGGTTTGAATCCCGGTTAACCCCGATTATGTTTCTAGGTTTGTCAGCATCATACCCGTGCTCGTGGGTTTCACCGAAGTGGCAAACGTCTGAGACCTGTATCACTTCTTGCTTTCCTCCCACATGAAGCTGACATGCCGTGATATAACTGGAACACTGTTAAAAGCGGCGTTAAACCCAACTCACTCACTCACTGTATGCAAACTGGGGTATCAGCAAAATCGGGAGTCACCATAGCTGGAATCGTACAATCGACTGAGATTTTATATAAATATGGAAATTGTTTTGTCGCTTTTGTTTTGTATTTATAATAGTGACATTCCTGTAGGTAACAAGAACATCGTCTCTCCTACCCCACGGGAACATACATGTATACATAATTAAAGGCGTATAGCATGGTTGAATTGTTTACTTTGTTCTTTTACAAAATACTTTTTGCAGATTATCGGTGAATATTTACTAAAACTGGCATTGTGACCCTAACGATATGTAACAGTTCGTATATGTATACAATACACGGTGACAAATATATCTGTCAAAGGATAAACTCCAAATAAGCAGTTCAGCGAGCTGTGCACGCCACCGAGACAGATGGATGTGACAGATGTCATCATTGAGTCAGTAAGTTACAGTCCGCGTGACTGGCATGAACAGCAGGCATCCGAGGCATCAGAGACATCCAACTTCCAGACACAGTGGAAGTATGAATTCTAACGTCCGAGTTGAAGAGTTCCTCCAAGTTCTCGGGCGTAAAGGGCGCTATGAGATATGTCAGTACTTCTGGCTGTTCCTGTCCATGATAACAGTCTCCTTTGGGAGTCTTGGTTACATCTTCGTCGGTCAGTTCTTCTTCTTATATATACTTTGGTAATTTCATATGGAAAATTATGGTTGTTCTTCATACCCTTTCATATCCGCTAAGTTTTCAAAACATTACTACTGGGCTACATTTATGGTGGATGTAGTTATGGTTGCAGTAGTGGTGACATTGTTTCATCTAGTACTCGAGAAAAACCTCTACAATACTTTGGCTATAGGCAATTGGTTTCTATTGATACGAGCTCCGTGAAGATCCGGGGTAGAATAGATCTTCAGCAACCCATGCTTGCCGTAATGGGCGACTATGCATATCGTAAGAGGCGACTATGCTTGTCATAAGAGGCGACTAATGGGATCGGGTTGTCAGGCTTGGTTGATGAATGTCATCTTATTCCAATTTCCTGGATCGATGCTCATGATATCAATCACTGGACTGTCTGGTCCAGACTCGATTATTTACTTATTTACTTATTTATTTTCATATAGCTGGAATATTGCTGAGTGTGGCCTTAAACAACAAACAAACAAACAAATCTCTTGATACGAAAATGGCAATGACAGTCTACAAATATTTGATTCAAGACAAATGTATATATCTACGTATATACGTTCTATAAGGTAATAAAATAATTGCTGCCAATATTCGTTATGAAACGATAATAACTAAATGTGTTATTGCTGATATCGCGTTCAGAGAAAGCAGGTAGTTTTGAGAGACTGTATCCCTTTCATTTTGAAGATCTACCTCCTACCTAATTACCACGATTATATTACTGACTCCAGGCAAGAGTGTGACTCACCAGTGTGCTACCTTGTCCGCTCAGTCAATTGCAAACATACTAGCATCTCTTGGCATTCCTGCTGCTGACGTGGTTGGAATTGACACCAACTACTACAAATGCAGCGTGGACGTCACCGTCAACACCGTAACGTCGTCACAGACGGTGGAAGTAGAATGTCTGGACGGTCAGGACTTCGGGGATATCCTCTTTACGTCTGTCATATCAGAGGTAGGTATAGCAGTATGAATATACCTCTGCCTCATCAGAGGTGGGTATAGCACTATATATACACTCATGGTGTATTAGAGGTAGGTATAGCAGTCTACGTCCTCTCCTGGCATGTACGAGGTAGGTATAGCAGTCTACATCCACTCTGTTGTATTAAAAGTCATGTTGACGAATGCGAAAACTGCTTTATTTGGTGACATTTCAACAAAAGTAACAATTACATTTTTTGATTAACAAACATAAATTGTTTCCGTGATAATTTCCATTTCATTTTCAGTATACACGTTTTCAGTAACAACAGATGTAGTCACTAACAAGTGCAAATTACTGACTGTAGTCACTTACAACTGCAAATTACTGACTGTAGTCACTTACAACTGCAAATTACTGACTGTAGTCACTTAGAACTGCAAATTACTGACTGTAGTCACTTACAACTGCAAATTACTGACTGTAGTCACTTACAACTGCAAATTACTAACTGTAGTCACTTAGAACTGCAAATTATTAACTGTAGTCACTTACAACTGCAAATTACTAACTGTAGTCACTTACTACTGAAAATTACTAACTGTAGTCACTTACAACTGCAAATTACTAACTGTAGTCACTTAGAACTGCAAATTACTAACTGTAGTCACTTACAACTGCAAATTACTAACTGTAGTCACTAACAACTGCAAATTACTAACTGTAGTCACTTACAACTGCAAATTACTAACTGTAGTCACTTAGAACTGCAAATTACTAACTGTAGTCACTTAGAACTGCAAATCACTGACTGTAGTCACTTACAACTGCAAATTACTAACTGTAGTCACTTACAACTGCAAATTACTAACTGTAGTCACTTAGAACTGCAAACTACTGACTGTAGTCACTTACAACGGCAAATTACTGACTGTAGTCACTTACAACTGCAAATTACTAACTGTAGTCACTTAGAACTGCAAATTACTGACTGTAGTCACTTACAACTGCAAATTACTAACTGTAGTCACTTACAACTGCAAATTACTAACTGTAGTCACTTAGAACTGCAAATTACTAACTGTAGTCACTTAGAACTGCAAATTACTGACTGTAGTCACTTACAACTGCAAATTACTAACTGTAGTCACTTACAACTGCAAATTACTAACTTTAGTCACTTACAACTGCAAATTACTAGCTGTAGTCACTTACAACGTCAAATTACTGACTGTAGTCACTTAGAACTGCAAATTACTAACTGTAGTCACTTACAACGTCAAATTACTGACTGTAGTCACTTACAACGTCAAATTACTAACTGTAGTCACTTACAAAGGCAAATTACTGACTGTAGTCACTTACAACTGAAAATTACTGACTGTTGTCACTTACAACTGCAAATTACTAACTGTAGTCACTTACAACTGCAAATTACTAACTTTAGTCACTTACAACTGCAAATTACTAGCTGTAGTCACTTACAACGTCAAATTACTGACTGTAGTCACTTAGAACTGCAAATTACTAACTGTAGTCACTTACAACGTCAAATTACTGACTGTAGTCACTTACAACTGCAAATTACTAACTGTAGTCACTTACAACGGCAAATTACTGACTGTAGTCACTTACAACTGAAAATTACTGACTGTTGTCACTTACAACTGCAAATTACTGACTGTAGTCACTTACAACTGTTGCAAACGGCTGCTGTATATTACCATCTTCCCGAGGCATGGGCGTTAAACTGACTGTAAAATTCAAGTTTCCATCCTTGCCGAAACAATTTGGAATTCCGGAGTTACACTTTGGTTGAACTAACGAGTCTATGCATAGTCCAATCAAAATCGCGTAACGAAGTAGACATCCGTTTCGTAAACAACATGGATTTCAACGTGCAGCTTTCGGTCGACTGCAGGATTTGCAAAGCATGATACCGTCAGCTGGGCGTCGACAGATATTTTGCAAATCTTTTCATGTTTTTTATCAATGTGCTCAAGTGATTTGATGCACTCTTCGCGGATCAACACCAGTTTTGTTACAATACAGATCCTGATTATCGGTTAGATCGTCTTGACTGGGCGCCGCCATTTCGTTTGAAACAAATGCAAGTGATACGGGAGGTGGAATCTGATTGGTCCATAGGAGAGGTTTAGAAGGGATATAACTAGGGAAAAAAACACTGGTGGCGCTACGATTGAGCCCAAATGCAATTGCAAGTGATATGAGAGATGGGATGTGATTGGACAATAGAAGGGACACGCAAGGGAGATAAGTCGTCATAGCCTCTGGTGACGTTACGATCGAGCCTGGAAAATCCAGCCATGTTCGACTTTTATAGTCAGTTTACGCCCTTGCCTCGGGAAGATGGTATATGATATCCTTGTAGTTATTCTGTTTTGTTTCTTCCCAGTTCGGATTAGTATGCGACAGACGAGTGCTTGGCGTGTTACCCAAGATTGTTGTGATCGCCACCCAGGCTGTTGGCTCTTTGACCCTTCCCGTGTTGGCGGACTACGTGGGCAGGAAGCCGGTGTTGATTGGAGCTCAGGCTTTATCACTGATGTTGATGTTATCTCAAGCCTTCATCCGCAACATTGACCAGTTCCTCATCCTGAAGGCCCTCAGTGGTGTGTTTATTGACGTAAGTAGCCAGATTAAAATCTGCATTTGGGACCAGTACTAAAAGTATAACGTACAAGGAAGTACGGATTATCTATCTCGATAGAGCCTTGGCGGGTAGGTTGTTGTATATATTGCACATATTCTGAGAAATTGTGGACATATGCGGGTTTACTGATCTCTGTGGAACCATCACTTCGGTTAGTCTGTTGTCGGAACGACGACACATACCAAATTGATAACAACAAACTCATCCTGGTCTGATCTCTATATATTCTTTGAAAGAACTGTTTATACTTCGTAACTATTTTTTCGAGACGTGCGTAATTTGGTTACTTATGCGGAGTAATACAAATCATCTGACAGAATATCACTTTGACAAGAGACGGTTTGTAACAAGTTTCTTCTAATTTTATAACAACCCATATTCCTTATTATAGTATCTCGTGAATTATTCTCTAATTAAAATTCTCAGTGAGAGGGTTATTGAAGATAATTGCACCAATATCCGATCCCAGGGTAATATTAAAGTCAAAGTAATAGATGCAGTCATATGTCAGTATAAAACTACATTTACTACCTAATGGGGCCGTCACACCATGACGTTCTGGTCAGCGTTCTATGACGTTTGAGGAAACGTTGGTAGTCGCCCATAGTCGCTGGGATAGCGCCAGAAGAGCGTTGTGTGAACGCTAGTGAACGTCGGTGATCGCCGGGAATCGGCGGAGAACGCTGGTCCGGAAAAAAAGTTTTGAACATGCACAAAAGTTCTCACTGAGACCAGCGTTCTTCAACGTTTAATTTTAAACGCTGAAGAACGTTTAAGAACGTTCGTTGAAAGTTTTACTAACGTTCGCCGAGCGTTGCACGCGTTCGGCTATCGTTAGTCAGTCGTTACTCTAGCGTTACTTGGTTGTTACTAATCGTTTGCTTTGCATTGAACGACTCACTGGCGACCCGTCAACGACCGCTGAACGGTCCCCTAGCGCACGCAGCGTGTGACTAAAAATAACACGCCAGCAAGACGCTATTCTGTCGTTATTCACACGTTAGTCACACGCTCAACACGCTCGTCTAACGTTGACAAATCGTTCGTCGCGCGCCAGTGGCACGTTAGCACACGCTAATGGTTTTCAGGGGTATCTTACTTGGTCGCTGTTACACGCTTCTCGTGCGTTAGACACACGCTAGTCATGCGTTAGGCACACGTTAATCACACGCCCAGATGTGTCATCCTCATTCTAGAACGCTCAAAAATTGAACGATTGAAATGTTCAGAGAACGTTGACCAGAACGTCATGGTGTGACGGCCCCTTGACACGCTATTATTGATTTAATCTGTGAATCGTTTTCTTTTTCTTCAAGGGTGCCCATTTAGTATCGTTTACAATGGCTTTAGAACTAACCCTCGACAGAGACCGGAAGTACATCGCCGTTTTATTCGGTTTGGGCTGGTTCCTTGGATCCGTCACCCTGGTAGGCGTTAGCTATGGCTTTCGTCTGGATTCCTGGAGGAGCATACAATACTTCACTGCGGGAGGATCGCTATTCGTTTTCGTGCAGATACTGTAAGACCATTTCACTTTCAATCCAATTCCTTGGAGCACTCTAATATATTACGTGTTATCCATAGACAAGCGAAGTTTTTATATTACGCCATACACCACTGTAGTCATGTACATAATTTTTCTTGGTAACTACCATTGTATGTGCACGTGTCGAGGTTGGAAGATTGGATTTAGATGAAAGGGGAGTAAGCCTTGGTTCAGGATTCACATTACTGAAAAGTAAAGTGCTTCATTTTGGTAGCCCACGTGGTGTAGGTAGGTTAGCGGTCTCCTCAGCGGGTAATATGGATCGAGCGTTGAATTCCATAGCATCTGAAAAGCTTATTCGCGTCGATGTAATTCCGTGAACCGAGGAACCTTCCCTTCTCGACTGAATGGAATCATTCGCCCCCGGCATGTTAACAACAGACATAACGCTCGCTAGTCTAATAACGTTCAGTTAATGAGATGACACCTTGTGACCGGCTATATCAAGCGTATCGCATGAAATGACTTCTAGTTAATTAAGGAGGCTTAACTGTCTTGTTCTATTCGCATTAGGACTTGTACCGTTGTTCATTGAAATTGTACCGATGACTTTATCTTCCACTCAAATTTTAGTGTAGCCTGCCCTTCTTATGAATAAAAACAATATTATATGAATGTATACACATTGAGCATTTCATTTGCATTATTTCATCAAGATAAAAAGCCATTAAAAGTCCGATGTGAAATGCCATGCGTGCTTTGTTACATCATTGTCTTTGGTGTTTTCTTGTAGGGTTGTAGAAGAATCTATCCGCTGGTTGTTTGCCGTAGGTCGTAATGAGGAGGCTCTGCAGTTGGTTGTCCAAGCCGCTGAGGTCAATCATGTTGATATCAACAAGACTTTAAGTCGGTACCATGCTCGTGTGAAGACCCCAAGATCAAGTGAGAGCAATGAACCATCCAGCTCAGCACCATATTCCACAGCGGAAACTTCACCTGACACATCAAGTACCGAAAACCCCAGTGATGTAACACCAACAAGTCCTGAACACGAAGGTGCATCAACGACGACTGCAGCAGTTCCAACAACATCACTATCAGGGAATACAACGCCAGCAGAGACACCAATGTCGGGGACACCAGGGCCAGGAATTGCGACATCACCTCGAGCGACCTTGGTGAAGGCAGAGAATCCCGAAGACCGTGGTTGCTGTGGTATAATAAAGAGCAAACGCCTGCTGAGGGAGACGGTGATTTTTGCCTACGTGTGGTGAGTTGAGAGCTATTTCCAGAGACCTGCACGATGTGCAACCTGAGTGAGGTAAGTTGGGAGACCTTTCCGGAGACCTGCACGTTGTGCGACCTGCATGTGTTGATTTGAGAGTGAGTGAGTATGGTTTTACGCCGCTTTTGGCAATATTACAGTAATATCACGGCGGGAGACACCAGAAATGGGCTTCACATATTGTACCAACGTGGGAAATCGAACCCGGGTCTTCGGCGTGACGAGCGAACGCTTGAGCCACAAGGCTCTGGTGAGTTGAGAGGTCTTCCAGGCGACTTGTGTCTGATGAGCTAAAAGGTTATCCCAAGTGACCAACATTTGGTGAGTTGAGAGGTCCTCCCAGAGACCTGCGTGTTGTGCGTTGACAGGTCCTCTCGGAGACCTGCGTGTTGTGAGTTGAGAGGTCCTCCCGGGGACCTGCGTGTTGTGAGTTGAGAGGTCCTCCCGGGGACCTGCGTATTGTGAGTTGAGAGGTCCTTTCGGAGACCTGCGTGTTGTGAGTTGAGAGGTCCTCCCGGAGACCTGCGTGTTGTGAGTTGAGAGGTCCTCCCGGAGACCTGCGTGTTGTGAGTTGAGAGGTCCTCCCGGAGACCTGCGTGTTGTGAGTTGAGAGGTCCTCCCGGAGACCTGCGTGTTGTGAGTTGAGAGGTCCTCCCGGAGACCTGCGTGTTGTGAGTTGAGAGGTCCTCCCGGGGACCTGCGTGTTGTGAGTTGAGAGGTCCTCTCGGAGACCTGCATGTTGTGAGTTGAGAGGTCCTCCGGAGACCTGCGTGTTGTGAGTTGAGAGGTCCTCCCGGGGACCTGCGTGTTGTGAGTTGAGAGGTCCTCCCGGAGACCTGCGTGTTGTGAGTTGAGAGGTCCTCCCGGAGACCTGCGTATTGTGAGTTGAGAGGTCCTTTCGGAGACCTGCGTGTTGTGAGTTGAGAGGTCCTCCCGGAGACCTGCGTGTTGTGAGTTGAGAGGTCCTCCCGGAGACCTGCGTGTTGTGAGTTGAGAGGTCCTCCCGGAGACCTGCGTGTTGTGAGTTGAGAGGTCCTCTCAGGGACCTGCGTATTGTGAGTTGAGAGGTCCTCCCGGAGACCTGCGTGTTGTGAGTTGAGAGGTCCTCCCGGAGACCTGCGTGTTGTGAGTTGAGAGGTCCCCCCGGAGACCTGCGTGTTGTGAGTTGAGAGGTCCTCCCGGAGACCTGCGTGTTATGAGTTGTTAGGTCCTCTCAGGGACCTGCGTATTGTGAGTTGAGAGGTCCTCCCGGAGACCTGCGTGTTGTGAGTTGAGAGGTCCTCTCGGAGACCTGCGTGTTGTGAGTTGAGAGGTCCCCCCGGAGACCTGCGTGTTGTGAGTTGAGAGGTCCTCTCGGAGACCTGCGTGTTGTGAGTTGAGAGGTCCTCTCAGGGACCTGCGTATTGTGAGTTGAGAGGTCCTCCCGGGGACCTGCGTGTTGTGAGTTGAGAGGTCCTCTCGGAGACCTGCATGTTGTGAGTTGAGAGGTCCTCCGGAGACCTGCTAGTTGTGAGTTGAGAGGTCCTCCCGGGGACCTGCGTGTTGTGAGTTGAGAGGTCCTCCCGGAGACCTGCGTGTTGTGAGTTGAGAGGTCCTCCCGGAGACCTGCGTGTTGTGAGTTGAGAGGTCCTCTCGGAGACCTGCGTGTTGTGAGTTGAGAGGTCCTCCCGGAGACCTGCGTATTGTGAGTTGAGAGGTCCTTTCGGAGACCTGCGTGTTGTGAGTTGAGAGGTCCTCCCGGAGACCTGCGTGTTGTGAGTTGAGAGGTCCTCCCGGAGACCTGCGTGTTGTGAGTTGAGAGGTCCTCCCGGAGACCTGCGTGTTGTGAGTTGAGAGGTCCTCTCAGGGACCTGCGTATTGTGAGTTGAGAGGTCCTCCCGGAGACCTGCGTGTTGTGAGTTGAGAGGTCCTCCCGGAGACCTGCGTGTTGTGAGTTGAGAGGTCCTCCCGGAGACCTGCGTGTTGTGAGTTGAGAGGTCCCCCCGGAGACCTGCGTGTTGTGAGTTGAGAGGTCCTCCCGGAGACCTGCGTGTTATGAGTTGTTAGGTCCTCTCAGGGACCTGCGTATTGTGAGTTGAGAGGTCCTCCCGGAGACCTGCGTGTTGTGAGTTGAGAGGTCCTCTCGGAGACCTGCGTGTTGTGAGTTGAGAGGTCCTCCCGGAGACGTGCATGTTGTGAGTTGAGAGGTCCTCCCGATGACCTGCGTGTTGTGAGTTGAGAGGTCCTCCCGGAGACCTGCGTGTTATGAGTTGTGAGGTCCTCTCAGGGACCTTACCTATGTGAGTTGAGAGGTCCTCCCGGAGACCTGCGTGTTGTGAGTTGAGAGATCCTCCTGGAGACCTGCGTGTTGTGAGTTGTGAGGTCCTCCCGTAGACCTGCGTGTTGTGAGTTGAGAGGTCCTCCCGGAGACCTGCGTGTTGTGAGTTGAGAGGTCCTCCCGGGGACCTGCGTGTTGTGAGTTGAGAGGTCCTCCCGGAGACCTGCTTGTTGTGAGTTGAGAGGTCTTCCCGGGGACCTGCGTGTTATGAGTTGAGAGGTCCTCCCAGAGACCTGCGTGTTGTGAGTTGAGAGGTCCTCTCGGGACCTGCGTGTTGTGAGTTGAGAGGTCCTCCCGGAGACCTGCATGTTGTGAGTTGAGAGGTCCTCCCGGAGACAAGCGTGGTCTGTTAGAGCAGTGTCCTTATTCATACAGAGAGGGCATTTCTTGTGTTTGTGATGCAGCGCGTGACATACTCGAATAGCTTTTCTGTTCAACAGGTTTGCTGTGGGCTTTTCTTTCTTGAGTTTGTACCTGGCTGAGACGGTGTTGGCGGACAACCTTTATCTCAACTTCTCTGTCAATGTTCTGTCGGAACTTCCGGCGGGGATCATCTTCTTAGTGGCGGTTGACAGGTTCTCTGCCATTCTCCCAGATCGAATCTATGAGCCTCAACACCTGGTGTTATCACTGATATTTTGCACTTATTGTAGTATTACTGCTTGTGGAGAATACACGTATGAGGTTCCAGTACTTATTGTAGTATTACTGCTTGTGGACAATACACGTATGAGGTTCCAGTACTTATTGTAGTATTACTGTTTGTGGACAATACACCTGTGAACTTCTTGTACTTATTGTAGTATTACTGTTTGTGGACAAAGCACCTGTGAGCTTCTTGTACATTCAAACCTTGATATCCCGGATTCCCTCAATGTGGAAGCCCGCCGTCGTTTCAATTCATAAATTTTACACAATGTATTTAATGTTTCAGAAAGTGATAAAACGTATAATAGATTCTAACAACAGAACGCTGATATACCCTTTCAGAAAAGAGCGGTTGTTGTGTTGGTGCTATATGCAGTACATCACATGTTCATAAAGCCGCATGATCTGCACCAGTGCGTTCTAGATTCATATCCATGGACTGGTAGTAAAGTAGCTAAATGATGTTGTGGCTTTAAGCGTATACATGCACTCCAGGAAAATGTTCCGACGACTGTTGTTTTTCTTACAGAATTGGGCGGAAGAACACAATGTTCATGTTCTTTGGTATAGCCCTTGGGTTCCTCTTCGCATGCACCCTGGTTAAAGTTCTGGCAGGTAGGGCAGTTGATCTCCCATCAAAAAATCTTGTATTTATATAATATATAATATATATCACAGAGAAGGTAACTCCAATTTGGCTAATTTCCACAAACAAAGCAAGGAACACAAAGAGTTTGTCTTGTCATTGGAAAGGGTATGTAGATAAAACTGTTTCATTTTACTTTTGACAACAGATGTGGCCGTTCAGACGTATGTGGTACCTGTGTGCGGATTGATCGGGAAATCTGGTATCGCTGGACTTCAGTTGACGCTATTCCTCTATACTGGAGAAAGCTTCCCTACATCTTCGCGGTAACTCTCTCTCTCTCTCTCTCTCTCTCTCTCTCTCTCTCTCTCTCTCTCTCTCTCTCTCTCTGTGACTTATTTTCTGTTTTTCCTTATAGATTGATTGGGCTCGGCACTAGTTCGCTGGCAGCAAAGTTCGGAAATTTGGGTGCTCCGTTTGTCTTCTTTTTCGTAAGTATGCTATTCAAGATCTTCACCGGAACATAGCCGATGGTTCTGTCTATCAAAAAAGCAATCAGTGTGAACCCTTATCATGCTTTATACAGTAATATCCATTGGTTCATTGTCCGTGGAGACCAACCCAAGTGCAATTTCTTCTTGTCAGTATCGCTTAAACCTATGGCACTACTGCAAACAAACTCTCTAGGGAAGGCAAACCCGTCTAGGACAGAGCGTTTCTCCTTCTAAACAGTGTGGCCAAACAACACAAACATGTTTAATGTAATAATGTACTGTTAGGAATGTTTAGACTAATTCGTAATTATTTATGTATTGCGTATGTACGCATATCATTATAAATCTGTTTACATCTGTCCAACTATTACTCACCCCAATGTAACTTTCTCAAAACAACAACAAAAACAGCAACACGAGAGTAATGCCCCGTGCAGATCCGGGCTGGTATTGGTCTTCAGCAACTAATGCTTGTCGTAAGAGGCAACTATGCTTGTCGTAAAAGACGACTAACGGCATCGGGTGGTCAGGTTTGCTGACTTAGTTGCTGCATGTCATCGTATCCAAACTGCTTAGATTGATGCTCATGATGTCAATCATTTGATTGTCTGGTCGAGGCGTGATTTCTTTTAGACCGCCATCATATAGCTGGAATATTGCTGAGTGCGGCGTTAAACAACAAACAAACAAACAGGAGTGGTCATGTCAGGATTGACCTGCAGACATATGCACTGGCACGATGCTACCGTATAGAACCATATTAGGGGCCGACTACAAAAATTACATTGTTGCACCGTGTTTTTCTTAAACAAATTGGGACGGCGGGGTAGCCACACCGTTGGCTCGTAACGCAAAAAGACCCGGTTCGTGTGTGAAGCCATTTTTCCGGTGTCCTCCGCCGTGTTATTGCTGGAGCATAACTAAAAGCGGCGTAAAACCATATTCACTCTTTACTTTCCTGAGAAAGTGTAATCCCTAATATAACATGTGTTACATTTGACCATTTTCGAAATGGCATTGTGTGTTCATACCTTTCGGCCATGGAAGCCTTGCCAATTTACACTGTCAGAGGGGTACACAAAGTATGTGACCTAGACTACCAGTTGTCGGACTTCACATTTTGTGGAAGCCTCGGTGGCTGAGTGGGTTAGATCGCTGACTTTGTGTGCTGGCGATTAGATGACTGACTCTGGCAGTGGGTTCGAATCCCTGACGGCACGCAACCTACAAAAAGTACGAGAAACTGTACTTTTCTATGAAAGCTTTTTACATTAGAAAAAATGGCTGAAAGTATCCTGTCAAATGCACTCTCATCCTTGCAATGCTACAGTATAATGGCCGCCATGGTCTCGGCACGCTACAGATATAAACATATATAGTTTCCATGTCACCTGAATATAGTTTGCCGATGCCAGGACATCTGGCTGTTACCACCGTATATGTCTCCCGTTATGATTCGTGGTTGGAATAAGGCACCAACAACCTATGCTTGTTGTAGGAGGCCACTTGAGGGGATCGGGTGGCGAGGCCACTTCAGGCTCGGTGGCATTGCCGATGGCGTGTCATTAAACCCCTGCGGCGTGGATCCTTGCCGTAATATCAATAAATGTATTGTCGGGTCCAGACTCGATTACCGGCCGGTGTCATATAGCTGGAAAATTGTGTGGCGTTAAATAACAAATATATAAAACAAACATATTTAACCGTTGCTATTCCAGGAGGAAGAGTTTCCATGGCTACAGACGACACTGATTGTGATCCTGCTGCTAATAGCCACGTTTGCCATCTTCCCCCTGCCCGAGACGAAAGGGAACGACTTACCAGAGAGCGTCGCCGATGAGGACGACTTATACAATACATGACTTGACGAAATACTACATCTTCTCAATAATATGATGTAAACTTTACGAGTGCCTTGCGCTATTGGGGTCAATATTCAATAAATGTTGGATAAAGATTTTTCATTCTTTTAACATAGCACAATGTTTGAGAAAACCTGGCATTGCTTCACTTACAAATACGCTCATAAACAAATCTTTTCCAGACATGAAGCAATGCCATAGCAACATTATTACCAGTCGTGAAGACATGCAAAAGCAGCATTTATATCAGACATCTAGACAAGCAATGGTAAGGCAGATATCACGCTTGTGTGTTTTGAGATTATACAGTGTCATTCTTCAGGGGCGGAATTTAAAAAGGGAGGAGGGGGATATTCCACTTTGGCCATTTGTAACATCGAAGGAGGGGGGGAGGGGGGGAATTCTTGCATACAAAATGTCATCAGATGTAAAAAGAAAGGGGGGGGGGGCACCCCCAGAACAAACACCGGGTCCGCCACTGTTCTTAAATTATGTCGTTGAAAAACTGTTCTCATCTCTCACAAACATGAACTTATCATTGCAAGTTTTCCTTGAATTAGCGCATGGATATACATGTATATTACGTCAGGAGATCGGGGATTTGTCAGTCGAACAGTGACCGTCGTCAGTATAGTTCCACCTGAAACCAATTTCTCCAGATTGCCGATGGTTTATTCCGACTCGATCGCCGATTGAAAAGGGCGACGCCATGTTTGTTTGTAAACACTGACCTACCTGGTTTTTGATATTTGCATCTATATCCGTATATGACCCAAACGGATATGTTTTTATACGTTGGCTTTATTCTGCAAAAGAAACCTGCCTATCGTATGATAGAAATGCATATCAGTATAAAGACGTGCAATAGCAACATACATATCGGACAATAAAGTATACAATGCCACACGTATATCTGCCCACGGGCATACGCCAACAACATAAGGGCGGTCGGGTAGCCGAGTGGTTAAAGCGTTCGCACGCCACGCAGAAGACCCGGGTTCGATTCCCGACATGGGTACAATGTGTGAAGCCCATTTCTGGTGTCCCCCGCCGTGATATTGCTGGAATATTGCTAAAAGCGGCGTAAAACTATACTCACTCACTCACCAACAACATAATATATTTAATTGATCTTGATTTTGTCAGTGTTTTGGGGGGCTAGTCAGTTAGTCTCGAGAGCGATGACGTGTTGCATTTACATCATGTTTACACGAGAAGTTGCCAGGCAATGACAAATTAGGAACGTCTCAGCGCTGACATGCTAATTGTATTCAAAATATTGGAATATTGCTCGACCTTAAGGGAAAGTTGAAGTTATCTCTTGTCATACAGTTTTGTGGAGAGTTTTTGTCGCACTGAATCTTTTAGCATAGATCTAAAAGTGGAAGGTGAGACTGTCCTTTACTTCTAGTACAGGAGGGTAAACCGGAAAGTTTTAAAAAGGGAACTGGATATTTGATCATTATTGTGAACGATATCAGATCATGACTATACCTGAAGCTTTAGTAAAACTTCTAGTTCAAATTCCGGTGTTTTCATTTTGACAATACGAGCAGAAATTCCAATTCAAAGTCAAAATGTCCAGACAAAGAAAGGCACACACATATATTGTTTCTACAGGGCTTTCTGGGGGCAAAGGACCCAAGCCGCAGAGGTCTACAAAGGTATTCGTTAAGAAACAGATCAGCAAGAATCAGCCATAGAAATTGGCACCAGTCCTACAGTCATTTCCAAATTGCCCAATAGTTAAGGTATCATAAGTACAAGTAGAAATTTGCCATTTTGATATATGTTGTCATTATAAGAACTAGTGGACTAAAACTGTTAGTTTCTAACGCTGAGGAGTGGTGTACAATTGGTGCCCATTGGAGTGTCTACTTCTTGCTTAAATGCCCTCTCCTCAAATTCCAGCGTTTAACATACTGTTTTCTCAGTACAAGTCTGCCTTCAGTTTTTGAAAATATGTCCTTTCGAAGTTATTGCCGTGAGGAGCACGTGGGACGTAAATCGTCTCGCCAACTGTTCCCGAGTGTTGTTGTTGTTGTTGTTGTTGTTGTTGTTGTTGTTGTTTTTATGTATATGGAATGTTGTTAATTTACTATTTAGCTGTATGCCTTCAGCCTGAACAGAATGTAATCTAGGAAATAAAATATAATTATAGTTAAGAAACGTGCCCTTTTCCAATAAATTAACAGCATCAAGAACAATTAAAGAACTACCAATGCATACAGGTAGCATTGGCAATCCTGAAAAGGTAACCCTTTATTAAGATTTATTATCAATATTGAAGTTTTGGGCTATAATTTACAACTGAAGGAAGCGCGGGTCGCTGTGGAGATGTTGTCCGTTGAACCGGAGATTCACTTATTTTGGGTTCGAATCTCAGGTCAGGTATATGCTATACAGTAATGTTAACCAGTCCATAGAGAGATGATGAACTATTGCACAAGTATGGCTTAAGTACATGTGAACTTCAGACGTTCAAGATTATGAATGGCGACGTTGCATGTCCGTGTGTGTTTGGCTGCTGTGTGAGATACCATGTCGCAGTTAATTAATACTCACTCCGATCAGACCAGGCAGGGCAACAACAAATACCATCATTTATAATTAGCGTCAATACACACACCTTCTGCTTTCTGGGCAGACACTGAGTCAATTAGAACACACAGAGCTGGTCAATTGTATAACATTGGTAAAGATATCTGTAGCAGCTAGATAATATGGTTGACCTTAAGATCGCTTTGTTGAACAAATGAAGCGGTCATTTGTTTAATATGGGACTGTTAAAAGTTAAAAATAATATAAGAAAAAGAAATATTGCCGAAGATGAATATATTGTATTTCAGTATCAGTGTGTGGTATTTTAGAAGTTGTAGTATCAAAGAAGATCAATTCTAACCCTGATTTTCACTGGTCCAAGTGATTTGGTACCGCTACCAGTGTCCGAATAACACCGCGTGACGTGCTGCCACCTAACAATGGCTATCACCTGGAGCGTCCCAAGAGCTCTGGCACGATTTGCAATAGTCAGTATTTGAAGTCGGGACATTTTTTTAAGTATGTATAGTAATCTGCCACTGTTAATGAGGACGGAAACTCAATACGTCGACCTGCACGTGCAGATATATGCAACTGATTGTCTTCGGGTGTTGCGTTTGTGTGACTATGATGACAACAGTATTGACAGGTGTGGTCAGTGTATATCTTCTCCTGTATTAGGTGTTAGGTATCCTTGTTCCCATTAACCTGTGAAGATCCGGGGTAGATCGCTTGCAGTATGTTTGTCGTAAGAGGCGACTGAAAGGATCGGGTTATCAGGTTCGCTGACTTGGTTGATGCATGTCATCGTTTCTCAATTGCGTGGATCGATGCTCATGATATCAATCACTGTATCGTATTGTCCTGGCTCTATTATATACAGACCGCCATCATATAGCTGCAATATTATTGAATGCGACTTTAATTAGTGAAAGAGTTTGATTTTACGCCGCTTTTAACAATATTCCAGCAATATCACGACGGGGGACACCAGAAGAGGGCGTACGCGGCTTTAAACAACAAACATTAATGATGTCAAAAACGTCATCAGCGTGTGTTCTTTGACGGCTGGGGATTTGTCTATTTATATTTGGACAGTTGCAACTCATTTCTGTGTGGGTGAGGGGCGGTCGGGTAGCCCAGTGGTTAAAGCGTTCGCTCGTCACGCCGAAGACCCAGGTTCGATTCCCGACATGGGTACAATGTGTGAAGCCCATTTCTGGTGTCCCCCGCCGTGATATTGCTGTAATATTGCTAAAAGCGGCGTAAAACCATACTCACTCACTCTGTGTGGGTGACTCTTCCACACTTACATGTATATTACGTACACACAAAAATACCACTTGGGTCTGTTCCACATAGCGATCTCAACGTAACGACTGTCGCAAGTCTAGGTTAAAGTATGGCAGTTACGATCCTCTTAGCGATACGATCGCTTTGAGGAACCAGGGTCCACTTGCACAAAGACATCTTGTGTCAGTGAGTGAGTTGGGTTTAACGCCGCTTTTAACAGTATTCCAGTTATATCACGGCGTATCAGCTTAATGTGGGACGAAAGCCCGAAGTGATGCTGGTCTCAGACGTTTACCACTTCGGTGAAACCCACGAGCACAGTTATGGTGCTGACAAACCTAGAAACATACTCGGGGTGAACCGGGATTCGAACCCACAATCATAGGTTTCTGGCGTGCCCAAGGGACGCAACTCTGCAGTGCGAATCGCGGCGCCTTAGACGACTGGGCTAAAAGTGATCTAAGCGCTACGAATAAATTATCTCTATGTTAAAGTATTGAGTTACGATCGTCGTAGCGCTAAGGTCGCTTTGTGCATGTGGACCCTTGTCAGGCCGCATTCCGCATGTAAGGAACCGGCACATAGTACTGTCTCTTATTCATTATCCGGTAACAAACGTCATGTATTTCAGGGCCTAGATTTTCGAAACGATCTTAGCTAAGATAAATCTTCACAACTTTCGTTCAAAGATAAGATATCTTAAGGTTAAGATAAGATAGATTCAATTATGTTTGGCTTGGCTGACAGCATTGCTGAGCAACATTTACTAGTATTTGTCCGTTGACCCTCAACGTGACAACGATTTAATTGTTTGAATTGTCTCAAGTATATCTATATATTTTTTAAACATAAAACGGGAAGATGTAGACTTAAATATTAAAAACACCAAAATATATTAAAACCGGTTTATTGAATGCAAAGATTATTGTGTTGAAAATGTGTATTTTATATTGATCAGTAAATTTCATACAATAAACTTTTTTTCTGCGAACATAAATTGGAATTTGCAAACTATGCTACATTTTGACGAGAACCAGAATGAGCATGGGAACCCATTTTTTATTTGGGAAATGAATGCAATAACACGTGACCAATTCAGCTAATCAGAATGCAGGAATTTCCATGAACCCAACGAAAATTTAATTATATGCCGTTAATCAATGTTTTTAAAGAATGCAATTGTTCAACAGACAGTTTTAATCATTTTTTTTATCAAATATTTGTCTTTCAAGATGATATAGATAACATAGGTATTGAATTTAAACGAAACAAATTACAATTACTTTTGCAAGAAAAATATTAGATATTGTATACAAATATTTGATCACGTGTATTTCCTTGTAAGTCAATAAATACTACACTGTATAGTTAAAATTCAATTATCAAAACCACCCGTCCCACACGATTTTAGATGTAAAAGCTTATGCGAAACCTTTATGGTTTTTTTACATATGTAGATTGATATAATTTTACAAAAAGCGAAAATAAAGACTAAAGCATTGACACAAATGCGATCCAGAAAATATAACAGCGGAACTCTGCTCTTTATGAAAGCTGTAACATTGAGGAAGGTGTCCCGGGCGAATACAAAGGTAAACCACAATCAACTAGAGTTTGAACTAAGATTAGCTCCCCCTGAGTTATCAATGAGGTCACGGTCATTACTGGATCGCTGTCGCGATTAAGAACATTTTTGACGTGAAATCCTTGATGCGTTCTTCGGGTTTTCGAAGTGTCAATTTGAATCACTCAGTTTTACAAAATGAAATGTAAGTGTTTGAACGTAAAGCAGACTAATTGTTTGGAAAGATATCTATGGAAAAGTATGCCGCCATCTTGGGTGAAGATAAAATAAACTTACGACAGGTATGGGGCTATCTTAGATTTACGACAATCTTAAGATATCTTAGGTCTACGATAGTTTCGAAAATATGCTACGATAGCCTACGATTTCCTTACGACAAATTTACGATAATTTTAGGGCTACGATCATTTCGAAAATCTAGGCACTGGGTTTAAATAAAAATATAACTCAACAACGAACAACATCTCGGGAATTTTAAGAACAAGTAGACCAAATATGACATGATATAAACAACACGAGTGAAAAAGCAGATCAGCTTGAAACAAACATTTATTTATCAGTGAAAATAAAAATAATTTCCCTACTACCTCTGTGGCTGAGCAGTGAGCAGTACGGCTCAGGCAAGATAAGTACATGATTGAAATAAGCCTTTGAATATCATTAGTTGTTTTTTTGTGGGATTTGCAAGTCCTCTGTATGACGTCCCAGGGTTTTCATCTGCCCCTAGTCTCTTTAATGTCCTTTATATAGGGTACAGTCAGTCCCTGTAAAGTTCTTCAATGTCGTCCACAGTCTGGGGCAAATCTTTCCCCTTAGTTTCGGGCAGTGGTATAGCAACAAATATGGCGATGAACAGGAGAGCCGAGATTAGAGCTGTCGGGAACCAGGGCATGTCCTCAGCCTACAAATACAGAACACATGATCAGAGAACATGCTAGGAGTCCGCTGATTGGCCATTGGTTAAAGTGTGCAGTCACGTTTCTTAATCATGGAAGGGCCGGTGAAAACGTCTGAGATATATATCACTTCGGGCTTAACCCACACATTTATACGTGCTAAAAGGTCAATGCTATTCAAACCGGCGTGAAACCCAACTCCCTGACTCACACTTTCCCCAACTGCGTTCTATTACATCGGGGTTGGTGGGGTATACGTAGCCTAGTGGTTAAAGCGTTCTCTCATCATGCCGAAGGCCCGAGTTCGATTCCCCATGTGAGTACAATGTGTAAAAGCCATTTGGTGCTCCGGGTAGTAACGAGGCTGGAATATTGTTAAAAGCGGCGTAAAAACATCGATCAGGTCTTCACACCCTACTTACAACAAAGACCATGAATGGGGCTCCAAGTGCACCTAGTTTCCCCGACATACCAGCTGTGCCGAACCCGATCAGTCTGAAAGTACAAACAGTACGATTATATAACAATACTTGACATACTTGAAAGTGTGTTGGCAGGCATGTCATGCACGGCATACAGTAGGTCCCGAGTTGGGCTGGCCTGTGGTAATGGCCATGTTACATCATGTGTCAAGACCACTTATTGGCTGATGATACGTTATATCATGTGTCTAGGCCAGTGGCTGGGTAATACCATGTTATATCGGGTGTCTAGGCCTGTGACTGGCTAATGCCATGCTATAGTATGTGTCTAGGCCAGTGGCTGGGTAATTCCATGTTATATCGCGTGTCTAGGCCAGTGGCTAGGTAATGCCATGTTATATCATGTGTCAAGGCCGGTGGCTGGGTAAGGCCATGTTATATCGCGTGTCTAGGCCAGTGGCTGGGTAATGCCATGTTATATCATGTGTCTAGGCCAGTGGCTGGGTAATGCCATGTTATATAATGTGTCTAGGCCAGTGGCTGGGTAATGCCATGTTATATCATGTGTCTAGGCCAGTGGCTGGGTAATGCCATGTTATATAATGTGTCTAGGCCAGTGGCTGGGTAATGCCATGATATATCATGTGTCAAGGCCGGTGGCTGGGTAATGCCATGTTATATCACGTGTCTAGGCCAGTGGCTGGGTAATGCCATGTTATTTCATGTGTCAAGGCCGGTGGCTGGGTAAGGCCATGTTATATCGCGTGTCTAGGCCAGTGGCTAGGTAATGCCATGTTATATCATGTGTCAAGGCTGGTGGCTGGGTAAGGCCATGTTATATCGCGTGTCTAGGCCAGTGACTGGGTAATGCCATGTTATGTCATGTGTCAAGGCCGGTGGCTGGGTAAGGCCATGTTATATCGCGTGTCTAGGCCAGTGGCTGGGTAATGCCATGTTATATAATGTGTCTAGGCCAGTGGCTGGGTAATGCCATGATATATCATGTCTCAAGGCCGGTGGCTGGGTAATGCCATGTTAGATCGCGTGTCTAGGCCAGTGGCTGGGTAATGCCATGTTATATCATGTGTCAAGGCCGGTGGCTGAGTAATGCCATGTTATATCGTGTGTCTAGGCCAGTGGCTGGGTAATGCCATGTTATATTATGTGTCTAGGCCAGTGACTGGTTAATGCCATGTTATATCGTGTGTCTAGGCCAGTGGCTGGGTAACGCCATGTAATATCATGTGTCGAGGCCGGTGGCTGGGTAATGCCATGTTAGATCGCGTGTCTAGGCCAGTGGCTGGGTAATGCCATGTTATATCATGTGTCTAGGCCATTGACTGGTTAATGCCATGTTATATCATGTGTCTAGGCCAGTGACTGGGTAATGCCATGTTTTATTATATACATATGAAGGAAATACTGGAATTTATCAGTGACGATAGATCAAGTTATCAGTCACTAGTGACTGATATAAAAACAAGGTGCCGGAACTACTTTCTCCTGAATCAAAACATTGAAGAGTTATCCCCCTTTGTTTACGTCAGATGCCGACTGTACTAAGTCTCAACCGCAGGTTCATAACTTCTCTTCAACTGACCACAGGAACTTATTGACGAGTCTGATGTCAGCAAATAACATCTATGGCAATGTTAATATCATTCTTGCGCCGGACATGTTTCGCCAGACATTCGGCACAACTGGCGACAGCAGACGTACCGCCGAGGCAAGAAGCGCCCGCTTGAATTTTCCGAGAATTGAACTTTCCTAATTTAATTCATGACTGCAAGCAACAATGTTTCAGTTACAATGTTCGGGGTTCTATTAATGTGTTTATGTCAACTTTCATACTTATCTGTGAGAAAATTTGATCAAATTCGGCGGATTTTGTAAGCCTGGAGAGCGCTCAGCTGATCGTTCGACATGGTCACAGAACTAAATGTTTATGTATTCCGACGCCAATAAAATAATCGCTGTTTGGAAATGATTTCTGTTTTCATTTTAAAAACAATTATGACAAACAAAAATGTCCACGGAACTTAATACTCTATATGAAATAATATATTTCGCATAACATATATTAACAGGGCTAGTTTTATTCACGAACTATATTCTTTTCGCAAACCCCCTTTATACTGCGGTGGTAAAGGGGCGACACGAAGAACTTAGTAATTTATCAGACACTGTTTTCGAAAAAATATATAAATTGCAAGTAATAAAAATAAAACATGTATATAATAAATCCTCTTTATATCATGTGTCTAGGCCAGTGACTGGGTAATGCCATGTTATGTCATGTGTCTAGGCCAGTGACTGGGTAATGCCATGTTATGTCATGTGTCTAGGCCAGTGACTGGTTGATGACATGTTATATCATGTGTCTAGGCCAGTGGCTGGGTAATGCCATGTTATGTCATGTGTCTAGGCCAGTGACTGGTTGATGACATGTTATATCATGTGTCTAGGCCAGTGGCTGGGTAATGCCATGTTATATCGTGTGTCTAGGCCAGTGGCTGGGTAACGCCATGTTATGTCATGTGTCTAGGCCAGTGACTGGGTAATGCCATGTTATGTCATGTGTCTAGGCCAGTGACTGGGTAATGCCATGTTATGTCATGTGTCTAGGCCAGTGACTGGTTGATGACATGTTATATCATGTGTCTAGGCCAGTGGCTGGGTAACGCCATGTTATATCATGTGTCTAGGCCAGTGACTGGTTGATGACATGTTATATCATGTGTCTAGGCCAGTGGCTGGGTAATGCCATGTTATATCATGTGTCTAGGCCAGTGACTGGTTGATGCCATGTTATATCATGTGTCAAGGCCGGTGGCTGGGTAATGCCATGTTATATCATGTGTCTAGGCCAGTGACTGGGTAATGCCATGTTATATCATGTGTCTAGGCCAGTGGCTGGGTAATGCCATGTTATATCGCGTGTCTAGGCCTGTGACTGGCTAATGCCATGTTATATCACGTGTCAAGGCCGGTGGCTGGGTAATGCCATGTTATATCAAGTGTCTAGACCAGTCGCTGGGTAATGCCATGTTATGTCATGTGTCTAGACCAGTGATAAAGTGACACCATCTTATGTCATGTGTCTAGGCCAGTTGCTTGATAATGCCATGTTATATCAAGTGTCTAGACCAGTCGCTGGGTAATGCCATGTTATGTCATGTGTCTAGACCAGTGATAAAGTGACACCATCTTATGTCATGTGTCTAGGCCAGTTGCTTGGTAATGCCATGTTATATCAAGTGTCTAGACCAGTCGCTTGGTAATGCCATGTTATGTCATGTGTCGATGTGTCTAGGCAAGTCATAAAGTAATACTATGTTATGTCTTATGTCTAGGCTAGTGATAAAGTGATATCTTATGCCATGTGTCTAGGCCAGTCATAAAGTAATACTATGTTATGCCACCTGTCTTGGCAAGTGATAAAGTGATACCATGCTATGTCATGCGCTGTATTACTGACCTGTAGGTTGTGGGCAATGTTTCTTCGACGTACAGAAACAGAGTGTAGTAAGTCCCGGCCACGCCCAGTTTTCCCAAGAATCCGAAGAGTGGTAAAGCCACCGATGTAACGCCCGGGCCTGTACAATTAGGAGAATACTTAGAAATAGATGTTCCTAGTATGTGTACAATAAATAGAGAATACAACACTTACTTTTGTTAGATAACACAGAAAGTTCACGAGTTTCGAGTTTCGAAAAAAGTGGAATCTTAACAAGGATGAATGTGGTATTTTATTTATTACCCACGCACATATGTATTTCAGTGTGAATAAATACCTTTTAGGTTCGTTCAACAAACCAAACCGAAACGGGTTGGATGAATGTTGATATAATCCCAAACATTGGCATTGTTGACATTTCTGTGCATACGCAAAGAATGTGTTCACACCAAGTCAGCAATACTACAGCCGTATCAGTGCAATCTTCAACGTAATCGAGTCACGAGTGTTCCGCTCGTCCAAAGCAATATGCTGTGCAGGGTTGCATTCCTTAAGCAAGCCAGAAAGATAATCGTGGGTTCGAATCCCGGTACTAGATTATGTTTCTAGGTTTTGTCCCATACTCATCACCAAAGTGATAATTTCTAAAATCAAGCTGACACGCCGTGATATCCCTGAAACCCGACTTACGCACCATTCGGCCTTTAGGAGGCAGACTACGGTCAATAGATTGATCACTAATCCCGCCAACAAGACACCATGATACACAATCAGTGAGGTCGAAGTTGGAAATGTTTGTTTGTTGTTGTTTAACGCAGCACTCTGCAATAGACCAGCTATATGACGGCGGTCTGTAAATAATCGAGTCTGGACCAGACAATCCAGTGATTGACAGCATGAGCATCGATCCAAGCAGTTTTACTGCAAGTATGGGTTGCTGAAGGCCTATTCTACCCCGGATCTTCACGGGTCCGAAGTTGGAAATGGCTCTTCCATTGTACTCGTCCATCTTATAATCCATAATTAGCAGCCATTGTCGCCATCTGATCCCGATTTATATTGTCTTTCATATTCATGATTACATATTCGATTACAGAACGTTGTACCAAGAGCCCCGTTGGTTAAAAAAACGCCACAAAAAGCAAAATAGAATAATTGGTCCTCAAGTTTTACCAAAGGAAATAATCGTTCCCTGGATATGTTGGAGGTCCTAAATAAATGCTTTTTTTTAAATTGTTTGTCTTCCTCTTTCACAGAAAATGATGTCCCTTTTACATCAGTGACAGAAAAGACATCCTTTCTCTGACACAAATTCAAGTATCCCCAAAACCCAAATATTAATTGGTGGTTCCACAGTCAACTTCTATAGCGTGTGCTTCTCTACAAACACAGGGTCAGCTCTCGTGGAACGATACCATGATTGTGAGAAGCATCCCCTCGGTCATACTTACCTGCAAATAATCGAACTATAGTTGAAAGTGTCAGAAAGCCAACGGCAGTCCCCAAAAAGAGAAAAATAGTCTTTTTCCTCCCAATGCTGCAAAAAAAAAGAGGTTTGGTAATCTGAATCTGTGAACATATAGAGAAAATGTATTGTTACAGTGAGTTGGTGAGGTGAAATGGGGTTTAACGTCACGTTCCTGAGTATTGGACTTGCATAGCGACGTGATGCACGTGTGTGTGACTGCTTGTTCTAGTCTAGTTTTTATTATGCTAGCCAACTGATATACCGCATTTGGATACCCCATTCGGACACAGTATACTACGAATCGACCAGTACTCCGATAGTGCCACCTCTTTACCTACTTTTGCATGACGTGGTCAGGATAGAACCAGCAGCCTTCCTCATCTCCGGGCCGACGCCCATTCCATTACACACCGAGGAGGGTTTTGTTTTAAATAATATAATCATGTAATAATTAGGTATCTAAAAAAGAAATATTCAGATTTTGCTTTTAAGCGTTTGTTCGTCTCGCCGAAGGCCCGGGTTTGATTCCTCATATGGATACACTTGTGGTGTTCCCCGCTGTGATATTGCAGGAATATTGCAAAAGCTGCGTTAATCAAAACTCAATCACTCAGTCCCATATTAAATTGCCACACCGCAATGTTATTAGTTATGGTGTCTTCAGTTGCCATATACGTGTCATATTAGGTTAGAAGAAACATATGGGGTGGTTTTCATGTCCTTGCACATCACAATTAATGATATTAAAACATAAAACAGTGTGGAATAAAGAATTTCTGCACCAGAATTTTCATGTAAAATATGTGAGTTGGGTATTGGAAAATCCAAAATGGCTGTTGTTGTTTTTTTGCTGACGGTATACGGTCTCATATTAGGTCAGTAACAACCATCTTGGATTTTTACTGACGGTATACATTCTCATTGGGGTTAGTAGTTCTGCTCTCTGATTGGTCAATCTCACTTTGAGGCATAATAAAACTGAAATACGCGGCGTTGAAACCGACTTATTCTAGATTAATGGGTTAATACGTGATATACCTGTCAACCGCAAAGAGCAGGATGATGGCGGCAGGGAGTTCCGACAGTACGTTGATGGTGAAGTTGAGGTACAGGTCGTCGGCGAGAGAGCTCTCAGTCAGGTACAAGGTGTAGTAGGAGAATCCGATTACGAACCTTCACATTAACAGACATCAGGCATTAGAGAGACAACATACAATGGATGAGGTATTTGATTATCCAGTATTATCTGTATTAGAAACGAATTGTTGAACGTTTGTTCTAAATGATGTAGATATGCATCTAGAAATTACAAAGACTTTGTGCAAAGGGAGGGGCAACACGACTGAGAAATTATTTAAGGTGCTTTGGAAAGTGTCTTAATGTTATAACAAAATAATCGACCAATCCTTATTATGATACAGAATATGCAAAGCAAGGTACACTTGAGCATTGTCGTAAGAGGCGACTAACAGGATCGGGTGGCCAGGCTCGCTGACTTGGTTGATGCATGTCTTCGTGTCCCAATTGCATGTTCATGATGTCAGTCACTGGATTGTCTGGTTCGGACTCGATTATTTACAGACCGCAGTCATATAGCTGGAATATTGCTGAGTTCGGCGTTAAACAACAAACAAACAAACACACACCTAAGAATGTTCTTTGACACTTAAGCTGGAAATTGTACTAAACGAATTCAGACCTGTTGCATGTGTTTCATTATTTTGTTTCCTATAAATCTTGTACTTACCAAATGTAAACGAAAATAATCAAGTTTATTAATAAATGTTTGTTGCGAGCAAAAGCACAACAGTTAGGTGAGTCAATATCTTCCTTGAATCCAGTATGTGTCGTCACTACTCTTGGTCTTGTTGATATTTCTGATGCTGTTCCTGCAACTAATATCGGTGCTATTGCTGTTGATGTTGTTGCTGCTGTTCCTACTGATGTTGCAGGTTGCGATGCGTCTTCTGGAACTGATGTTCTTATTGGAGCGCCTTCTGGAACATGTGTTCTTGTTGGTGTATCTTCTGGACCAGATGTTTCTGTTAGTGTGTCTTCTCTAATAGATGTTCCTGCTGGTTTGTCTTCTGGAATGGATGTTCCTGTTGGTGTGACTTCTGGAACTGATGTTTCCGTTGTTGTGTCTTCTGTAATGGATGTTCCTGTTGGTGTGTCTCCTGAAACAGATGTCTCTGTTGGTGTGACATCTGGCACGGATGTTTCTGTTGGTGTGTCTTCTGAGGCCGGGGTGGTGCCATTTGCAGGATTAGAGTTCGTTGTAGGTGCTGGTGTTGTGGTTGTGATGACGTCTTCCTCATCCTTGTGTCCTACGCCATATATCAACTTTTCATCAACATCTACACCATTAACCTCAGCGGCGAATTCCACCAATCTTTGGGCACTCTTATATCGACCGACAGCGAAAAGCCAACGAATAGACTCATTCAGTATGCTGAAATATGGTTATCAGGAGATGGATATGTATACAAATAACAATACTCATGTCAGTGCAGCACTTACCATGAAATCTTATTTTAAAATATAAATGTAAGGCTAAAGAAGGAATAGTTTCTCGTGCATCGTCGCGTCACTCTAAATCCTGCGTATCAAACATTTTTATTGCTAACATAAAAATATTTTTTCCAAATTTCCGCCTTATATGAAGAAATGCTGTGTTATCGATAAAATGACATGTTGACATCTGACATTGTGTTAAAGAGCAGAGTTTACTGTGGTCCTCCCGTATCACTATTGTTTTCAATTAAGTAAATTCAAGGTCCTACCCCCTTCCTCACATTTGTTAAAGCTGTGGCCGAGAAACTTTTGTCATGCATCAAAAGGAATGCAATCTACCTTATTCAACTTTTATTGCTGATCTTCATATAAATATTGCAGGGTATGAAACTTACAGCCATGTTGCCTATTACGAAAGCAAGCAATGCAAAATGAAGATATGCCATAGGTTATACAATAACTTACAGGATTTGAGCAAACACAACAAGAGAACCAGCCGCCAGTGCGTACTGTATGGTTCGCCAAGACATCAGCCTCAGACTAAACCCAATGGCACTTAAGGTCAAGCCCGCTATGGACCAACTGAACAGTAAGAAGAACGCCAGAATCTTTCTTTCCTTTGTGAGGGTTAACTCCAGTGCCATGGTCACCAGCACCAGCAGCACACCCTGGAACAACAAAGGAACAACCTGGCAAAGTCAGTTGAAACATTTACAAAATCAAAAAGACCTGGATCTTGTCACTTATTGCAAATGAGTTTCACCGTGACAATTTTGGGGTCGCTTCTTTATTATTTGACGTCGAACACCGATCCGCACCGTCGGGTTACGATGACAAGTAATCAACCAAGTCATCAGGCGATTTATAACAGAACATGTAGAGTTATATATTCAACGTGGTGATGAGGATTCTCGGGTGCGCTACATCGCCTTAGATGAGAACGCGACTTAAAGGATAACTAGCAATCGGGATTATATTTTACACTCACTTCAATAAATATTCCAGAAAAGGCTTTTAGAATGGTTAATTCAACAATAGATCGGGAGAATGCCATCGCCACTGTCAGGAGCAGGGTCGCCGCATGAGCTGTGATGATCATTGGTTTTCTGCCAAGCCTGTCGGCCAGAAGAGGGATGGTGATGGCGCCAAATGCTTCCCCGGCCAACACTAGGAACTGCGGTAGTCTCGACTGGATCTTCCTGTCGCACACCAGGCCAAACTGGAACATGTGTATGTACGCCTTAGGCAACGACGTTCAACACATCATGCTTTGCAATGGACAGGTCATGCCACCTAGATGTGATACAACAGGCCAACCAGCCAACTATGCTATGACAGACCACATCACCTACCTTCTCGTAACAGACCCCACTAAAAACCTATCCCGCCTACCCCACTACCTACAATGAGCAGGTCATACTACCCAGTTGTGACACAACAAAGCCCACTAGCCAACTATGATATGACAGATCACATCACCTAACTTCGATATAACAGACCCGGTTACCTATCTTCTCGTAACAGACTCCATTATCTACCTTTTATGCAACAAACCCCATAGTTACCTTCTATGTAACAGACCCCATTAACCACCTTCTATGTAACAGACCCCATTAGCCACCTTCTATGTAACAGACCCCATTAACCACCTTCTATGTAATAGTCTCCACGACCCACCTATGCTATGAGACCCAATACAACAGACACCAATCCCTACCTCTGATACAACGGAAGTGAACCGAAGAGACCCGAAGTCTTGACCATCTAGACATCCTACTACCACCGTCTGTGAAGTTGTTGCAGTGTTTACGGTGACGTCGACGGTACATTCGTTGTAGATGCTGTCAATTCCTACCACGTCAATCGCAGGGACGTTGATTGACGCTAGGATGCCGTCGGTGGACTGAGTGGACAAGGTCGCGCATTGGCTCGTTACACTTTTACCTGAAACAAGACCCAAAACTTTTCCAGTCGGTGTAGGAAACTTAATAGGACAGAGTCGTCATTTTCACTTAATCTATCACTAGCATCCGTTACACGAACCGCTGATCAGTGCATTTTTCAAAAGAGGCTCAAAATGATAAGGAAATAATGAGTAATAAAGAAATTGGTACGCTCGCATGTGTTTATATGTAAATATTTATTTGTCACTACTGGAGAATATATTACAAGTTGTCAACCGATCTCGAGTTGTATATGGTGTGATGTCCCCTGTGTGTGAACTTCCTCAACCAATCAGAAGCTAGTATTTTAATGTATTCTGAGATAAATGTAAATGTCACTTGTGGGGAATATATATGTTTTTATCTCATCTTACATTAAAATACTAGCTTGTGATTGGTTAAGGAGCAGGCAATTATGTTCCATGTAGCCCACTCAGAATGTATTGCGTTAGTGAAATAACTCATTTCGTTTGCATCGTCTGCTACGAGTTGTTAGCTACGACTCGATGAAACTGGGGACACATGGAATGTCCTATTTATTACAGTTGTCTACCGGAATTTTTCTTTTCATTACAAATGTAAAACATTGAAACGTACATTCTCCCTGCCTAACACGTTTCACTACCCCTTGTAATTGCGACTTAAAAAGAAGTTCCGAGTTTTCAAAACCTTAAAAAATATAAACAAAAGTAATAAAAACATATTTGAAGTGGTCCCAAAAAATATTTACCATACATTTTGATATCATTATATACAAAACCAACTTCGAAATCAATAATCCTGAAAGCTACGAGAACGCTGTTGGAAGCGAAGCGAATACACGCTGGTCAAGTAACAAAAAACGAGCAGTCTCGATTGACGAGTTAAATGAGTAATTTACAGTTTATAACGAACATTTTCAAAGAGAATAACAAACGGCAAGAAACGATATTACCTCATATAAACGACCATCTGTCATTATTTTGCCTTGTCACTGTGGAATTAACGTAAAAAGGTTCGTGTCCGGACAACAGTTTGTGTACGTGACAGACACTTACAATAAAGGGAGACAATTGGTGGGGAGGTAACGCTTGTATGACAATAAAGTTCCGTCAAACAGTGAAAACATCACTTCTCTCAACTTCTGAAAACTCAGTCTTTCACACTGAAGTATACAATGAAAAATATTATGTCACTACTGGGAAATGTATATGTATATGTCATTACTGGGGAATAGATATGTACATCTAACTACTGGGGGGAAATGTGTATCTGTCATTACTGGGGAATATATATGTATATGTCATTACTGGGGAATATATATGTATATGTCATTACTGGGGAATAGATATGTAAATGTCATTACTGGGGAATAGATATGTACATGTTACTACTGGGGGGGAAATGTGTATCTGTCATTACTGGGGAATGTATATGTATATGTCATTCCTGGGGGAAAATGTGTATCTGTCATTACTGGGGAATATATATGTATATGTCACTACTGGGGAAACATATTTATATGTCACAACTAGGGAATATATATGTATATGTCACTACTGGGCAATATATATATGTATATGTCACTACTGGGGGGAAATATGTATATGTCACAACTGGGGAATATATTTGTATATGTCATAACTTGGGAATATATATGTATATGGGGAATATATATGTATATGTCACTACTGGGCAATGCATATCTATATGTCACTTCTGAGGATATGTATGTGCCATTACTGGGGAATATTTTGTATATGTCACTACAGGGTGGAAATATGTATATGTCACTACTGGGGGGAAATATGTATATGTTACAACTGGGGAATATATTTGTATATGTCATTACTGGGGAATATATATGTATATGTCATTACTGGGGAAGATATATGTATATGTCATTACTGGGGAATATATATGTATATGTCACTACTGGGGAATATGTATGTATATGTCATTACTGGGGAATATATATGTAAATGTCACTACGGTTGGGGAAAATATGTATATGTCACTACACAGGAATATATATGTAAATGTCATTACTGGGGAATATATATGTATATGTCATTACTTGGGAATATATATGTATATGTCACAACTGGGGAATATATTTGTATTTGCCATTACTGGGGAATATATTTGTATATGCCATTACTGGGGAATATATATGTATATGTCACTACTGGGGAATTTATATGTAAATGTCACTACTGGGGGAAAATATGTATATGTTACAACTGGGGAATATATTTGTATATGTCATTACTGGGGAATATATATGTATATGTCACTACTGGGGTAAAATGTGTATATGTCACTTCTGAGGATATGTATGTGCCATTACTGGAGAATATATATGTATATGACACTACAGGGTGGAAACATGTATATGTCACTACTGGGGGGAAATATGTATATGTTACAACTGGGGAATATATTTGTATATGTCATTACTCGGGAATATATATGTTTATGTCACTACTGGGGAATATATATGTATATGTCATTACTGGGGAATATATATGTATATGTCACTACTGTGGGAAAATTTGTATATATCACAACTGGGGAATATATTTGTATATGCCATTACTGGGTGGAAATATGTATATGTCACTACTGGGGGGAAATATGTATATGTTACAACTTGGGAATATATTTGTTTATGTCATTACTGGGGAATATATATGTATATGTCACTACTGGGGGGGAAATGTGTATATGTCATTACTTGGAAATATATATGTATGTGTCATTACTGGGGAATATATATGTATATGTCATTACTGGGGAAGATATATGTATATGTCATTACTGGGGAATATATATGTATATGTCACTACTGGGGAATATGTATGTATATGTCATTACTGGGGAATATATATGTAAATGTCACTACGGTTGGGGAAAATATGTACATGTCACTACACAGGAATATATATGTATATGTAATTACTGGGGAATATATATGTATATGTCATTACTTGGGAATATATATGTATATGTCACAACTGGGGAATATATTTGTATTTGCCATTACTGGGGAATATATTTGTATATGCCATTACTGGGGAATATATATGTATATGTCACTACTGGGGAATATATATGTAAATGTCACTACTGGGGGAAAATATGTATATGTTACAACTAGGGGATTTATTTGTATATGTCATTACTGGGGAATATCTTTGTATATGTCACTACTTGGGGAAAATATGTATATATCACAACTGGGGAATATATTTGTATATGCCATTACTGGGGAATATATATGTATATGTCACTACTGGGGGAAAATATGTATATGTTACAACTGGGGAATATATTTGTATATGTCATTACTGGGGAATATATATGTATATGTCACTACTGGGGGGAAATATGTATATATCACAACTGGGGAATATATTTGTATATGCCATTACTGGGGAATATATATGTATATGTCACTACTCGGGGAAAATATGTATATGTCACAACTGGGGAATATATATGTTTATGTCATTACTGGGGAATATATTTGTATATGCCATTACTGGGGAATATATATGTATCTGTTACTACAGGGTGGAAATATGTATATGTCACTACTGGGGGGAAATATGTATATGTTACAACTGGGGAATATATTTGTATATGTCATTACTGGGGAATATATATGTATATGTCACGACTGGGGGGAAATGTGTATATGTCATTACTTGGAAATATATATGTATATGTCATTACTGGGGAATATATATGTATATGTCATTACTGGGGAATATATATGTATATGTAATTACTGGGGAATATATATGTATATGTCACTACTGGGGGAAAATATGTATATATCACAACTGGGGAATATATTTGTATATGCCATTACTGGGGAATATATATGTATATGTCACTACTGGGGTATATATATGTAAATGTCACTACTGGGGGAAAATATGTATATGTCACTACACAGGAATAAATATGTATATGTCATTACTGGGGAATATATTTGTATATGCCATTACTGGGGAATATATATGTATATGTCACTACTGGGGGGAAATATGTATATGTCACAACTGGGGAATATATATATATATGTCATTACTGGGGAACATATATGTAAATGTCACTACTGGGGGGAAATATGTATATGTTACAACTGGGGAATATATTTGTATATGTCATTACTGGGGAATATATATGTATATGTCACGACTGGGGGGAAATGTGTATATGTCATTACTTGGGAATATATATGTATATGTCATTACTGGGGAATATATATGTATATGTCATTACTGGGGAATATATATGTATATGTAATCACTGGGGAATATATTTGTATATGTCACTACTGGGGGAAAATATGTATATATCACAACTGGGGAATATATTTGTATATGCCATTACTGGGGAATATATATGTATATGTCACTACTGGGGTATATATATGTAAATGTCACTACTGGGGGAAAATATGTATATGTCACTACACAGGAATAAATATGTATATGTCATTACTGGGGAATATATTTGTATATGCCATTACTGGGGAATATATATGTATATGTCACTACTGGGGGGAAATATGTATATGTCACAACTGGGGAATATATATGTACATGTCATTACTGGGGAACATATATGTAAATGTCACTACTGGGGGAAAATATGTAAATGTCACAACTGGGGAATATATATGTATATGTCACTACTTGGGGAAAATATGTGTATGTCACTACACGGGAATATATATGTATATACACGGTCTTCCTGTGGGGTCGTGACCTTGGGTCTTCCACTCCTCGGCCTGTCTGCAAAACTGCCAGTTTGCCTGTGACGTATGACAAATCTGGCGATGGTGCACTTGAAGCACCCCGTGATCATGGCAACGTGCTCCTGCAGAGTACATCACACCTATTCCCTCGAGTATAATGTATCTACTGTTGGATACGGAGCGACACTGTCTGCCAATGTGTTCTGTGGGATTTACAGGATTTATCACCTCTAAATCACTGTACTTTGTTTTACTGAAATGAACTTTGATTATGATTCAAGATCCAAAACGTAAAAAAAATAGTAGCGGTTTTGAGCGTGTCGTCAATAGCTGGACCCAAAGTAGGAACACGAATATTAGCGAATGTTATTTGAACCCTTATGGTTAAACCATTATTTCATAAATATAAATCTATTTTTCAAAATTAAGTATTTATTACTCACAGACTTATGACATAGGATAATAAGTGAGTGAGTGAGTGAGTGAGTATGGTTTCACGCCGCTTTTAGCAATATTCCCCGAATATCACGGCGGGGGACACCAGAAATGGGCTTCACACATTGTACCCATGTCGGTAATCGAACCCGTGTCTTCAGCGTGACGAGCGAATGCTTTAACCCTTCGGCTACCCGACCGCCCCCATATGATATTAAACTTTATGATATATAGTTAATCGGTAAAGCTTAACAATAATTATGATGCATGCTATTACTTAAGTTTAGAGATTTTATGATGTTTCACCCAGTAGAGCAAACATTTTTACAAGTATCAAAACAACTACCCATTAACTGAACTATGTTTATTTTCGTAAGCATAAACAGGTATCATGTTGTATTTCTTGCGTGTGAACTTATTTCACGTTTTACTAAGTCCTATAACGCAGTTTTAAGTCCTTTGGATATAATATTATGGTTGCGATTATATGGATTATGTGGTGTTACAGTATGACAAGAAATTATTGAGAATTTAATTTACGTATTAAATGTGAATATTAGTCCAACATAACTCCAGCTTCAAAGACAGGTGAACACTTAGTATTTTGTCAAGTCACCATGGGCAGCAATGCAGGCTTCAAGGCGGCGGGGCATACTACTGATCAAAGAAGTTAGAAAGTCGTGGGTCATGCTGTCCCAATATCGGACCACCTCTTCTTTCATTTCAGCAATATTTGTCAGATTTTTTTATGACACATTCTTCTCTAAGCACCAGTTCAACCTTCGCTCCTTTTGTTCAGTTTCATGATCGGTGATGGAATTCCTCGACTTTTCTCCCAACCTATTGCATGCAGCTCAGTTCTTATTGTCTCCTTACAGACAGCCATAGTTCCTCTATCAATCATATCCAGTCTTAAGTTTCTAAACTCCTCCGTTTGTTTTTAGAAACAAGAATACCAAGCCGCCTCCTGTCATCGACTGTCAATTTTCTGGGCCTACCTGCGCCTCTCTTGTGCTCAATGCTATCTCCACTTTCAATATTTTTCAAAACACGATAAACAGTGGACAAAGGGATGCCTGTTCTTCTTGCAATCGCTTTAGCTGATCTGATGTCCTTGTTATAATACTCTAATATTAACCTCCTCTTCTCTAAATCATCCATACTGAGGATCACTGAAAATGACGTCTGCTAGCAAGTAAACAAAGGGGGATAACTCTTAACAAACTAAAGAAATAGGATTAACTGAGTTGTCTCTCTTGAATGAAACCAAGCACTTGATAGCTGGTCAGTGCTTTTTATACTAGATATCCACTTAAACATATCCCTAAAATTCTCAATAATTTCTGGTCATACTATAAATCATACTGACTTTTCTGTATATTTCGGTACTCAAGAGGCCACAGGCCTTGAGTAAATTACAAAAAATATAATAATATAATATAATTACAGTTATACATTTACTCAAATGTAATATATGTTCTATGAAACATTGTATAATAAATAAAATGTATAGATTCTGCAGTGTATCATGGTTTGTACTGCTTAGCAAAGATGGAAATGTATATTATATTTGGATGGACATAATAATTTGGTTTGATGTATCTGTTTCTTAACCTTGTAAGGCTGGACATACAAGGAGGATCTGGTACTGCATTCAGATTACACTGTTGACAAATTCTCGGTTTTCTATTAGTATTTGTATATCTTCCTTTTTCAATAATAAATTCATGCGATGAGCATCGAGAACGTGCTAAGCGTATCCTAAATGTATTTGTATTCACTTCAACACAGATGGGTTTTATTCTGACCAGTTTTGTAGATATCGTATTATACCTGCTTTCCCAAAAATAGAATAATACCAATACAATTCAACAGTTACTACGTTGGGTATATCTCCTGAAGCGCCATACAAATATTGTTCAGTTACATGTTGTTGTTGTTTGTTGTTGTTGTTTAACGCCGCACTCAGCAATATTCCAGCTATATGACGGCGGTCTGTAAATAATCGAGTCAGGGCCAGACAATCCAGTGATTGATATCATGGGCATCGAGTCTCCCAATTGGGATACGCTTATATACATCAACCAAGTCAGCGAGCCTGCCAATCCGATCCCGTTAGTCGCCTTTTACGACAAGCATAGTTGCCTTTTACGGCAAGCATTGGTTGCTGAAGACCTGTTCTACCCCGGATCTTCACGGGTCTGTTCCGTTAGAGCGTGGACTGTCGCTGCCTATTAAGGCGTATGTTGATTGCATGTGTAGGCCATGTGTTATGTCTGTTGAGTTACCTTTTTAACCAAACAATTAATGTTAGAAAACCTTAAGTTAGCGTCAGCAGCAGCCACGATTCAAGGTTATAATGTATAACCGAACGGAGCTATAATGTACTAGATAATGTACAATGGGCGAATGGCCTAAATAAATAATATAACATGTCATGTTTGAGTCATCTGTGTCCGCGTGAATATGAAGTAAATAAGAGAGTATAAAAAAATATTTACCGATAAAGTTAGTGTTCGCTCGTCACACCGTAAGCACGGGTTCGACTTCCCAAATGGGAATAACTTACGATGCCTTTTTTCTAGTGTAACCCGCCGTTATGTTACGGAGATATTACTAAAGTGGCATAAAACAATACTCATACACTTTCAACTTTGTATACTTTTGCTGCTAGGATCCGCGGCCAATGGGTTTGAATCTCATATTATCTTCCGCGGAATTATGGTCAAAGCGGCCTTATGCCAGAATCACACATTCGAATATGTAAAACACATGGTGTAAATGGTGATGATTGTAAAAGTGTGTTTGGTATAGCTCGGTACGAGTATGATGCTTGAAACCAAGAGACATAATGAGAACGAGAATGTCCCCGTTTGCGGTGATGTATGGCTACCGCTGATCTTTGAAATGTGATATGAATTTAACCAGATTCCAATGTATTGACATCGTGAGAAATGTTATTATCTTGAACACGAGACAAAACTTACTGACAGAGGTATATAGCCGTATTCCGTACGTAACATCCTGAAATAGGTACGCCTTCATCAGCGAGGAGTGAGTGAGTGAGTGGGTTAGGTTTAACGTTGCTTTAAAGTAATTCAGCTAAACCAGGGCGTGCCTTTTTGTGGGAGCGAAGCCTGAAATTATGCAGGTCTCAGACGTTTAACACTTTGGCGAACCCTACAAACATACAAACATAATCTGGGCAACCGAAATTCGAACCCACGATCATAGGTTTCTGACTCTTCTAAGGAATGCAACACCCCACCCCTCCAACGATGAACAAGGATACTTTAAATATAGCACGTCATCATGAACAAAGAGACTTACCAACGAAGACGTAGCCTAATATCCCATACGTAACCGTCAACATAGACAGGAAGAGCCATACGTACTGGCAGATGTGATACCGTTTACTTGTTCCCAGAGCTCTAAGAACATCTTCCACACGAACATCCGAGTGCATTTCGATTGTGTTTGGTACGGAGCTACATCTGATGCGGGGATGAAATGCAGATCACAATGAGTCTCCTCTAATTATTAAGTCTGTCATATGCTGCATGGACGTGACGGGGTTATTTATGGTTGCTATAAAAACAATTGGCCTCGACAGCTCCTAAAATAGCTTCGTATTTATGTGGAATTTAACAGTGAATTTAATATAAACGTGGAATTGAATATGAAATGAAGTTAATTGTGGAGTGTGATGGACACCTTGCTTGAGGTTCAAGGATCATAATTTGAGACCAATCATCCAAGTAACTAGGAAGACGCCAAGTTGTGGAACTGTAGATCCTGGAAACTAGGAACATGCCAAGTTATGGAGTAGCAGATACTGCAGAGTAATAATATTATAATTATATTATTTTCATTAACGTTAAACAAAGAGAAATAAAAAAATAAACAAATACATAGATATGAAACAGTTAACCCATCTTGATTAAGCTTGGTCAAACTGACTACACTGCTTGTAACTCAACCAAACCATCAGCAGTGTTTATGGGATAAAAACGCATCAGGAAACATCCATCAAATGTCAATCATTCCTGATGATTTATGACTGAAGAGAACAAAATTTAAAAAAACGTTAACAGACGACTTCAACGCGTGTTATAACAATTCCTAGGGTTTCGGGCGATATTCAGTCTCATAAAAATCAGATCTTAGTTTTCGCTACCGCTTGACAAAGATCCGAGGACATCCCAGTACGGGTCACGTCAGAACGACCTTTCGCGAATTTTGACCGACCAATGAAATGACTGACAAGAAATCGACATTAGCCAATCAGAAGGCAGCTTTCTCGAGCTTTACGACACTGGTTTCAAACTGGCGACTACGCTTCGAAACATATTTTGACGTATTCTCGATTAAAAAAATTAAAACTGATAATGAGAACATTCTGGAATGGCTTTTATATGGCCTAGAGTGTATGGATATAATCATAAAACCCGTAACTGTTGTTCGGAATACCCCGTGATAAATATTTCGTGGTTGCATGATTAGAAAACACATTCCGACAGTCACTTTCGTGATCTGGTAAGCGACGCTCTGATTGGTTGGATGAAAGTTCGCTCTAACGTGACCCTTAATCGGATGTCCTTTGATCTTTGTTTAGCGATGGCGAGAACTAAGATCTGATTTTAATGAGATTGAGCGATATTGCTCAAATGAGTTGCCTTCTGGACTCTCAGACAAACACTACTACAATGTGTTTTATTGTCAGAGATTATATAAGTTGGGCAAGCCCATGCGTGTCTCATCTCACATTACACCAAGACCATCGGATGCGTGAAGAAAGCGTGACCATTGCTGCTGCTATGTGAATATTATTACCACTATTATATTTTATACTGCCATTGTTTTTGTACTGTCACTCAATTGTGTACTGTCATTGTAATTGCTGTGCAGTAATTTATATTCATTTGTCAACCTAGTTACATTTATAATACATTTGTTAATTGTATACCATTTTGTTGTTGTTTGTTTGTTTCAGACGGGTTTCTTTTACCTATATATTTCTGGGTTAACTTATTGTCAGAAATTGGGGGCCCGTCCGGGATCTAAATTAAAAATATCACAATTTTTTTAATTTTTTTCAAAATTATTGGATAAACATTGTTTTGTACAATATTGCGTGAAGCCAACAAATCACTATGGAATTTAGCGTAGATTAGTTTGCTAGCCAATCTTCAACGGAACAGGTCGAATCGACCAAACATTACAAACTTGACATCAAATCAGGTATGCTTACGGCTGATGTCAAGAAAGTTTGATAAGTACCTGGTTTGGGAAGAAATTTTGGATGACGATACTTTGGCTTTGACTGAAGAACGTATGTTTAGGCTTTAAAGAAATAATAATTTGAAAGAGAAAAAAATTGGCTATGGAGACTTGAAGCTGAGAAAAAGAGAGATTTTCGGATTAAGTAATTAGGAATTGAAGCTGAAAAAGAAAGCTCAAACATATTGATTTACAGAATGATCTCTCTCAGTGCCTCAACAGGTGATAGATTGTGTGATCTTTCCTGGCAGAATATACTTGCCCCGAAAAGTTCTAACAACATTTGAAAAGGTGGCTAACAGTTTAAAATTGCCTCATGATCATTGGACCGTGTTGTTGCAAAGTGTATTCCGGTCAAGTTCAGGAAGTGTATTCTGCCTTTAGTTACCTTTTTATACGAGTTCTGATTATCGGGTTGTTAAGGCTGCAGATTTGAAAGCATATTAATTGGTTCCTGAAGCCTAAAGGCAAGAGTATATGTCAGCTAAGAAAAGCGATGGTTCTACTTTTGTTAAGGATCAGATACTGCTACTTTGGATGATTATTCACTAATTAAAAAAGTTAAGTTTTAGGCAGTCAGGGTTTTCACTCAGGAATTCGCAAGGTTACAGATCAGGAAAGTTTGATGACAAAACGTCAAGTTATACTCCAGTAAGTTCTAAAGATACTTGTGGATTTTCGTCGGAGCCTACTTGTAGATATTGCCGTATTAAGCCAGGGCATATCATTACTGAGTGTAAAAAGATCGTTTTTAAAAAAAAAATTCTCCCCCGAATGCTTTTGTGAATGTCTGGTCACATATTTTTTCGGATAATGAGGAGCAGACCCCTCATTAAAGTATGTTGTTGTGAGAGAGGAGTACTTGCCTTTTGTTGGTAAATGTTTTGAGTCAGCTAAAGGTGACAGTTCCAATGTTAAGCCAATTACCATTTTGAAGGATTCTGACTGCCTCCGTGGTCTAGTGGTAGAGCGTTCTCCCGGAGAGTGGCAGATCCCCGGCCGCGTCATACCAAAAGACGTTAAAAGATGGTACTTGTTGTTTCACTGTCTTTTGAGTTTTAGGCGTTTCGTTAGCATGCAGTACGTACAGTTAATGATCATAAACAGCGATATGCTCATGCGATATTATTGGTATCCCGAAAGAGGATGGAGGGCTAGACTCGACCAGCATATCATAATAACAGGAAAATGGTGTCTCACGTAACCTTGATTCACAGTTGTTTCCATGTTTTCTGCATTCGGAACAAGCACGAGGAAAATAATGTCACGTATTTTTTAGATTAAAAAAGAATCATATTGGTGTAGATTAGACAGAGCATATGAATTCTCTTTGTTGGATGATAGTGGAGGTTAGATAGAGAAAAATATATTTCCAGGTAGAAAAAACCTTACATATAGGACCGCCTCCGTGGACTAGTGGTGGAGCGTCCGGTCGGAGAGCGGAAGGTACGGGGTTCGATCCCTAGCCGCGTCATACCAAAATACGTTAAAAGATGGTAATTTTTGTAACCCTGCCTGGCGCTCGGCATTAAGGGCTATAACAAGGACTGGTCGGCTCGGAGTCAGTATAGACCGGACTAGTGTATGCACGCACGCGCGCACACACACACGCGCGCGCACACACACACACACACACACACACACACACACACACACATGCACACATGTGTGCATATATATGTGCGATGTTAACCCTGTTCCACCTCACCCTCACCCTCATATCTAGTGACATACCCAAGTCACGTTACATGTCAGGGTGATCCGCGTATACATCATTTCACAAGCCACACAGCAGCTTTAGCACAATCATTAATATTAAATCCATGTACTAACTGTCTTTTATGTAGTAGTTTTGAATATTAAAATGATCATACGATTTTCCCTCAGTGCATGGTGGCATTCCTGAATAATTATATCGTAATGAACACATAGGCTATAAACTAGGCTATTTGAAGGCATTTAGAAGTGAAGGAATAAGGCAAAGAATATATGGATGTAAACGTTGTGTTCCTCATAACAGAGAAGTTGACATCCAAATATTCTCTTCCTTACGCTATTTGTAACGCTATCCTTATTGCTATTCCAAACCGAGTAAGGGTATATATGACCACAATAGGGCCATGATGGTTGTTTGTGACTGAGGTGAGCCGAGTGATGCCGGATTTGTACGAGATATTCCGAATGAGAATTATTAAAGGGCAGGTAACTCTCAATTCCTGTCGCGCAACATGGTGTTGCATGAGGTTCAAGCAAACATAAGGTAAATGTGACACAGATTACGTAAGAGGTCATTAGCCTTGTTGCTATGGTTGTGATCGGTTTGGATAATTGAGTGGTGCACTTTGCCATGCCGACACATAGGAGTTATTCTGTAGGCAGGGTTCAGAACGGTGCATTTTCATTCACCGCTTCTCATGAAAAAGAGTCTGGAAATTATTTTCACGTTTGGAAGATAAACAGAAGAATGTCCTGTCAATACTAAAATCTTGTAAGCGTCCTAATACCATTTTCTCTTGGAAAGTTTTCAATTAGGGCTCCCTCAGTTAGTGCTAGCTGGCCGGGAGTTGAGTTAAACTGAGACTAACCACTGCTTGGATGGCACGATATATTCTGTGTGATAACTATGCGAACTCGGCCTTCCTATAGAATACAGTACCACAAACTGATCAAACACGTCACAATACCCTATGACGTAATTTGTGGTATTTAGTTGCAAGTCACACCGGCGAAACAATGCCCTGTTACGTCAGGGGTCATCGAGTGTGCAAAAGCTCCCTCCAGTGACTTTTGTAAGAATCCGCTACGAGGATTCATACAGTTTGCACATCAGTTTTTCGATTCATACCACAATGAACCGAAAAAAATACACAGTCAATCCTTAATCGGCTCATTCCTCAGCACTCGGTATCCTGTAGATTACGGAATGGGACGAGTGTGCAAAATGTCATCGGGATCATTCATAAGTGTCAGTAGACTAAAGTCACGAGACACCATGCCTACCCGTAACCTTCGTAAGTGTCCGTCGCCTATTCAACCCTTTTCATTCAGTTCCGTAACATCGTAGGCATGACTGGGTAAATGTGCACTTAGTTTCACAGTGTGGACGTAGCTCAGTCAGTTAGCTGTCAGGCTAACAATCCAAAGTCGCAAGTTCGCGTTCGACTGATTCTCACAAAAACTGCTTACTTGTCTTTGAGACATGTGACCTACGGCAGAGACCGTCCTACGGGAAGTTGTGGTACTGTATTCTGAAGGTGCCCCACAAACAGTGCAGTGGTGGGAATTAATCAAGGTAATAAATATGTACAACATCATTCCATGGTATGGGAATCTCGTTTGATCATGTTCACATCCTATGTTACAGCCAAGAGCTGGCCAAGTTGTCTAAGGCACCCCAGTTCGCTGTGCAGAGTTGCGTCTTTTGGACATGCCAGAAACTTAAGATAATGGGTTCGAATCCAGCTTCACCCAGATTATGTTTGTAGGTTTGTCAGCACCATACTCGTGCTCGGGGGTTTCACCAAAGTGGTAAACGTCTAAGACCTTCACTTTGGGCTTCCCTCCCACATCAAGCTGACATGCCATGATATAACTGGAATACTGTTAAAAGCGATGTTAAACCCCCAACTCGCTCACTCAAATCTGTGTGTGGAAGTTGTTAATTTGTTTGTTGTTTAATGACGCAATCAGCAATATTCAAGCTATATGACCGCGGTCTGTAAATAATCAAGTCTGGACCAGACAATCCAGTGATTGACATCATGAGCATCAATCCACGCAATTGGGATACGATGATGTGCATCAACCAAGTCAATGCACCTGACCATCCGATCCCATTAGTCGCCCCTTACAACAAGCATAGTGGCCATTTAGGGCAAGCATGGGTTGCTGAAGACCTATTCTACTCCAGATCTTCACGGGTCGCGTGGAAGTCGCATATTCTAGGTTTACAAAAGGGTAAGAATTGCGGGATCAGGTGATCAGGCTGGCAGACTTGATTGAAGCATGTACTGCGATAGCTGGAATATTGATGAATGCAGTGTTCACAAGTTCAGAAGCTGATACAATACATTGACATTTGTAATATTACTACTAATAATTATTGTAATTGTACACAAGTTGTGTTATTATGCATTAACAAGATATGTGATGTGTATTAAGTTTGCACATCATCAGCTGGAGGTACAGCCTCCGTGTTCTAGTGGTAGAGCATCCGTCCGGAGAGCGGAAGGTCTGGGGTTTGATCACCGGCCGAAAGACATTAAAAGATGGTACTTGTTGATACCCTGTCTGGCTTTCGGCATTTAGGGGCTAAAACAAGGACTGGTCAGCTCAGAGCCAGTATACTGTGTCCGAGTGGAGTATTCATGTTAAGTCACTGGGATAGCGCTATAAAATTGGTATCAGTCCAGACTAGTACAAGCAGCCACACACACACACATGTGCATGCACGTCGCTATATAAGTACAATAATCTTGGACACCCATTTCACCGGACCTCACCTCATCAACTCTAGAAACTTATAATTTGATAATGTCTCATCTTTGATTTGTCTTGTATTTCAGAAGTTGAGATTCCCACAGCAACGTCATGTTTCGCTCTGTGCTTATCGGTCTTAGAAGACCCTTCACATGTGTAGTTCCGCTGATGAGGCTGCAGCCAACCTGTCAAGGTGAGAGGCTGGGAATGGTTTAGAGACCAACTACATTGGTCAAGTTGACATACCGTATTCGACGTAATAAGCGCCCTGCTCTAATAAGCGCCCACGGCGATATTTGATAATATATATTATTATATATATAAGTGAACAATCCCAATTAGCACCCCTTCCGATTGATCAATGTACACAAGACTTATATATTCGTGTATAATACGCACGCGTGTGTTATATGCACCCTTAATTATGGTCAGTAAAATTCTGGAAAAATATCTCTGTCGTATTTATATATGTCGAAATTTATCTTTCAACTCTGTTTTTTCCGTCAAAATAATATTCTAATAAGCGCCCCCTGTTTCTAATTTTATGAGCGCCCTGGGCGCTTATTACGTCGAATACGGTATCTCAGAAAAATGTTTTGCAAGATCTACTCAATAAAGCTGACCATCATAACAATTTTGTTAACAAAATCTGAAAATTGCCATAATGTTAATTCTCTACGGCCAAATACAAGTTAGTCACGATATAGCAGTGCCACAGGAGACAGTAGTGAGTGAGTGAGTGAGTATGGTTTTACACCACTTTTAGCAATATTCCAGCAATACCACGGTGGTGGGACACTAGAAATGGGCTTCACACATTGTACCCATGTCGGGAATCGACCCAGGGTCTTCGGCGTGACGAGGGAACGCTTTAACCACTAGGCTACCCAACCGCCCCCGACAGTATTGATATTAAGCAGTACCTTTGAAGTAGTTCTAGGACTGTTGTAACGCTAAGAATTCCTTACAACAGTCATAGCACTACAAATCTTTATAAATAATTGCATGTGCTTCTGTGACATTTGATTGGGTATTTAAGTAAATCTTTTTGAGTTTATGTTTCCATAAATATAAACCCAAAATAATTAGGCCAAGTGACTGACCACTGTTTCCTGATGTGCTTGTAATAGGGCGGAGGGAGGATAGATTGCGTCATTATGCTAAAGGATGTCACTGATTTCGTATTGTTGTCTATAGATGTTTGTGTCAACGAGTAAAGAAGCAGTCCCCAGGAACATATTCCTAATGAAGTTGCCTTGATGGGTGGTACTTGTTTGAGCGTCTGTGTACGCCAACAGCCTGGTGCATTGTTCATTATATCAATCACTTGTTTGTCTGGTACAGACTGATTATTTACGGGCTGATGTTTTACAGCTGGAAAACAGCTGAATGATGTGTAAAACAAAACTAAACCAATAAATGATTTTGCTAGGGGGACGTGATCAGGCAGCTGCCCTTCACACATCTCCACCTCTAACAGTTCTGGACAAAGACAACCGACATAAGAAGTTCTTGTTAGCCCAGAAATCTGACTCCCTTTCTGTTGATGAAAGCATTGAAGTGGAAGAGTTTCGGTGAGTTTATGGAACTGCCATGTTGAACATTCTGTTAAAATACCCTTTTTGTTTAATTTACCATTTTAAGAATTTTGGGACAAATTATTCTGTAATCAAAAGTATGATACCGTATTCAACGTAATAAGCGCCCCGCTCTAATAAGCCCACAGCAATATTTGCTAATATATTGACTAGTGAACAATTCCAATTAGCACCTCTTCTGATTCATCAATGTACAAATGACTTATTTATTCGCGTATAATACGCACTTGTGTGTTATATGCACCCTTAATTATTGGCAAATAAATTCTGGAAAAATATATCTGTTGTATATAAACATTTCAGGCTTACAACATAAACCACGAAATTTATCTTTCAACTCTGTTCTTTTTTTCACCAAAATAATATTCTAATAAGAGCCCCCTATTTCTAATTTTGAGAGCGCCCTGGGCGCTTATTACGTCGAATACGGTAGTAATATATGTTTCATATCGTTGTTTATCAAATTTGTGACCCGTGAAGGTCCGAGTTAGAATAGGTCTTCAGCAATCCATGATTGCCATAAAAGGTGACTATGCTTGTCGAAGGGGGCGACTAACAGGATCAGGCGGTCAGGCTCGCTGACCATCATGTCCCAATTACATGGATCGATGCTCATGATGTCAATCACAGACACAGACCGCCGTCATATAGCTGGAATATTGCTGAGTGCCGCATTAAACAACAAACAAACAAATATAACATTTGTACCACCAAATGTCCCTTGGAATTCAGAGGCAATATACATGGTATGGGACCAGTGTCTGATACTGAGGACTGACTGAAATGGAGATCAGTGGTCACAATGGATACTTAAAGTGAATAGTTCATGGAAGCGAGGGCCAACTCTCATGTGGTCACACCATGACTGATGATGGGATATTGCTAAGAGCAGTGTAAAAACTCAACTCACACAGTTTGTTGTCAACCCGCCAGGATATTACCATGACTACTGGAGTATGGGTAAAAGCGGAATTAAAGTCCACTCACTGACTTTGTTGTCCTCCTGTCAGCGTATTACAGGAATATTGCTAAATAAGGAAATAAACAACGAGTGGGCGTTGTTTATCATGCAGTAAAACACTGCAGGGATAATAAACCAGCCCTTCATGGTTTATTCTCCCTGCAGTGTTTTATTGCTGTGATAAACAGTGACCACAAGTTGTTATTTCTTATATGATATATCAACATTTTGTACAGGGCCTATAAGGATGTAAATAAAAAGTACAAGTTTTAAAAATATTTACTCGTATATTACTAATGCTGACACCCTGAATTAAATTTTTACCTCGGCGCTGTCGGACAAATCCATTTTATGAACAGGTGAGTTAATGTTGGTATTTTCCGCATATTCTCACAAGTCTCATGTGGACTATCTGTACCTTTTCTCCCAATACTGATTGTCACATCTCTCCTACTTTTGGATGTGATCAGTCAGCTGCTGTGTTTATCTGCATTGCCCAGCTAAATCTATGGGGAACAACTCACTAGACACTTCCCTCTCAACAATAACGTCGTTGTATGTGCAACGTCATCAAGTTGCGAGCACATGTTCGAATCTCCAGAAATGACGTCATGATAGAACAATGCTTTATCGTGAAATAAACCACACTTCATTCTTCATTGTTCTTTGCGATTTATCGTGTAGATATCTTATATAGCGGCTTAAAAGTCCACTCACTTACTTTGTTGGCCACCTGATAGGGCATGACTGGAATATTGCTAAAAGCAGTGTAAAAGTCAACTCATACGCTTTGTTGTCCACTTGCCATGTTAAAAGTGGCATAAAACTCCACTCACTCACTCACTCACTCACTCACTCCACCCATTGGAATATTGTCCACTCGCCATGTTATAACTGTAACATTGCTAAAAGTGGCATAAAACTCCATTCACTCACTCACTCACTTACTCACATTAGTCACTTTGTTTGCAAGCTGTTGTGTGATAGTTGGTACAGCAGTAGTGGTGTAAGATGTGATTGAACACCATACTTGCTCCACTGTATCAGCAGTGCTTCAGTGTGACATGTATGTCCGTCTGCTGCAGCCCCGGCACAGTGTATCCGACAATGGAGACTGCAGGGATGCTGGTTGACGGGGTCAGGTTCGACATGCTTCCCATCGTCCATGTCAAGGCCACACACAACAATACAATCGTCACACTTACCAATGGTGAAGGTAGGCCTATCTGGTGCAATGTTTTACAACAGTAACTAAATACTGGTGCTTAGTGAATAACTGACTATACACTATACAGGTATTGTAAGCAGTAATGCTGGTGCTTAGTGACTAACTGACTATACAGGTACTTATAAACAGTAGCTAAATACTGGTGTTTATTGACTAACTGACTATACAGGTACTTATAAACAGTAGCTAAATGCTGGTGCTTATTGACTAACTGACTATACGGGTACTTATACACAGTAGGCTAAATACTGGTGCTTATTGACTTACTGACTATACGGGTACTTATATTCAGTAGCTAAATACTGGTGCTTATTGACTAACTGACTATACGGGTACTTTTAAACAGTAGCTTATTACTGGTGCTTATTGACTTACTGACTATATGGGTACTTATATTCAGTAGCTAAATACTGGTGCTTATTGACTAACTGACTATACGGGTACTTATAAACAGTAACTAAATACTGGTGCTTATTGACTAACTGACTATACGGGTCCTTATAAACAGTAACTAAATACTGGTGCTTATTGACCAACTGACTATACGGGTACTTATAAACAGTAACTAAATACTGGTGCTTAGTGAATAACTGACTATACGGGTACTTATAAACAGTAACTAAATACTGGTGCTTATTGACCAACTGACTATACAAGTACTTATAAACAGTAACTAAATGCTGGTGCTTATTGACTAACTGACTATTCGGGTACTTATAAACAGTAACTAAATACTGGTGCTTAGTGAATAACTGACTATACGGGTACTTATAAACAGTAACTAAATACTGGTGCTTAGTGAATAACTGACTATACGGGTACTTATAAACAGTAACTAAATACTGGTGCTTATTGTCTAACTGACTATACGGGTACTTATAAACAGTAACTAAATGCTGGTGCTTATTGTCTAACTGACTATACGGGTACTTATAAACAGTAACTAAATACTGGTGCTTATTGACTAACTGACTAAACGGGTACTTATAAACAGTAGCTAAATACTGGTGTAACTAAATACTGGTGCTTATTGACTAACTGACTATACAGGTACTTATAAACAGTAGCTAAATACTGGTGCTTATTGACTAACTGACTATACAGGTACTTATAAACAGTAGCTAAATACTGATGCTTATTGAATAACTGACTATACGGGTACTTATAAACAGTAACTAAATAATGGTGCTTATTGACCAATTGACTATACAAGTACTTATAAACAGTAACTAAATGCTGGTGCTTATTGACTAACTGACTATTCGGGTACTTATAAACAGTAACTAAATACTGGTGCTTAGTGAATAACTGACTATACGGGTACTTATAAACAGTAACTAAATACTGGTGCTCATTGACTAACTGACTAAACGGGTACTTATAAACAGTAGCTAAATACTGGTGTAACTAAATACTGGTGCTTATTGACTAACTGACTATACAGGTACTTATAAACAGTAGCTAAATACTGGTGCTTATTGACTAACTGACTATACAGGTACTTATAAACAGTAGCTAAATACTGGTGCTTATTGACTAACTGACTATACGGGTACTTAAAAACAGTAACTAAATGCTGGTGCTTATTGACTAACTGACTATAAAAGTACTTATAAACAGTAGCTAAATACTGGTGCTTATTGACTTACTGACTATACAGGTACTTATAAACAGTAACTAAATACTGGTGCTTATTGACTTACTGACTACACAAGTACTTATTAACAGTAACTAAATACTGGTGCTTATTGACTAACTGACTATACGGGTCCTTATAAACAGTAACTAAATGCTGGTGCTTATTGACTAACTGACTATATGGGTACTTATAAACAGTAGGCTAAATACTGGTGCTTAGTGACTAACTGACTATACGGGTACTTATAAACAGTAACTAAATGCTGGTGCTTATTGTCTAACTGACTATACGGGTACTTATAAACAGTAACTAAATACTGATGCTTAGTGACTAACTGACTATATTGGTCCTTATAAACAGTAACTAAATGCTGGTGCTTAGTGACTAACTGACTATTCGGGTCCTTATAAACAGTAACTAAATGCTGGTGCTTATTGACTAACTGACTATACGGGTACTTATAAACAGTAACTAAATGCTGGTGCTTATTGACTAACTGACTATACGGGTACTTATAAACAGTAACTAAATACTGGTGCTTAGTGACTAACTGACTATACAGGTACTTATAAACAGTAACTAAATACTGGTGCTTATGACTAACTGACTATATGGGTCCTTATAAACAGTAACTAAATGCTGGTGCTTAGTGATTAACTGACTATACGGGTACTTATAAACAGTAACTAAATGCTGGTACTTATTGACTAACTATATGGGCACTATGAACATGATACAAGTACTGTGATCCAGCTATAAGAGGATTAGCTGTTGAGACATGTTCCCATGGTGACATGAAGTGACTGAAAGCGTTTTGGTTGGTCAACCTTTGTCATAGGATTTTTTTAGGTTGTTTTGTTTTGGGTTTTTTTTGGGGGGGGGACAACAAATGGGTTGCCAGATCTTGCCTTAAGCATATCAAGAAGGGGCTGAAGTGAAGGTTGCTCCCATCATGTGACTAGAAGTGTCTGTTTGGAGTTCATCAGAACTTGCAATAAGGATGAGGTGGGAGGGCAATGACTTGATTATTTGTTATTTCAATGGAATGACTGACAAGAAGTTGACATTAGCCAGTAAGAAGGCAGCTTTCTCGTGCCTTACAGCACATGTTTCAAAATGATGATTGATTTAATGAGATTGATAACAGTCAGGAATTATACTGCTGAAATACTGACAATATGTGGACATTAAGTCCCTTTTGTGCCTTTAATTGAATTTGCCAGCTAGGACTGAGGTGTTTGGCTGCTTGTGTTGCAGGGGCACCCATGGCCAGTGAAAGCGGGGTGAGTACTGGAGTAGGCAACAATATTCTTTATGAAAAAAAGTTAGTTTCAAGTAATCTGTAATTGGTTTTGAAGTTTTGAAGTCATGGTTATGTTGTAAAAATAGTGTGATGAGACATGATACAACATGTAGTACAAATTTCTTGTAGATGAGAGAAGTGTTTAAGTTGTGAATACTTAAAGCATTGTGGCTGATTGTTGTGTGTCTGTGTCGCAGGGCTCCGTGGGATTCCGGAACACCAGGAAGGGGACGAATGTCGCTGGACAGGCTGCTGCCCTGGCACTTGGACAGGTCAGTAGGAGATCAGTGCTCCCATTCTTTAAAACTGATTTAGGACAGTCGTAGCACATCTTCCCGAGGCAAGGGCGTTAACTGACTGTAAAAGTCCAGTTTCCACCCTTGCCTAACTAGGCTGGAATTTCAAGGCTCAATCGTAGCGCCACCTGTGGCTATTATGAGTTATGTCCCTTCTATGTCCTTCCTATTGACCAATCAGATTCCATCTCTCATGTCACCTGCACTTTTGCTTCAATCAAAATGGTGGTGCCCAGTCATGACGATCTGATCAATAATCAAGATAATCAAGATCTATTTTGTAATATAGGTCTTACCTCGCGAAGTGCATCAAATCACTTGATCACCTTGATTAAAAAAATGAAAAGATTTGCAAAATATCTGTTGACGCCCAGTTGGCGGTAAACATGCTTTGCAAACCCTGCAGTGGACTGAAATCTGCATGTTGAAATCCATGTTGTTTTGCGAAACCGGATGTCTAGTTCATCACGCTATTTTGATTGGACAATGCCTGCTAGTCCAACCAAAATGTAACTCCAGAATTCCAGCCTATTTCGGCAAGGGGGGAAACTGGACTTAACTCCCTTGCCTCGGGAAGATGGTCATAGCACTAAGATCACTTTGTGATGGCTTCTATAATGAACATTAAACTCAGACAGTAAGTCGGATAGTCCATGATAGCCAACCACTGAAAATGATACCTCTTTACCTTCCTGTTTTGTCATGTGAGGTTTACGGGAATAACAAAGCCAGCTTTAGACAGTTATGGCGAAATCAAATCTCCTCCCAGCTAGTAGTAAGCAAGGTTTTTCCCTGACACCAAATAATGGGTCCTGTATGTATACGATTTGACACAAAAATGTGTCTTTTTGAATTATTAAACTACTCAAAATAGTAGATTGCATATTACATTTAACTGACATTTCTGTTCTGGTGATAAATACACTCACATGTCACAGTGTCAGAGGTTAATTTTCTCTGACATTGAAGTCCTCATCTTAAATCTGATCAGTTTAAGGCTTCTGAGCATTTGCAACGATGAGACCCCCATTTTCACCCCTGGCACCCCCATGTTCATGCCTCAGAACCCCCAAAGTACTTGAGACTCTTCTGGTGTGGAAATAGACAGAGGCCTGTAAGTCCCTGGCTGGGTATACAGCTGTTGTTGATGTGTGGAACTAGAACACTATGTCTAATTGCAGAAAGGAGTGACCAAAGGAGTGACGAAGGTTCGTGTCAGCATCAAGGGCATTGGACCAGGCAGAATGGTGACTATTTAGTCTTATATAATAATCTCACATTAGATAGGGCTGTCAGCATTAGATGCTGTGGCTAGTAACACTCTGTAAAGGCTAGTAGTATGTAAACAGCATTGAACTCGTTATTGGTCAGTAACTAAAACCCCCAGAATAGGGGGTCTATATTTAAGTTACTGACCAATAATGAGTTCCAGTGGTAAACAGACACTCAATGACTGGTTCCTTCACACACACAGATATTTCATGTTCAGGGTTAATAATTTCTTGGTTTGTTTGTATGTATGTAAATCAAACACATGTGTAATTTTGTCATGCACATACATTGGGGCGGTCGGGAAGCCCAGTGGTTAAAGCGTTAGCTCGTCACGCTGAAGACCCGGGTTTGATTCCTGACATGGATACAATATGTAAAGCCCATTTCTGGTGTCCTCCACCGTGATATTGCTGGAATATAGCTAAAAGCGGCGTAAAACCATACTCACTCATTCACTCACTCATGCACATATAAGGTCAAGGTGAAGTTGACAATGAAAATGCTTCAATACACAATATATACTTGGATTCTTTTTAACTTAAAAACTTATTCTTGAGGGAGTTCATGGCAGTGATTGCAAGTTACATGTTTATAACTTTGTCATTAAGGTAGCTAGAGGCGTAAAACTTTCTGCTTTAAGTGTCTGTTCTCATGAGTACCAGAAATCCATGGTCATTGGTCTTGAATCCCACGATACATAGGTCACTATACGATTGTTTCGTGATTCACGTGATTGGAAACGTCTTGGCTGTAAATATTTCAGAGCATGATCAAAGGGAAAGGCTAGCTGTAGACACATGTTCATAATGGCTATTTTAAATAGTGAACTTGAAACCGTAATTACAACACATTTTGCAGTATTTGACTGACAAAAACACTTGGGGTCATTAAATGAGTAGTAAATAGTTTATTTTAGCAGGTGTATCGTCTTGTATCGATACAGTAAACAATGTATCATGTATCGTATTGTCTCATGAGTGAGTGAGTGATTGAGTATTGTTTTACGCCGCTTATAGCAATATTCCAGGGACACCAGAAATGGGCTTCACACATTGTAACCATGTCGGGAATCGAACCCGGGTGTTCGGCGTGTCAAGCGAACGCTTTAACCACTAGGCTACCCAACCGCCCCTATTGTCTCATGAAAACTCATGATGCACCGATGTGTCATTTCACCCCTGCTGCATGACTTCGGTCTTTCCTGCCTTATCAAGCTGACCCGCCAATATATGGCGTACTATTGAAAGCGGCGTTGAAGCCAACTCACTCCCTGACTTGAACTGTCTCCCTGTTCCAGCCTGCACTGAAAGGCCTCCAGATGGCAGGCCTCACCATTGTCTCCATCACAGACGCCACTCCACTGCCCTTCAATGGCAACCGACCTCGCAAGAAGAGACGCCTATAGTAGAGTGTGTGGTGTTGCCTTGTGCCATATGTGAATACCAAGTGGATGTCATGATACAGCTTGACCCTGGACCTGTACAGCCATTGTGACATGTTATTGTAGCGCTGCCTATTTAAGTATGCATGACATGAATATCAGCCTCTGAGCAGGTCCAGGTAAATCCCTGGATTTAGGTGTTCTGTTAGTTTGAACATTTACCCTCATATTTTGTTTCATGAAGAATATGTAAATCACAGTGTAGTAAGAGAGTTAGTGAGTATGGCTTTATGCCACTTTTAGCAATATTCCAGCAATGTCATGGCGGGTGACACCAAAAATGGGCTTCACACATTGTACCAATGTGGGGAATCGAACCTGAGTCTTTGGCATGACAAGCGAACGCTTTAACCACTAGGCCACCCAAACGCCCCATATGACAGTGTATTTCTGGGGGACCCATTTATTGAGCACTGAAAAAAAATTTTTTTAGCTCACCTGGCTAATCAAGTGGTTGACTAATTGGTCTAGAAGTTAGTCAGGAGAGCAGGGCTTTATGTGGTGATGTGGTATGTGTAATTTGTAGTGGGGCTCAACTTTATTTGTGATGTTTTAAAGTTCAACATTTATACTTTGACTCAGCCAGTTCTGTTCAAAATGTCATGAATTTGGTGCATGTCTTGTTAGTAGGGGGACTTAATACATGTTCTATTTTTTGGCAATATTTTAAATTTGAACTTAATTTGACCTTTCCTGGCACGGTAAGCACCGTCTCCTCAGAAACTACTGGACCACTGAAGCTGAAACAAGCTTGTTTCTGCCAGTGTTGACACTTGAATTTGTTCAAGTGGCTCTAATCCTCTTTTCTGTTTCACCACCACGTCTTTTTTTCTAAATGTTTTAGATTTTGACCTTGCTTTGTGCAAGGTCATGTTTTTGCAAATGGTGTATTTTACATCTTCTCCCACAAATTGCCAGACTGAGGGAGCTCAACCTTTGACACGTGTATCTCCTTATGCTAACCTGATATTGTGATCAGATCATTACATTTTAGAGTTGTTATTAATTTGTCAGAATTTATGCAGAAATATTTGAACTTTAATGACTGTCTTTGTTGACCCTTTAAACTGTTGACTGCATGTCCAGGTGAGCTTTGTGCAGTGTTGTGGCACTACTCATATTGTGGAGATATATGGATACTCTGGTGCTATATTTCTGCCTGGCTCTGTGTTTACAGGTAATGGGTCAGTGTGGGGCTGTGCATGTACCGTTATGCTATGTTGTCAATGGGTGCCCCAGTCAGTTCCCTGCATCTTCCCGAGGCAAGAGAGTTAACTGACTGTAAAAGTCTAGTTTCCACCCTTGCCGAACTAGGCTGGAATTACTGGGCTCGATCGTAGCGCCACCAGTGGCTATTACCAGTTATGTCCCTTCTAAGCCTCTCCTATGGACCAATCAAATTCCACCCCTCGTATCACATGCGTTTGCTTCACACAAAATGGTGGCGCCCAGTCAGGACGATCTGAGAGATAATCAAGATCTATATTGTGATAAAACGGGTCTTACATCCCGAAATGCATCAAATCATGTGAGCACCTTGATTAAAAGCATGAAAAGATTTGGAAACTATCTGCTGACAACGAGTTGACGGTGCACATGTTTTGCAAATCCTGCAATCGACCGAAATTTGCTCGACAGTTTATGAACTGGATTTCGATTGCGATGCACAATTTTGATTGGACTATGCATAGACTTGTTAGTCCAGCCAAAATGTAACTCCATAATACCAGCCTAGTTCGGCAAGGGTGGAAACTGGACTTTTATAGTCAGTTAACTCTCATGCCTCGGGAAGATGGTTCCCTGTAGAGAGTAGGTTACTGGGCTCTCTTTGTGATATTGTATGGTGATACAAAGAAATAAATTACTGTGTGGTGGTCTAAAGTCTTTGTTCAGAATGATTTTCAAAACACATTCACTTGAGCATGCTGAGGTGCAGAAATATCTTCTTTGAAGTCATACTTGTCATATACATGTATATAGAGGTTATCACGCTTGTGTGTTTGGGGATGCATTAGGAATCCCTAAATACAATGTTTATTCCTAATGCAGGATATTTACCATCCCCAAACACACAAGCGTGATAACCTCTTTAAACATATAATGTCATTCTTTAATTTTGTGCTTGAAAATCGCTTTCCCTCTCACAAACATTACTGAAACATTGCAAGTTTTCCTGGAATGCGTGCATTAATATTTATTATGTCACAGGGTAAGTGATGTGGCAGTCGGACAGTGACAGTAGCCAATATAGTTCCAACTGAAATCTGTTTCTTATACAGTGGCGAAGCAACATATACGCAAAACAACAATTGTTTTAACTTGACTTTCGCGGCACTCCTTCGGTCTGTCCACTAGAGTAACTGCCCTTTGTCAAAGGGAAGCTACTCTAACCCTAGTCTATGAGACGTCACGGCCAGTCAGATGTTGACAGTCGGCCTGTCCTGTCATAACGTTGGAAATGCAGTCAGATGTACACACAGCGACAAAATGAAACAAGGTAACAATTCGAACATATTTCGGCCAAACCCAACTGTTTTAATTTGTGCAAAAGGTTCCAAGCCACAGAGGTCTACAAGAACAGATATGTAAAGTGATCCCGCTTGGCTAGTGCCCTCGCTAAATTGTTTCACAAATTATATCTCCAAAGTTGCCAAAACTTGTAAAATGCCTTAGCTACGTCACAGTTAGACACTGATTTTCAGTATATTAGACTATTCTTTTCATAATGATAGCAATTACCGTTGTAGTTTATCCACATTCCCGATGGTTAATTCTGACTCGATCGCTGAATGACAAGGGCTACGCCATGTTTATAAACAGTGAAAGTAGTCCTTACTTGACCTTTGATATTTGCATCTCTATCCGCATATGACCCCAACGGATATCGTTTTTATTTGTTGGCTTTATCCTGCCGAGAAACCTACCCATTATATGATAATTCATGACATCTGCCCGATTCTTTCATATTACTATAGTGGATCTGTAATGGACATATAGTAATATGAAAGAATCAGTGTTCTTTAACTTCTTTAAGTAGTATACATTAAGCTGGATGTATCCGATAGATGAAAATAGCACTTCTCTCGACTAAACAGTTTGGAAAGTCTCAGATGCAACAAACAACACTTCTTACGTTCATTGTGTTGTGTCATTTACACCAGGGCTCATGCATTTCAACACAGTTTCAGCACGTCAGCCATGTTGGTTCAATGACCTTATATTTCTCTAACACGACCCAGTGATGAAGTGGGTCAGTATCACGCTGTCGGAGTGTGTTGTTCCAGCAGCGCAACAAGGGGAGGATACACATTGTATCTGCACATGGATCATGTTGATGTCAAATAGTGCATGCTTCCCTAAGCTAATATACCATTGATGTGTTGTGCACAGAAACCCTTCACACCCAGCATGCTGAAATTTTCGTCACGCCAATTTCATTCCTCAAAATGTTTTCGACTCTCTCGTGACAGATGCCAACTGTATTGACTACATGTGTTGTGTCGTCGATCACCAATAATCATATGTATTTTATCAACACTTTCTTAGAGGTGGCAGTTGAAGGTCTTCCTCATTTTGGATCATCTTCTAGACTCTCTCTTCCCCCCCCCCCCCGATCTCCACTGCCCACCGCTGGCAGTGGCAAAGGAAGGAACATCATCCCCTGAAGTTGAGCCTCGTCTGCATGGATAAAGGGGGGGCAGCCCTTTCAGTTGGAGATACCTGATGACAGCATGGTAGCCAATTTGTCCATTTCCATCAGAGAATAGCTATTTGCTTTGATGCCTGCAGAAATATGCTGTCTGGTTGTGTATTTGGCTCCACTAGGCTGTGAGCATGGACAGGATGGTACTCCTTGTACTCCATACAACCTGTTGAGGATGTACATGCATCCTGCATCATGTTCATAGTTAGGCTAAAACTCACTCTCACTCTCACAAACCACACCAGAAAACAGCAGGAGTCATGGGAAAAAAACAGGAGTCTTCTATAATTTTATTCAAATTAAAATAAAACCAGGAAATATACAGAGTATCACAGTCTTAACAGCCAATCAAATAACAGGATTTACAACTTCAATCTTGGAGCTGCCCTCAAGAATATCATTGGTCAGTCTGACAAATCAGCTTGCCAAGCGTGACCACTAATGCACATGCTGCCAGGTTTGCCTTTATTTCACCTGATTTGTGATCTGTGCTCTGCACAGGGCCACATATATGTACAGTTGTGTAGTTGTAATATGCATACAGGAACATTAAACATTATGGTTGGATAACATCTTCCCTACAACACATTACAGCATACTGCTGGGGTGACAAGCAACGCTTACATTCAAATGTTTTTCTTTATGAATCAAACTCGATCATAACCCCTGCGAACTCATTCATATTCATTGGGGTCACGACCTCACTCAAGTCCCCTCTGTGTACCAGTAGTGTCATGTCATGAGAATACATGGATATGGCACAATGTGAAAGGTGACAGTGTGACATGACTTCACAACAACAATCTGACATCAACTCAATTTGAAAATCTATTGCATGTATTAACAACACTTGTAGCCCAGGGAACTGAGAATGTAACTGAAGAATGTGCACACTGATCCCCTGACCAGGGTAATAATGGATCCGTACTTTGAGCATGTTGAGCGTTCTCGAGTATGGATTTGGGGGTTAAAAAAGTCTCGTTCATTTATATTAATATATTTATTCATATATTCCAACATTAAAGATTCCTTTTGAAAGGCGTACCTTGCTATATCTACTCTATATCGGTATTGTAGATGTGATAATGTGATTGCTCATCATTAATTCACAGAGGTGCGTGGTTATTCTAGGCAGGTAGGTAGGACTCTATGTTGGATGTTGGATGAGTGGGCTTGAATGCAGCTTAAAGCTTACTGTGAAAGCAACATGCTCGGAATGTTTTGTCCATAAATGTTTCTCCTGCACCTCTTTTCATTGAAACAATCTACCCCTCTCCAAGGAATGCTCCAAACATACCACTGTGTCGATGTCTGGCCTCTGTGAATACAGCACAATAAGCAGCAACTAGGGGATTTGGGGTGCATTGTAAAATGACATTTAATATTTATATTAATATTAAATAAAAAAGGTCAATCAATATCAATATGTATCATGTTACACATCATCTGTGCATCGGATTGGTTAAAAACATCACTGATTAACATCTCAGCCTTATCATTGTTGATCAATCTGGAAAAAACACAACTCAGACAAAATAATTATTTTTAAATTTTTGAGATTTTGTATGAATTATGTAAATTTTTCTACATTGTTGTTCATTGTTGATGTGTATTATTGGTGTATTGTTCCATCCTTTGTTCCACCCAAGTAAGTATTTTTTCAGCGAAATAACTGTATCTTGACTTTGACATATTGTTTAAACCCAAGTAAGTATTTTTTCAGCGAAATAACTGTATCTTGACTTTGACATATTGTTCAAACCCAAGTAGGTATTTTTACAGTGAAATAACTGTATCTTGACTTTGACATATTGTTCAAACCCAAGTAAGTATTTTTTCAGTGAAATAACTGTATCTTGACTTTGACATATTGTTCAAACCCAAGTAGGTATATTTACAGTGAAATAACTGTATCTTGACTTTGACATATTGTTTAAACCCAAGTAAATATTTTTACAGTGAAATAACTGTATCTTGACTTTGACATATTGTTCAAACCCAAGTAAGTATTTTTTCAGTGAAATAACTGTATCTTGACTTTGACATATTGTTCAAACCCAAGTAGGTATATTTACAGTGAAATAACTGTATCTTGACTTTGACATATTGTTTAAACCCAAGTAAATATTTTTACAGTGAAATAACTGTATCTTGACTTTGACATATTGTTCAAACCCAAGTAGGTATTTTTACAGTGAAATAACTGTATCTTGACTTTGACATATTGTTTAAACCCAAGTAGGTATTTTTACAGTGAAATAACTGTATCTTGACTTTGACATATTGTTCAAACCCAAGTAGGTATTTTTACAGTGAAATAACTGTATCTTGACTTTGACATATTGTTCAAACCCAAGTAGGTATTTTTACAGTGAAATAACTGTATCTTGACTTTGACATATTGTTCAAACCCAAGTAGGTATTTTTACAGTGAAATAACTGTATCTTGACTTTGACATATTGTTCAAACCCAAGTAGGTATTTTTACAGTGAAATAACTGTATCTTGACTTTGACATATTGTTCAAACCCAAGTAGGTATTTTTACAGTGAAATAACTGTATCTTGACTTTGACATATTGTTCAAACCCAAGTAGGTATTTTTACAGTAAAATAACTGTATCTTGACTTTGACATATTGTTCAAACCCAAGTAGGTATTTTTACAGTGAAATAACTGTATCTTGACTTTGACATATTGTTCAAACCCAAGTAGGTATTTTTACAGTGAAATAACTGTATCTTGACTTTGACATATTGTTCAAACCCAAGTAGGTATTTTTACAGTGAAATAACTGTATCTTGACTTTGACATATTGTTCAAACCCAAGTAAATATTTTTACAGTGAAATAACTGTATCTTGACTTTGACATATTGTTCAAACCCAAGTAGGTATATTTACAGTGAAATAACTGTATCTTGACTTTGACATATTGTTCAAACCCAAGTAGGTATTTTTACAGTGAAATAACTGTATCTTGACTTTGACATATTGTTTAAACCCAAGTAGGTATTTTTACAGTGAAATAACTGTATCTTGACTTTGACATATTGTTCAAACCCAAGTAAATATTTTTACAGTGAAATAACTGTATCTTGACTTTGACATATTGTTCAAACCCAAGTAAATATTTTTACAGTGAAATAACTGTATCTTGACTTTGACATATTGTTTAAACCCAAGTACATGTAGGTATTTTTACAGTGAAATAACTATCTTGACTTCAACATATTGTTTAAACCCAAGTAGGTATTTTTACAGTGAAATAACTGTACCTTGACTTTGACGTATTGTTTAAACCCATGTAGGTATTTTTACAGTGAAATTACTATCTTGACTTCGGAGAATTATTTAAACCCAAGTAAGTATTTTTACAGTGAAATAACTATCTTGACTTTGACGTATTGTTTAAACCCATGAAGGTATTTTTACAGTGAAATAACTATCTTGACTTCAACATATTGTTTAAACCCAAGTAGGTATTTTTACAGTGAAATATTTAAATGATGTGATTTCCAGGAGTCAATGTTGCCACTTGTTTGTTACATTACAACAGGATGGCTTACTCACAGTTTTGACAGCAAGGATTAAAAAATATTCCACTGCTTTAGTCCTTTATAATCTCATCATCAAGTACATTGTTGAATTCATCATCAGAGATTGTCAAGTGCGTTGCTGAAGTGCATCATATCGTCCAGAGATTCCAGATGGAGCTTTCTTTCAATATAGCTGAAGTAATATTCTGGAGCCTGTAGGATAAATGAAAGTTATGCTCTACAACAGTGCAGTGAAATTAATGACATAAATAATCACAAACATCTAACTTACAACAATGGGATAAAATGTACATTACACGTTATAGCATTGTCAGGAAATATAAGATAGCTGTGCGATAAATCGCAAAGAACAATGAAGAACGAAGCATGGGCTTACTTCATGACAAAACATCGTCCTATCATGACGTCACTTCTGGAGATTTGAATATGCGCTCGCAACTTGATGACATCATACATTGGACGGCATTAGATAGGGGAGGTGTCTAGTAAGTTGTTCCCCATAGATCTAGCTGGGCTGTAACAACTCATCTTATTTCTCAAATACACAATATCTGAATTAAGAGCTATTAGTTTGGAAGACACACTTAGGTATAGTGTTTTGCCGATTCTTGATATTCACCAAGGAATCTAGATAGCACCTCAGGCCTCCATTCCAGAAGGTATATCTCATTGAGGAACATGAAATAGTCTTGCATGTACTTACTCGGTGTGACAGTTTACGCAGAAAGGCAACATGTTCTCCTGTCAACTTTTTAAGCTTCTCATTCCTGAAACCCGAGACACAACTTATTTATCGACCATCCTGCCCTGAAATCACCCCTTGACATTCAGACCTAGATTCACATGTCACATGATATTAAGATCTAGTCACACATGTCACATGATATTCAGATCTAGATTCACAGGGTCATATGATATTCAGACCTAGACTTACATGTCACATGATATTCTGATCTAGATTCACAGGGTCACATGATATTCAGATCTAGATTCACATGTCACATGATATTCAGATCTAGTCACACAGGGTCGCATGATATTCAAACCTAGTCACACATGTCACATGATATTCAGATCTATACACACGTCACATGATATTCAGACCTAGATTCACATGTCACATGATCTTCAGATCTATACACACGTCACATGATATTCAGACCTAGACTCACATGTCACATGATATTCAGATCTAGATTCACAGGGTCACATGATATTCAGATCTAGTCACACATGTCACATGATATTCAGATCTATACACACAGGGTCGCATGATATTCAAACCTAGTCACACATGTCACATGATATTCAGATCTATACACACGTCACATGATATTCAGACCTAGACTCACATGTCACATGATATTCAGATCTAGATTCACAGGGTCATATGATATTCAGACCTAGATTCACATGTCACATGATATTCAGATCTAGTCACACAGGGTCGCATGATATTCAAACCTAGTCACACATGTCACATGATATTCAGATCTATACACACGTCACATGATATTCAGACCTAGACTCACACGTCACATGATATTCAGACCTAGACTCACATGTCACATGATATTCAGACCTAGACTCACATGTCACATGATATTCAGACCTAGACTCACATGTCACATGATATTCAGACCTAGACTCACATGGTCACATGATATTCAGACCTAGACTCACATGTCACATGATATTCAGACCTAGACTCACATGTCACATGATATTCAGACCTAGACTCACATGTCACATGATATTCAGACCTAGACTCACATGGTCACTTGATATTCAGACCTAGACTCACATGTCACATGATATTCAGACCTAGACTCACATGTCACATGATATTCAGACCTAGACTCACATGGTCACTTGGGACTTGTGCAGCCAGTTGAGGACATCTTTACTGGACCAGCCTGCGACACTGGCACCCTTCCCAGCATCCACTGGGCCTGCTCGGATCACCGGAATCTTAGTCTCATCCTAAGCAGATGTAGACAATTATAAGAAAAAACACATTGCGGAAGTTATAGAAAAAAAGTAAACATTAAGCGAATAAAAGCAATTTTGCAGAAATATGCTGGCTGTAGACACATGTATCATTGTTGATGATGGTGGGAATCCATCTTCTATGGCCGGCATCTAATGTCTCCATTCTAGTATGACAAATAGTCCAGGAACTGGAGAAACCAGTTTGTTATCTACATTGTTTGTCATATACATTTTTGCTCGGAATTATCTGCTGGATAAAACAAAACACAATACACGTAACTGCAGCATTGACCTGTATTAGCAGTGATCACTTCATACCATAAGATTCACGAGTGTGAAGTGACACTCGTGAAATATTTTTGTTTAATGTTTGTTTTACAGACAGAATTAGTCCAATTACAGGTAGGAATAACATTAAGCAAGCTGCACAAGGTTGAATCATCACCCCTGATTGTGTTGATTCGCCACTGATTGCGAACAGCCAATTGTCAGGGACACTTGACACTGATTGAGAATTCTCAGTTTGCTATAGACGTCAGAGGCGGATACAGCTTTTTTGAAAAGGGGAGGTGCACAACTAAGATCTATTTATTGTCTTTGGTGGTAATTTATACAGAAATAAAGATTTTTTTCGAAATAAAAGGGGGGGTGCGCACCCCCACAACCCCCCTCTGTATCCGCCCATGGATGTCACTAATTAGTGGTATTTGGGCTTGTTCGGGATCAAATATCACTTCGCTATATACATTAGTTCACTGTAGAGAGTTTGTTATATACATATATATATATTTTATTCCACCACTCATATCATTTGCATTTATTTCAAACAAAATGCTGGCACCCAGTAAAATTGATAATAAAGATCTTTATTGTAATAAAACAGGTTTTACCTCGCAAAGTGCATGATATCAATTAAGCACCTTGATTAAAAATGTGTAAAGATTTGGAAAATATGTGTCGACGCCCAAATAGTGCCACACATGCTCTGCAAATTCTGCACTCAAACAAAGTTGGCACAGAAGTTGCCATGTTGTTTATGAACCGGATGTTGATTTCGTTACGGGATTTTGATTCGATTATGCATAGGCTCGTTAGTCAAGCCAAAATATAACTCCATAATTCCAGCCTAGTTCTTCAAGGGTGGAAACTGGACTTTTATAGTCAGTTAACTCCCTTGCCTCGAGAAGATGGACATAAGAAGGGTCTCACAAACATTGGTTTATTTACTTCACAATCAGACCTGCTGCGAACCTCGAGCTCAGCCTTAAACTCTGATATAAAGCAAATTATCTCTGGTAGCATTGCAACCCGCTTGACAGTTTTGCAAACAAATGGTCATTGCACTTACAACAGGCATTCCACGATTTGATGTCTTTCCCTTGTTTCCAAGTTCTTTGATGAGATCATTGACCTTTGCTTGGAAATCGTATTTGCCACTGAGTTCGAAGAAGAGTTTTGTCCCCTTGATCATACCCAGCCAGCCATCGGGCTTGTAGGCACGCTGCATGAGGAGAGGCACTATGGTCTTCTGGAGGGAGAATGCATACTCGGCTTCTGCAATTATTAAAATAATTCATGAGTAGAAGGCATTCTGTTAAGTAACAAGTGATTAAAGTCATTTTGTTTCAGACAAAAGACAAGAATTACTAGATACCATATTTGACGTAATAAGTGCCCAGGGCACTCTCAAAATTAGAAAAAGGGGGTTCTTATTAGAATATAGTTTTGGTAAGAAAAAAACAGAGTTGAAAGATCGGTAATATTGTGATTTATGCATGCTGACAGCCTAATATGATACAAAAGAAATGTCTGTGCATATTTTACGCGACATATATATTTTCCATATTTATATAATTTAAATGCCCATAATTAATGGTGCATATTACACATGAGTGCATATTATGCACGAATAAATAAGTCTTGTGTACACTGATCAATCGGAAGGGGTGCTAATTGGGATTGTTCACCAGCCAATATATTAGAAAATATTGCCGTGGGCGCTTATTAGAACAGGGCACTCATTACGTCGAATTCGGTGATTAATATAACATTCTTTTGCATTAAAGTTATATATTTTCAGATACTATGTGTTAGTCTAGACAGATGTTAGAGGTCCCTTGGGGAATTTTTCTGGCATATGACTGGATGGCATTGAAGGTCATGGTTACTCAGTACGAAGTAGGTGTACGTAACTTGACTATTTAGGAATGGATTTTGATAAAACTTAGGCTGCTTCAGTTTTTTAATATAATAGAAAGAAACAACACTATCTAAATTGAAAAGCAGCTGCCATGGGACCAGATATGGTCCCAATAAAATTACCCTATTCAACTGTGAATTAAGATGTCAAACGCCGAGTGCACAAAGACAACACAATAACCATCATCATCACAATCATCTCTGCTTTAATTTGGTGTCTTTAGTACGATATAGTGCAATGGATTGCATTTAAACTTCAATCAGTGTTTAGTTTGATCATGCACCCATGTGACATACATTTGTTATTAACCAGTTTATCTTACATGCCCACTCATTTCGACACACGCGGGTGCTTCCATGTACTACCTACCAGTAAGGTAGACAACTAGCAAACTATGAACACCGTACCACCACTTTCACCAATGGCAGTGCATATCCCTTTTGGAATTTAGATACTGTTGAAAAGACAATCAACTCAAGTTGAATGTTGTACTACTTGGTTAAACTGTCTGAATGAATAAGAATCACTTTTTATACAATGTATATGTTTTATAAACTACTACACAGCACAGTGCAGCACTGAGCAGTATACAAGCTGACTGATGGCGAGGCACCGTGAGGCTTCAAAAATAAAGATGTTGCAATCCATGTGTCCAATCTGTCCTTGTGTATACATACAGATAAGACAGCTATGCGAATAATCGCAAAGAACAATGAAGAACGAAGCACGGTTTGTTTCACAATAAAACATTGTTCTATCATGATGCTCTTTCTAGAGATTTGAACATGCGCTCGCAACTTGAGGACATCGTGAATTGGTCAGTGTTATTTTTGAGTTGTTACCCATAGATGTAGCTGGGCAATGTAGATAAACACAATGGCTGACGATCGCTTCCAAAAGTGGGAGAGATATGATAATCGGTATTGGGAGAAAAGGTACAGGTAATCGACATGAGGATTGTGAGAATATGTAGGAAAGACCAAATTTAAACCCCCTGTTCATAAAATGGATTTATTTGACATTGCTGCAGTCGGATTCTATTCAGGAAGTCATCATTATGTAAACACAGGTAAATAATTTTCAAGCGTGTACTTTTTACTAACATTCTCAAAGAGGCTGTATGTAATGTTGACATCTCATACAAGATATAACCGACTCATGGTCGTTGTTTATCATACCTCATGATTTATTCTCCCAGCAGCATTTTATTGTATGATAAACAACGACCACGAGTCGATTATTTCTTAAATAGTGTTGAGATGGTAGTCTCCTTGGCGGATGTGTTCACCTGATCTGCAGTTCTGGCTCTCCTTGTAGCGCTCCGACATACAGACGAGCACGACAGCCGAGTTCTGCACAGCCTCTGCCATCGCCTGGAGTGTGGAGCCCCCCATGTTGTCTACATCCATCCACACACTGAAGCCTTGAGCTCGCAGCATCTCTTTCACCTACACAGCATGAGTCAGGGAGTTTGGTTATTGCTGCTTCAAATCTATGATCAGCGGATTCTGGCATGGGTAGGGGATGCAACTCTTTACAGGAACAACAGTACATTACATAACATGGCTATCAGTGATTCTTAACATAGCATGATGTTTGACAGCAGATTGCAGTGGAGAAGCATTCATTATAGGCAGTACTCTTAAATTGGGCTAGTAACATTTCCGTAAAGCTGACCTAACTGTCTAGTTGAAAATTCTAGGCAATGATGAAGTGAGTTAAGACGTCATTCAATGTCCAAGTCTGTCATTTTATTTTTATTTAGTAGTTTATCAGGAACTCAATACAAAGTAGTTATTAGCGATGCATGTGAAAGCCTATGAACATCCACCAACTGCAGACTCTAGCCTGCTGATGAGGTGCAGTAGGTACATGGACTAGACTCTAGCCTGCTGATGAGGTGCAGTAGGTACATGGACTAGACTCTAGCCTGCTGATGAGGTGCAGTAGGTACATGTACTAGACTCTAGCCTGCTGATGAGGTGCAGTAGGTACATGTACTAGACTCTAGCCTGCTGATGAGGTGCAGTAGGTACATGGACTAGACTCTAGCCTGCTGATGAGGTGCAGTAGGTACATGGACTAGACTCTAGCCTGCTGTTGAGGTATAGTAGGTACATGTACTAGACTCTAGCCTGCTGATGAGGTGCAGTAGGTACATGGACTAGACTCTAGCCTGCTGATGAGGTGCAGTAGGTACATGGACTAGACTCTAGCCTGCTGATGAGGTGCAGTAGGTACATGGACTAGACTCTAGCCTGCTGATGAGGTGCAGTAGGTACATGGACTAGACTCTAGCCTGCTGATGAGGTGCAGTAGGTACATGGACTAGACTCTAGCCTGCTGATGAGGTGCAGTAGGTACATGGACTAGACTCTAGCCTGCTGATGAGGTGCAGTAGGTACATGGACTAGACTCTAGTCTGCTGATGAGGTGCAGTAGGTACATGGACTAGACTCTAGCCTGCTGATGAGGTGCAGTAGGTACATGGACTAGACTCTAGCCTGCTCATGAGGTGCAGTAGGTACATGGACTAGACTCTAGCCTGCTGATGAGGTGCAGTAGGTACATGGACTAGACTCTAGCCTGCTGATGAGGTGCAGTAGGTACATGGACTAGACTCTAGTCTGCTGTTGAGGTATAGTAGGTACATGTACTAGACTCTAGCCTGCTGATGAGGTGCAGTAGGTACATGGACTAGACTCTAGCCTGCTGATGAGGGGCAGTAGGTACATGTACTAGACTCTAGCCTGCTGATGAGGTGCAGTAGGTACATGGACTAGACTCTAGCCTGCTGATGAGGTGCAGTAGGTACATGGACTAGACTCTAGCCTGCTGATGAGGTGCAGTAGGTACATGGACTAGACTCTAGCCTGCTGATGAGGTGCAGTAGGTACATGGACTAGACTCTAGCCTGCTGATGAGGTGCAGTAGGTACATGGACTAGACTCTAGCCTGCTGACGAGGTGCAGTAGGTACATGGACTAGACTCTAGCCTGCTGATGAGGGGCAGTAGGTACATGGAATAGACTCTAGCCTGCTGATGAGGTGCAGTAGGTACATGTACTAGACTCTAGCCTGCTGATGAGGTATAGTAGGTACATGTACTAGACTCTAGCCTGCTGATGAGGTGCAGTAGGTACATGGACTAGACTCTAGCCTGCTGATGAGGTGCAGTAGGTACATGGACTAGACTCTAGCCTGCTGATGAGGTGCAGTAGGTACATGGACTAGACTCTAGCCTGCTGATGAGGTGCAGTAGGTACATGGACTAGACTCTAGCCTGCTGATGAGGTGCAGTAGGTACATGGACTAGACTCTAGCCTGCTGATGAGGTGCAGTAGGTACATGGACTAGACTCTAGCCTGCTGATGAGGTGCAGTAGGTACATGGACTAGACTCTAGCCTGCTGATGAGGTGCAGTAGGTACATGGACTAGACTCTAGCCTGCTGATGAGGTGCAGTAGGTACATGGACTAGACTCTAGCCTGCTGATAAGGTGCAGTAGGTACATGGACTAGACTCTAGCCTGCTGATGAGGTGCAGTAGGTACATGGACTAGACTCTAGCCTGCTGATGAGGTGCAGTAGGTACATGGACTAGACTCTAGCCTGCTGATGAGGTGCAGTAGGTACATGGACTAGACTCTAGCCTGCTGATGAGGGGCAGTAGGTACATGGACTAGACTCTAGCCTGCTGATGAGGTGCAGTAGGTAGATGTACTAGACTCTAGCCTGCTGATGAGGTGCAGTAGGTACATGGACTAGACTCTAGCCTGCTGATGAGGTGCAGTAGGTACATGTACTAGACTCTAGCCTGCTGATGAGGTATAGTAGGTACATGGACTAGACTCTTGTCTGCTGATGAGGTGCAGTAGGTACATGGACTAGACTCTAGCCTGCTGATGAGGTGCAGTAGGTACATGGACTAGACTCTAGCCTGCTGATGAGGTGCAGTAGGTACATGGACTAGACTCTAGCCTGCTGATGAGGTGCAGTAGGTACATGGACTAGACTCTAGCCTGCTGATGAGGTGCAGTAGGTACATGGACTAGACTCTAGCCTGCTGATGAGGTGCAGTAGGTACATGGACTAGACTCTAGTCTGCTGATGAGGTGCAGTAGGTACATGGACTAGACTCTAGCCTGCTGATGAGGTGCAGTAGGTACATGGACTAGACTCTAGCCTGCTGATGAGGTGCAGTAGGTACATGTACTAGACTCTAGCCTGCTGATGAGGGGCAGTAGGTACATGGACTAGACTCTAGCCTGCTGATGAGGTATAGTAGGTACATGGACTAGACTCTTGTCTGCTGATGAGGTGCAGTAGGTACATGGACTAGACTCTAGCCTGCTGATGAGGTGCAGTAGGTACATGGACTAGACTCTAGCCTGCTGATGAGGTGCAGTAGGTACATGGACTAGACTCTAGCCTGCTGATGAGGTGCAGTAGGTACATGGACTAGACTCTAGCCTGCTGATGAGGTGCAGTAGGTACATGGACTAGACTCTAGCCTGCTGATGAGGTGCAGTAGGTACATGGACTAGACTCTAGCCTGCTGATGAGGTGCAGTAGGTACATGGACTAGACTCTAGCCTGCTGTTGACGTGCAGTAGGTACATGGACTAGACTCTAGCCTGCTGATGAGGTGCAGTAGGTACATGGACTAGACTCTAGCCTGCTGATGATGGTACCTGGAGAAGCTTCTTCTGGTCAGCCCACTGGTAGCTGATCATGATGTGTCCGCCTCCCTCCTCTCCTCCAGTCTGGCCCTCCAAGGCACTGTCTGATAAACATAACATCCATCACCACAACATCACCATGATCACTGACTCAACGACCTACATCTCTGATTCAACGACCTACATCACTGATTCAACGACCTACATCACTGATTCAATTACCTACATTACTGACTCAACGACCTACATCACTGATTCAATGACCTACATTACTGAATCAACGACCTACATCACTGATTCAATGACCTACATTACTGACTCAACGACCTAAATCACTGACTCAACTACCTACATCACTGATTCAACGACCTACATCACTGGTTCAACGACCTACTTTACTGATTCACTGACGTACATCACTGTCACTGACCCACATCACTGATTCAACGACCTACATCACTGACTCAACTATCAGAAAGCAACATAACTAACATGACATACTGATAGTCAGGTCATACATTGTGAGAACTCGATTCCTGTTTTAGTCCAACATTGTGGAGATGTCAGCAGATATTTTTTAAACCTATAGGAAACCTTATTACTCATAAAAATATCTAGCCATCTGATTGGTTGGTCATTGTCGATTGGGAGGTCAGTATGGACACCATGATGTCATAGTGTTTGTGATATCACATGCTCGTCACATCACAATTGACCCAGTTCACAAATTGCCTTCACACATCAGACAGCGACACAGTGTAGAGCAAATGGCTCACAAACATGTAACAAAACATGAACTGTGTCTGTAACTGCTGTAACTACTGTAACTACTGATGAATTTGTTGCAAGTGTTCGTAGCAGGACGTACAGGACTAACAAGCTCAAAGTTTGTGTCCACCCCTTGACTCATGGTGTACAAGGCCACACAACCCGTAAAATCTCGTACACTCAACTACTGATACATGTCACTCATACTTGATACTCTAACCATTTGCTCTGTTGGAGAAAATATGATAGCTAGCAGATCCAATTTGTATACAGTTTAGTAATAAGCTACAAATAACTGAAATAAAGTGATCCCATCCTTAGTGACCTCCTAGCCACCTCCATTACCTACCAACACTGTGTAAATGTATTTCCCATAATGCACCACCACCAGCTTTTGACAACTTCTTGTTGTCTGACATTTTGACAGACTTCAGCAGCTTCATCAGTTCTTCATTCTCCTGTGAAAAATCCCAACAAGACATTTGGTGAACAAAATATTTCTGTGAAAAATGACAAACAAGCTGTTATATTTTTTTTATAATTTTTTTTATCTTGTTACCTCAGACGTATATCTTCTATCTTCTGCATCCTTGTATTACACGGGGGGGGGGGGGGGGGGGGAGATAGGTCATGATCCCCCTTCTCCCTTTAATCCTAAAGTAAACTACAAGTCCCTTTGTAATGTTCCCATTTATAACTTTTTTTATCATGTTTATTTGAAAAAGTAGAACTGTCATTTTTTCACCCATCTTGATATTTCTGGAATATTGCTAAAAGCAGTGTACAACAATAGTCACTTACTCGCCTCTGCTCACACTATCACACTTGTATAATAATTTACGGTATTTTGCTGAAGAACCCACATGAAAGGTTTTCCTGTTGTCCTTGTCGAAGGAGAGCTCCCAGATACATTTGACAGCAACCAGCTTCTCGTCATCGCTTCCATCCTTCACAATCTTCATCACTGTCGCCACGGCACCTTTCTTCTCAATCAGCTTCTTATTGTCATCATTCTTGGCCAACCCCGTCAGTCCCTCCACCAACTCCATCACACTACAGGAACAACATGCAGAACATACATCAGGTGGGGGCAGTGGGGTAGCCCTGTGGCTAAACATCAGGTGGGGGCAGTGGGGTAGCCCTGTGGCTAAACATCAGGTGGGGGCAGTGGGGTAGCTCTGTGGCTAAACATCAGGTGGGGGCAGTGGGGTAGCTCTGTGGCTAAACATCAGGTGGGGGCAGTGGGGTAGCTCAGTGGCTAAACATCAGGGGGGGAGGGGCAGTGGGGTAGCCCTGTGGCTAAACATCAGGTGGGGTAGTGCTGTAGCTAAACATCAGGTGGGGGCAGTGGGGTAGCCCAGTGGCTAAACATCAGGGGGGGAGGGGCAGTGGGGTAGCCCTGTGGCTAAACATCAGGTGGGGTAGTGCTGTAGCTAAACATCAGGTGGGGGCAGTGCTGTAGCTAAACATCAGGTGGGGGCAGTGGGGTAGCTCAGTGGCTAAACATCAGGGGGGGAGGGGCAGTGGGGTAGCCCTGTGGCTAAACATCAGGTGGGGTAGTGCTGTAGCTAAACATCAGGTGGGGGCAGTGCTGTAGCTAAACATCAGGTGGGGGCAGTGGGGTAGCCCAGTGGCTAAACATCAGGTGGGGGCAGTGGGGTAGCTCTGTGGCTAAACATCAGGTGGGGGCAGTGGGGTAGCTCTGTGGCTAAACATCAGGTGGGGGCAGTGGGGTAGCTCTGTGGCTAAACATCAGGTGGGGGCAGTGGGGTAGCTCTGTGGCTAAACATCAGGTGGGGGCAGTGGGGTAGCCCTGTGGCTAAACATCAGGTGGGGTAGTGCTGTAGCTAAACATCAGGTGGGGGCAGTGGGGTAGCCCAGTGGCTAAACATCAGGGGGGGAGGGGCAGTGGGGTAGCCCTGTGGCTAAACATCAGGTGGGGTAGTGCTGTAGCTAAACATCAGGTGGGGGCAGTGCTGTAGCTAAACATCAGGTGGGGGCAGTGGGGTAGCCCAGTGGCTAAACATCAGGTGGGGGCAGTGGGGTAGCCCAGTGGCTAAACATCAGGTGGGGGCAGTGGGGTAGCCCAGTGGCTAAACATCAGGTGGGGGCAGTGGGGTAGCCCTGTGGCTAAACATCAGGTGGGGGCAGTGGGGTAGCTCAGTGGCTAAACATCAGGTGGGGGCAGTGGGGTAGCCCAGTGGCTAAACATCAGGTGGGGGCAGTGGGGTAGCCCAGTGGCTAAACATCAGATGGGGGCAGTGGGGTAGCTCTGTGGCTAAACATCAGGTGGGGGCAGTGGGGTAGCCCAGTGGCTAAACATCAGGTGGGGGCAGTGGGGTAGCCCAGTGGCTAAACATCAGGTGGGGGCAGTGGGGTAGCCCAGTGGCTAAACATCAGGTGGGGGCAGTGGGGTAGCTCTGTGGCTAAACATCAGGTGGGGGCAGTGGGGTAGCCCAGTGGCTAAACATCAGGTGGGGGCAGTGGGGTAGCCCAGTGGCTAAACATCAGGTGGGGGCAGTGGGGTAGCCCAGTGGCTAAACATCAGGTGGGGGCAGTGGGGTAGCTCTGTGGCTAAACATCAGGTGGGGGCAGTGGGGTAGCCCAGTGGCTAAACATCAGGTGGGGGCAGTGGGGTAGCCCTGTGGCTAAACATCAGGTGGGGGCAGTGGGGTAGCCCAGTGGCTAAACATCAGGTGGGGGCAGTGGGGTAGCCCAGTGGCTAAACATCAGGTGGGGGCAGTGGGGTAGCTCAGTGGCTAAACATCAGGGGGGGGCAGTGCTGTAGCTAAACATCAGGTGGGGGCAGTGGGGTAGCCCAGTGGCTAAACATCAGGTGGGGGCAGTGGGGTAGCCCTGTGGCTAAACATCAGGTGGGGGCAGTGGGGTAGCCCAGTGGCTAAACATCAGGTGGGGGCAATGGGGTAGCTCAGTGGCTAAACATCAGGTGGGGGCAGTGGGGTAGCTCAGTGGCTAAACATCAGGTGGGGGCAGTGGGGTAGCCCAGTGGCTAAACATCAGGTGGGGTAGCCCTGTGGCTAAACATCAGGTGGGGGCAGTGGGATAGCCCTGTGGCTAAACATCAGGTAGGGGCAGTGGGGTAGCCATGTGGCTAAACATCAGGTGGGGGCAGTGGGGTAGCCCAGTGGCTAAACATCAGGTGGGGGCAGTGGGGTAGCCCTGTGGCTAAACATCAGGTGCACTTGTTTTATAAATAATCATTTTGAAAATGTTTCTGAGACGGTAGAAAGAACAAATAATTGTTCTGAAAGACAATTCTCTCCAACAGATTTGGCATCAGATCCTATGTCTGTGGTGTCAACACTATTGCAGGCAAATCAACTGAGGGCACCAACCTCTGACCTGTAGGCATTTCGCATACATCTTTATTTGTCTAGGCATCGAAGTAAAGAACTCTTGAGCCATATCATTGTACACAGCTGGTACATGTTAATGAGACTAGGATTTTCACATAGCATGAATGACCATGCATTCTTATCAGATCAGGGCTAAATGTTTTATTGCTTTGTCACTCTTTGCAAGAAAAAAAAGATCAGAATTATATTGCAACATTGAACAATTGGCATCCGCGTACCAGATAAACATTCCATGGCTTCCAGCATACGTCACTGCAGCATCCGGAATATCACTTAACAGTGCTCGGCATCTGGAATACCCTAAGGGGATTGGCACAGGGATCCGATGGTCTGGTGGCCTGTAAAGATCTGCACCCACAACCGTGCCACGATCCACAAGCCATGGGATCAAATTCCAGATTTCACCCCGATAAAGATTCTTGGTTCGTCAGCACCACACCCGTGTTAAATGGTATCGCCAAAGTGGTAAATGTATGACCTGTATCCCTTTTGACACACTCACTGTCTCACACAACTATACCTGAAACCATTATAGCGATGATCCTGTGCTTTCCAGGCCAACTTGATCATGCTAAGTATGAAGTCAAAGACAGAATCGTCAGCCAGAAGGAGGTCGTTCTGGGACTCATCAAGGATGTAGGACAAGGTCAGTAACGTCACCATCTTTACGTCTGGGGAACAAAGCCATGAATTACAAGGTCAGTAACGTCACCATCTTCACATCTGGGGAACAAAGCCATGAATTACAAGATCACTACAGTCACCATCTTTACATCTGGGGACAAAGCCATGAATTACAAGGTCAGTAACGTCACCATCTTCACATCTGGGGAACAAAGCCATGAATTACAAGGTCACTACAGTCACCATCTTTACATCTGGGGAACAAAGCCATGAATTACAAGATCACTAAAGTCACCATCTTTACATCTGGGGAACAAAGCCATGAATTACAAGATCACTAAAGTCACCATCTTTACATCTGGGGAACAAAGCCATGAATTACAAGATCACTAAAGTCACCATCTTTACATCTGGGGAACAAAGCCATGAATTACAAGGTCAGTAACATCACCATCTTTACATCTGGGGAACAAAGCAATGAATTACAAGATCACTAAAGTCACCATCTTTACATCTGGGGAACAAAGCCATGAATTACAAGGTCCGTAACATCACCATCTTTACATCTGGGGAACAAAGCAATGAATTACAAGATCACTAAAGTCACCATCTTTACATCTGGGGAACAAGCCATGAATTACAAGGTCAGTAAAGTTACCATCTTTACATCTGGGGAACAAAGCCATGAATTACAAGGTCAGTAAAGTTACCATCTTTACATCTGGGGACAAAGCCATGAATTACAAGGTCAGTAAAGTTACCATCTTTACATCTGGGGAACAAGCCATGAATTACAAGGTCAGTAAAGTTACCATCTTTACATCTGGGGAACAAAGCCATGAATTACAAGGTCAGTAAAGTTACCATCTTTACATCTGGGGACAAAGCCATGAATTACAAGGTCAGTAAAGTTACCATCTTTACATCTGGGGAACAAAGCCATGAATTACAAGATCACTAAAGTCACCATCTTTACATCTGGGGAACAAAGCCATGAATTACAAGGTCAGCAAAGTTACCATCTTTACATCTGGGGAACAAGCCATGAATTACAAGGTCAGTAAAGTTACCATCTTTACATCTGGGGAACAAAGCCATGAATTACAAGGTCAGTAAAGTTACCATCTTTACATCTGGGGAACAAAGCCATGAATTACAAGATCACTAAAGTCACCATCTTTACATCTGGGGACAAAGCCATGAATTACAAGGTCAGTAAAGTTACCATCTTTACATCTGGGGACAAAGCCATGAATTACAAGGTCAGTAACGTCACCATCTTCACATCTGGGGAACAAAGCCATGAATTACAAGATCCCTACAGTCACCATCTTTACATCTGGGGACAAAGCCATGAATTACAAGGTCAGTAACGTCACCATCTTCACATCTGGGGAACAAAGCCATGAATTACAAGGTCACTACAGTCACCATCTTTACATCTGGGGACAAAGCCATGAATTACAAGATCACTAAAGTCACCATCTTCACATCTGGGGAACAAAGCCATGAATTACAAGATCACTAAAGTCACCATCTTTACATCTGGGGAACAAAGCCATGAATTACAAGATCACTAAAGTCACCATCTTTACATCTGGGGAACAAAGCCATGAATTACAAGGTCAGTAACATCACCATCTTTACGTCTGGGGAACAAAGCCATGAATTACAAGATCACTAAAGTCACCATCTTTACATCTGGGGACAAAGCCATGAATTACAAGGTCAGTAACGTCACCATCTTCACATCTGGGGAACAAAGCCATGAATTACAAGATCCCTACAGTCACCATCTTTACATCTGGGGACAAAGCCATGAATTACAAGGTCAGTAACGTCACCATCTTCACATCTGGGGAACAAAGCAATGAATTACAAGGTCACTACAGTCACCATCTTTACATCTGGGGACAAAGCCATGAATTACAAGGTCAGTAACGTCACCATCTTCACATCTGGGGAACAAAGCCATGAATTACAAGATCACTACAGTCACCATCTTTACATCTGGGGAACAAAGCCATGAATTACAAGGTCAGTAACGTAACCATCTTTACATCTGGGGAACAAAGCCATGAATTACAAGGTCACTACGGTCACCATCTTTACATCTGGGGAACAAAGCCATGAATTACAAGGTCAGTAACATCACCATCTTTACATCTGGGGAACAAAGCCATGAATTACAAGATCACTAAAGTCACCATCTTTACATCTGGGGAACAAAGCCATGAATTACAAGATCACTAAAGTCACCATCTTTACATCTGGGGAACAAAGCCATGAATTACAAGGTCAGTAACATCACCATCTTTACGTCTGGGGAACAAAGCCATGAATTACAAGATCACTAAAGTCACCATCTTTACATCTGGGGAACAAAGCCATGAATTACAAGATCACTAAAGTCACCATCTTTACATCTGGGGAACAAAGCCATGAATTACAAGATCAGTAAAGCTTTTGCCATCTCTGCCTCTTGGAACAAAGTTTGAATCAGTGTTCGAAGTCACTTCCAAAGAAAATCCACTCAGAAAAGATGATCCATCTTTTCATGTAGCTTTCAGATTATTCTCAAAATATATCTTACCTGTTTTTTTAGATTTAAGAAAGGGCAACAAGTGTTTGCCGATCTCCTGGGCCCGCATCAATGGCCGATTTGCTGGACTCTTGGATGTATTGTGAAGGATGCCAACACACGATTCAAAGGAGTAACCCAGGTCCTTTAACAGGAAAATGGTTAGATGACACAGATGTAAATCATACACTAAAACCTCCAGTGATGTCATCCTATTGTTCTCCAGTAGGGATAAACCTTATAACAGGTATGTGATAATATCCCCGGGATATCAAATCAAATCCCAGGGATTTTATTTATACAACTTCCATTTAAATTGTTATATACGAATGTTTCTTGCTAGAAATTTATTTTGCATTTTACCACAAGGTATTGAAATCTAAAATCAAATAACAAATGTTTTCTTTATATTCCCAAGGATCAAACACACAACCTTTGTATCTGTAGCCCAGTGAGTGTACCACCAGACTACAGGGGCGCTGATAAATCACAAAGCTTTTAAGAACGTCTTTTCAAAGTACAATACACCGCCAGCAACAGATATTTTACGCCCGTTTCCTAAGGTTCATAGAAAGTATGTTTGAAACATAAAATGTTGATAAATGTTGTTTTAAGTTTCATTTTTCAGTTCATAAGTTAGATAAAACACTTACCCTCAGGTTTTTATGATATTTAAACCCCTTATCCTTGGGATAAAACCACAGGGTTGACGCCCCTCAGTTTTATCTTGCAGATGCGAGTTTTAAATATCACAAAAACCCTCGGACGTGCTTTATCCTACCCATATCTCATGGCTAGACAAATTATTTTTCCTTGTTTTGAAGATAGACCTAATCTTGGCCGTCTGAAACATAACTAGTGTTACTACACTGTAGCTCACCTTGATATACAGTCAACAGTTAAAAATGTCAACAAAGACAACATGTTGATAAAAGAGGACAAATATATTGAAAAATATGAAACAGGTAACTAAATTTCCAGTTTCTAAGTCTGCAAGAATGAATGAACTATTGTTTAACATTGTTGCAAAATAATGATGTACAACATTTATATTTATTTGACACAAAGTTTCGACTCTGCACCTTATCAAATTCTCAGGAGGATATTGTTTCTAACGATAATATACAATATATTGCAAAATCCTTATGATTTCAACAAAATATCATAAAAAGATAAATGTCCGAGGTTCAGCTTCATGAGTTTCAGAGAACAAGTTTACAGAGTCTGTATCTGTGTACTAGTCCGGACTCAAACTGGTTTTATAGTGCTAGACCCCCCTGAGATATCATACTGCAGTTTCTCATAGACATGATAGACACCCAACCTCAAATACAGTATACTGACTCAGAGTCGACCAGTCATTGTTTTATCCCCTTAATGTGGAGTAACAGGCAGGGAAACAACAAGTACCAACATCTTTTGGTATGATGCGGCCAGGGATCGAACCACAGACCTTCTGCTGTATGGGCACAGGCTCTATCCACAAGACCAAAGAGGCGGTCAGATGCTTACAAAAGATACAACTACCAAATGATGATAATAATGATATATATAACAACAATACTAACGACTTGGCAGACTCCACTTCACAGAGCAGATGCTTGAAGCAATATTACCTCAGTCAACAGGTCACTGGCAGACCCAGGGAAGTAAACAACCCAAGCTGCCTTGTAGATGCTACCAGGTTTTGCATCATCTTCCTGAGGCAAGGGAGTTAACTGACTTTAAAAGTTCAGTTTCCACCCTTGCCAAACTAGGCTTGAATTATGAAGTTACAATTTAGCTGGATTAACGATTCTATGCATAGTCCAATCAAAATCGACATCAGGTTTGTAAACTGCTGTGCAGATTTCAGTCGATTGCAGGATTTTCAATGCATGTGTACTGTCAGCTCAGCATATATCCACAGATATATTCCAAATCTTTTCATGTTTTCAATCAGGTGCTCACGTGATCTGATGAACGTCACGAAGTGAGACCCTTTTAATTACAATATGGATTTTGATTATCGATTAGATCGTCATGACTGAGCACCGCCATTTGTTTGATAAGTGATATGAGAGGGGGAATCTGATTGATCAATAGGAGGGACATATAAGGGACATAACTCATAATAGCCACTTGACTCCTTTGCCTCGGGAAGATGGTTTCGCATTCATATTACCATCTCATTATTCCTTTCACCCACATGAACAAAGCCACCAGCCACATACCTTAATCAGTGTGGCTGGGTAATGTATAAGACCTGGAAACCCCAGGAGTCAAACTTGCCAAGCGTGGTCACCATCTACTCATGGCCACCAACACCACTTGACTTAAACTGATTGTGAGCTGTGCACTGTCACTATTCAGCTACAGTCCGTTTGACTCCAAATGAGAACGATGAATTGCAAAATAACTCGAAATCCAGAAAAGTGTATGAAACATCAATACGGTACTTGACCATGAATACCCTGTACCCAACAAAATCTGAATTTTGTTTATTTTAAGACCCATGACGGATGAAGTTCTTTAAGAAACTATCATGTACTTTTGTATAGAAATGTGTACATGACCACGTAGGGGGGACAAACTCCTTTACGGTTATTAGAGGTTGGAGTCTTGCTCTCTGGATCCTGCACACTATGATACGGTGCATCGTCCATGACAATGAAAGACTTGGTAGGCAAAGCAGGGACTAATTTATCTTTCACCCACTCCAGAAATACATTGCCCTTCATTTCTGTGTGGTAGTCCCTGTTGTCTTTGGCCTTGGCTCTAAAGATGTGGTCACAGTCTGGGAGAAAACCCTGACTAGCAGAACCAGCATGGAGAACTATGAGTCTTTCACCCTTTCCCATTGGTAACTTTCTACCAGACTCCTTACAGTTACCACTGGGTACCCACTGACTGCTGGCTGTGTGTGACGCATTTACCCATGTCTCATCTAAGAAGACGGGCTCATATCCTTCTTCACGTTTCTGCTTGATGGTACGAAGGTAATGATTTCGGAAACGAACAATGTCAGACCGTTCACACAACACAGCCCTATTTTCTCCAGTTATCTTTTTGTATTTGTAACCAAATGTATGCAACAGCTGCCATAGTTTGTACTTTGTAACACGTAAATCATGGTCAGTTTCAAGGTGTTTCTTCAAAATTCTTAGGGACAGGTACTTATTTTCTGAGTGCAGTTTAACAATTGCACGTCTGACTTGATCCCTCTGAAAACTGTCTAATTTATCAACCTTGCGTGGTTTTGACATGTTCCCTACCTCCTTGGCCTGACTATTTGTATCTCATCGACTAACAACATTTTTAAGTTTCTGAGGGGACATACCAAGAGCTTTTGAAGCTCGTTTCAAGAATTTATTAATTGCATAAAAAGGCTTTGCTCTTTCTGCTTCACTTCTAAGGAAATCATACACATTCAACATCAACTGTTTAACATCTGCTGAGTAGCGCATCTTGTCATTGAATGAACACGGTCACTGTGTAGCATGTGCAGACTGTGCTTGCGCTGTGCCTTCCACGGTTTGTCCCCCCTATGTGTCATGTACACATTTCTATACAAAATTACATGATAGTTTCTTAAAGAACTTCATCCGTCATGGGTCTTAAAATAAACAAAATTCAGATTTTGTTGGGTACAGGGTATTCATGGTCAAGTACCGTATTGATGTTTCATACACTTTTCTGGATTTTGAGTTATTTTGCAATTCATCGTTCTCATTTGGAGTCAAACGGACTGTACTTGAGAAGCTAATTACAATTCTTCAGCAAACCTACCCCTTCCTTCATGTGCTGAAGGTCCTTCCCAAGATCTTCAAACACTCCAGTGCTGCCAAGTCTCTCCGAGAACAGTGAACTTGCATCAGAATAATTCCACATTATACCCCGGATGGTAAAAACAAACATCATCTCTGGTTTTGTTACCAATCCCTGCAGGATGCTGTCTGTCATGTACTCCAACTTTTCTTTCATCATTATGGCTTTGTATGAATCATATAAGACAATGGCTGCATCAATTTCAGCTAAAAAATCAGCCATGAGTGTTCTGTTTCTTTCATTCTCCTCCATGAACTTCAGTGACAAATCTCTTTCAATTGAATTCTGCAAATAACTCCTTTCTGTTTCAAGTAGTAGGTCCCCCTTCAGGACAGACACAAATTTGTACTGACCATCAAAAGTAGCAGCTAAATCAGGGTGTTTTTTCTTCATTGCATGCAACACTTTCGCGTCTGCTTCACTCATGTCAGCTACGTTGGTCTTTTCCTCTTGAACAGCCTTGGGCTCTGCAACCGATTTCCCAAACACATCCTCCTTTTTTTGGGGATCATACAATGGAGCATCCACTTCATCTTCTCCGCCATCTTGTGGGTGTGGCTTCTTATTATTTTCAACGGAAACAGACTGGACTGGTGGTGGTGGTGGCGGTGGTGGTGCAGATGCTGTTGCTGGTGCTGGTGCTGGTGCTTTGTCTTTACTTTGCTTCCCGGTTGACCTTGACCTGTTCATTTCTGGATCAGGATCATCAGCCTCCGGCTTAGCTATGCTAGAGGTACTGCCCATCTGTAGCACGCTCAACTTGACTTCGTGGACTTACTTGCATCAGGGAAGTAGCCTGAAATAACACAGACATATTTTATCACATCAACTTGATATCAATCTCAAAACAGATCTGAGTGCTCGTACGGGTGTAATTTTAATGAGATTGAGTTGATATTTTTATGAACATGAACTTTATCAGGATAACAGATGAAAAAAACATGCTATTTTACAAGAAAAGCCACATTTTCTTCTTGTTGAGGATTTTCAGATTGATCTCAGCCTCGTCATGTGATGTAACATGTTCTGGATACTATACTAATTCTAATCGCATTATCAAAAATTTATGACAATGTTTTGCCTGAAGAATATCCTCACATATTAATGTAAATGAAATATCCAAGCATATATAGAACAAAATCATCCAATGCTAAGACTATAATAATAACTACAAATATAATATAATATATATATATAACCCCTGTACTAACACCATGTCTTTCTGACTGCACAGTTCTCATGTTCCTACGTTTTGATGCTGCTTTTCAATGTCACACCCCAGTAAAGTCAACTCTCACATGTATCAATTACTCTTCTCTATACTGTATTTCAGTTGATGTAATATTTAAAAAATTAAAATCTTCTCTTAACTCCATACTATGAAGTAGACCGTTGATCGGGCTATTAGTGTAGCGCTTTAAACACATTATTTTACAAATTAGACCCCGACAATTCAGTTATTTTCATTCTTGTCATACTGTCCTGCTCATCTCTCAGACACTGGGACTGACCAGCTGCTGTCAGTACACATATGTCAACATATTTTTAATATATTTCAACCTTTTCCTTGAGATTTGACAAATCTTTGGTAAACCTTTATCATATTGGTTGGTTGGTTGGTTTGTTGTTTAACACTGCACTCAGCAATATTCCAGCAATATGACGGCGGTCTGTAAATAATCGAGTCTGGACCAGACAATCAAGTGATTGATATCATGAGCATCGATCCACGAAATTGGGATCCATGACCGTGCATCAACCAAGTCAGCGAGCCTGACCACCCAATCCCGTTAGTCGCCTTTTATGACAAGCATAGTCGCCTTTTACGGCAAGCATGGGTTGCTGAAGACCTATTCTACCCCGCATCTTCACGGGTCGCCTTTATCATAAATAGGTGGCATGCATATCCTTCTTATATTAATCAAAATTACACTGTCAGCACTGGAAGGTACACTGTAGGGTTGGAGGAACATCATAGAATGGTTGCAGGCACATGGTACTGATGTGATGTGTAACCAGACAGAATTAGGCCTATCTAACTTCCTTATTGCCGGAATTGACTGTAAATGAATATTTAGCTGAAAAGCCAACATCATCAATATACATCCATCAATCCGTCATTTTCTTTTAATATAAAACAATTTGTACATTAAGTTTTATCAAAGGGTAATAATATTTTTTTCACATTTTCAATTTGTTGGTTTGATAAGGGAAAGCAGGGCATGTCTTAATTTTTGCCTTATGTATTATCAGTATTTTTATTACACACTATTTCTTAAATTTACAACATTGTGGAAAGTGCATGCATCTGGTTGAAGGATTCACTGGTCACAACTTAATGAATCCACGGACAGGTCTGTGATGAATCTTAACTGTCAGAAGAAATTCAACATCATAATGACCTGAACAAACGTAAGTTTTACTCAAATCTCAAAGTCAGTTTTTTAACTTAAGTTTATTTCGAGAAATCGGGGCCTGGATTGTACCTTTGTTACCTGGTTACTGTAAATCCTTGAATATACGCCCAGGATATATTTAGTTTGGAAGGTCTCGAGACATGACATTTATACAAGGCATTTATTTTTTTCAGATGGGGAATTTATGATCATAGCCTTGGATTTTTCGCTTGTTCTGTACCTCCAACTATTACGGTATACAATAGGCTTCTCATCCATATGTTAGTAGGCTTACATATCTATACTTTGTAAACTAAAATGCCACACGTTGTTTATTCAAGGCCGAGGGTTGTGTGACCCGGCGTTTTTTCGAGGAAGTCGTTTCAATGATTCGCCTGTATGGGCCCGCCTCTATTGCTGGTTTTCTTCTAATAGCTTTCCTATTATTCCTTTTGAGACTCAAAATTACATCTTACACATAACTTCCCTCTTTTCATAAGTTAGTACTGTTATTGTGGGATTCTTATGAGCTCGTGACGCGAGATCAGGTCTGGGTGCTCTGAACCATGACCAGTGTTGTTTATTTGAAAACAGCTGAACACGCGTTTCCCCCTGGGAATCCCTGCCTGGACCAAATTCACTTTTCGAAATAATAAAAGTAACACTACATCGAACGCTACTCTTACATCATCAGTCCCGAGACTCCCGGTGATACCTGTCGCATGTCAACCTTGGAGTGTCAAGCGACTTCTTCACATCTGTAGAGACTATTGCTAGGCAAAACGTAAACACAGAGTCAGGGGACATAACTCTTGAGACGATCCCATTCATTAGTGAGTCCAAAGAGCTGTCTCGGGTTTTAGGGGTTTGGGGGAAAATAGTTGTACACTGTTCAGTAAATATTGTATTTTAATGGTTATATTCCTTTTTGACGATTATCTATTCAGAAGGTGGTTGTCTTCAGGCAGTATTGTTGACTCTTTGAGTGGATGTAGATATTGTTTTTTTGTTCTTTATCACTTATTTTGTCGTTTTATGAATGCTTATTCAGCAAGCAGTTAAAATCTGACGAAAACTACTGCTACTACAACTCGCTTTGAGATCACCATTCACTGAACGAAGATCGATACATTCAACTAATGTCTCCATCAGTCTAATATAAATGTCGTAATTAGTATTTCGATATGATATTGACATTTCTTTTGATTTTCTTCTTCTTTTGGTGGGTGGGGTTAGACGACTGGGCCGCTCGTGCCCCTCAAATGGATCTGAAAAGGGTGACTTTAAGTGAAGTTTCTCCATAGGGTTGACATTTCATACGTTTTTTCTTCATTTTCTCTCTTAAAATGTCAATCGATTAATATATAAAATAACCTACACGAAACTTCATATTATCTGTGGTGGCACGTGTTCCTATGCACAGCGCACAGGTCACAAAACAGGTGAAGTTTAAGCAATGTCGGTCTCGTAAAGTCCTTTGATGGGTGACCGCGTTTCGGCAGCATTGTTGACGTCATTCGAACCTTATTGTGACGTAAGGTCGGAATGACGTCACACTACAAACGACGTCATAATTGAAGATTGTTGACGTCATTCGGCAAATTGTGGCTGCTGTTGCGACTTGCTGTCCTTATAGGTGAACACTAAAATCCGTCTCTGTATGTAGACATCTTCTTCGGTAATAAATAGTTCATTATGTTCGTGTTAATGTCATACTAAGTTTACGATACTTAGGACCACAAAAAATATAATTCAATCGGCTTCAATTCATATTTATTACAGAGACACATTTGGACCCATTTTCAGACTTATGAGTGTTTATGTAATAATTGCAGTTTATATAATGTCTGATTAATTGAAAGTAGACATGTATTCTGAAATGCTTTGAAATAATGTTTTTATTACATTACAAACTAACTAGAGAAAAGTACAAAAAAAAAAAAAGGTTTACAGTCCGCACACATGTACTGACCCATAGATCGATGGATTGAGTTTTATAGTTGCAGAAAGTAAAATGATTCTCATTGTTGTGTGCTTGTTATTAAGAAATATGTTTTGACATATGCAGGAACTTTAATAACTTCAATTGGCAGTGAAAAGTGAGTGGTGTACGTTTAGGAGGACACTATATTCTATTACTTGTAGATGCATGCTCTACCCGGGTGGTTGCGACTCTTGGGACCCGGGTTCGATTCCCTACATGGCCATCTTTTGGTGTCCTCCGTCTTATATTGTTGTTATTGTGACCACTCACTCACTCACTCTCTCACAACAGTTCAGGAGAGATTGGTATGACTTAGTGATTACAGCTTGTTACACAGAAGATCCGGGTCTTATATATGGGTACAATTTGTGAAGTCCATTCTCGGCCTAATTGCCATGAGTCATATATAGAGATTGAATATGTGTGTCATACTGATTTTACGAAATGAGTACAGTAAACTACGGTTATGACGTACTCAAAGGGACTACTAATTTTAGTTCGTTATAAGATTATATACAGCATAACTACAGCAAATAGTCGGGACCAAAAACGTAAGTTCGTTATAAACGTCAGTTCGTTATAAGCGCGTTCGTTATAACCGTAGTTTACTGTATCAGGATGTTTGTATTTCCCGGGCGAGAGCAAGGGTAATACATGAATTCTTAAATGGGTTTTGTAAAATCATTGTAACACACGTGCGAGTATAATAATTTCTTTATTACCCATTATAACTTAATTCGTTTAATCTCCCCTTGTACTGAGTGTGACGTCATTCCGACCTACCGTATTTCCTCTATTAGACGCCCGGGCTTCTGTTTATTTCGGACAAGCCTTTGACGCGGCGTCAATTAGGAGCCCGGCGTCTATGGGAGGCCCGGCTTCTATTAATACCCCCATTTCACTATGACCACGAATGTCCCGAATCGTCACCAAATGGAAATATTTTGTGTTCGTAGATATCCGTAAGATATTGATCGACCCGGCGTCTATTAGAGGCCCGGCTTCTATTTTTTGCACTGAACAATTGACCCGGCTTTCTATTAGAGGCCGGCGTCTATTAGAGGCCCGGCGTCTAATAGAGGAAATACGGTAACATCAAAAAAAAGGATTTTAAGGATGCCAGCAATGCCGTCCACGTGACGTAAACAATACACTGATGCGCGTGAAGTGATATTTGCACTAGTGCGCAAACGATTTTTTATGAACTCAGTTATTTCTAACATTATGGTTACTAAATAGCTGTAACACTGAAGTTAGCGGAGTAAAACCACACTCGCTGACCCTGCAGGCCCAATCTGTACATATACCCCTTGTTAGATAGGTTTGTCACCGCTTTATTTGTCCGCCATGTTTGTCATGGTGCCGAGTAAAATTAGGATTAGATGGCCTAGCTAAGCTCGATTGTTCCCAACCAGATCGCTGTAATATAGCTGTTGGTATTGTTGACCAGAATCACTTCTTTCTATATAGCAGTAAATGTCACAGCTAATATTAACTCAGTTTGGCGATCAGATTATATTATATATACTGTTGAAACGTATACTGAACAGTTTTACGCTAATGTTTAAGCTTTCGAAGATAGAAAGACTTTGATTTTGTTTTATGAATAAGTGATACTGTAGTGAATCTCAGTATTATGATTGTGCTATCTGGGTGTCAGTGGGGAGATTGTTTGTTGTTTACGCAGCACTCAGAAATATTCCAACCATATGACGGCGGTCTGGAAATAACTGAATCTGAAGCAGACAATCAAGTGATTGACATCATGAGCATCGATCTACGCAGTTGGAATATAATGACATGTATCAACCGTGTCAGTGAGTCTTGACCACCCGATTCGGTAAGTCGCCTCTTATGACAAAACACAGATGCTAAGAACGGATCATCGCGACGTGTCTTCAGAGAGACTGACACAGCCTAACGCATTGTTATATGAAGGAAGCTATTATTGGTCTCATGTGACTATCTTACCAGAAACTGCGTAGTTATAAAACTGATCGTTGTAAGTCTCTTTGAAAACGTAAAGGAGAACTATTGTCGAATGAAACATTTCTGTACGTGGAATACATTTCATGCCCTAATGAAATGATACAGTACATTACACACGACTGCGTGTTGCACGTGCAATCCATGCGAATTCGTATCGGTTAAAGAATTCGTGTCAGTATATTACCAGGGACATAATGCCAGGAATTGCACACAATGAAACCCACATCAGAGGTCAAATGGTCTCTGCCCACATGTATCACCGAGGAAATGAAATCCGGCTTTGGTTTTCCGAAAACACCCGATTCATTTCGAGTGCTTTGCGGAAGTCATATACACGCATGCGTTGTTGTCAAGATATACAATAATGGCGGTCCATGTGCAGTCTTGTTTACAAAAATGACATCTCTGAGTGTGTTTTGAAGACATGTTGAAGAAATGAATAATTGGTGTTAATGACAAGTATGGATACACTTGGCTGTATTTAAAACTAGTCGAAATGGCGATGGAAAAGCAATATGTCATACGTGAAACTCACACAAGGTCCATCACTGCCCTGGGATACAACCCTGCTCGGCGGGAGATTCTAATGGGATGTGAAGGTAAAATAATGGCATGATGGTGCATAAAATTATGAATGTGGTGACATTGTTATTCACATATCGGTAGTTTTGTACCTCCAGTAGAAGAGACTACACTATGTCAACACGCTGACTTACTATTAGCAGCTGATTAGGCCTTAGAAATAATTTGCACACCTTGTCAAAACAAATTGATGTCAGTAATGTCAAACCGAATGAACACATCGGGTAGGAATACCCAATATTGCCAGGGGTGGTAGAACCCACAATAATACAGAGTCAATTGAAATCAATTATTGTCACTTAAGTTAGACCATGTACTTTGTTGAGTAGATCTTTTTTACCTGTTAACAAAATCAATCAGGCTCCCCATAATATTAGATAACCCCTCATAATTATTTATGCATAATCTATGAACATTAATGAAGTTGACAACAATACAGAATTGAAGTTAGATAAACTGCCAGTGATACAAATTTACTCAAATTGATAACAATCTGCTACTTTTGACACAAGTCTGAAGCCTGAGTTTACTAAAATTCCTTTCAGTCCAGTAAAACCATCTGTAAAACTTCATATGATAACACTAAAATGTACTGAAAATAATGCTCAGAGCCAAGTTCAGGCTATTGGACTCCAAAAGGTTTTTTACACGGTCTTTGATACTAATTGTAAGCAGATCATTATTGTTATAGTTATGCTATAGCAAATATAGTGTCAATCATCCTAATGTTCCTAGCCCAGGATGCAATAAAATAAAAATGAGAAAAACAAAGACAGACTTCCAGTGAATTAATAATTGTTTTAGCTGCAATAATTTTAAGGAATTTTGAGTAAGGTCATGGGGCATTGGGTGGCTTCTTTGTCTAAGGTGCAGCGATTTGCCAGAAACCTATATGATCATGGGTTTCAATACCACATTCACCCTAATTATCGTGATTATGTCAAGAAAATGCCAATTTTTACCATTTGTATATCATTTTGTGTAGGACATAACTACTATTAGTAACTTTTTACTTATCTTGAATGCATATTAGTGTAGCATTGTTTCATTTTTTTGTAGATGGTGTGATCAAGGTATGGGAGGCTGAGAGCGGGAAGTTGTTGTTGACATCAACAGAACATGGGGGATGGGTCACAGACTTCCTCTTCTGGTAACAACAAATCATTACTGTTTTAAAATATGTGTTTTGCAAATCTGATAGTTCTATTTAGACTCATATAGATTTGTGTGCCCATATACTTAACTATTCACCTTTATGTCTTGTTTCCAACAAATTTTTGTTCTGACTAGATTGACATATTTTGACATCTAGGAATATATAGATAGTGAACAAAAGTGTCTTTCCTTGTTATTAAATTTAGACCAGTCCCTATTTATTGTTGATCGTGTGTTCCAGGGCCAGGGCCAAGCTCATGCTGTCAGCTGCCAATGATGGTTTTATTGTTGCGTGGGGGTCCGGTGGTGCGCTATATGACAAGATCCAGGTCAGTCATGTTGTTAGAACACTATACGAATTGCCCTCACAAATATTGATTAGAAGAGAATACATGGAAATCTTCCTTACCCAAGACTACCAAGACAAGCAGGAGCAGCTGCAGTCCTGTAGATCAAGATATTGATGCATCACCACGATCACTAGCTTGATGGGAGTGCAGATCCCTGGCCTAAAATGTGTTTTAAAATTATGTACTTTTATCCCCACCTTTGAAATTTAAGAACATTATATCTTTAATCATTGAGGGGGGCACGGGTGGCCCAGTCGTCTAAGGTGCTGCGATTTGCTGTGCAGAGTTGCATCCCTTGGGCACGCCAGAAACCTATAATTGTGGGTTCGAAGCCAGGATCGCCCTGATTATGTTTCTAGGTTTGTCAGCATCATACCCGTGCTCGTGGGTTTCACCGAACTTTTCCCACAAACTAAACTTCGATCACTTGACATGTTGTCTAACTTCCTTACACTCAATACCTGGAAATTCCAAATAAGGTTTTTTTAAATGAGATTGGTAGGGTCAACTGACAATGGAGTTAACATACAAGTTGATCTTTTGAATGTAAATGGGCCGTGTTATGTATTCACCACCTCTGCTGTTGCCATGGTTTCTGTCGTGGACATTTGTACCAGGTGGATGAGCAGTGATTTGCCTTATATTATAGGATTATTTGGCAAGGGTGCCAAGAACAAAGATGTGTCACTGTACATGGTTGCCATAGCTGGTTGATCCACTGCAAACAGACAGTGACTAGACATGCTAGACTTGGCACAGGACCCACAGAGATATACTGAATCAAGTGCTAAATTACATTGTTTATTAGGTGCTTTGTTACTAATATGTCATTGTTTCCAGCATGTGCAGTGAACCTGACATGACAGTTAATTCTATTGAAACAGTTACAAAAGCCACTACATATACTTTGAGCTTATAGATATCTTAGTGTGTTTTCATCTGTCTGCAAATACTACCCAACCTTCCTGTGTCATTATATTCTATAGGTATTACCATGATTACCATGCACAAGACTCATAGTTTCAGTTTTTTCTGAAATCCATTAATGCAATGAAAGTGGGTTTGAGTTTCTTGTGATCCATTAAATACTGTATACTAATACTACCGTTAGGATTCAGCATGAATGAAATAACTTCGCATGTTTATGTTTTGGGGATTCTCAAAGCTGAGTGGTCAGCATGGTCAGATTAAGCAGTAGATTACATTTTGCTGCATTGCTGAAAACAATATCAAATAGCTTGATTTAAAAGACAATGTGTGTATATCAGTGGTATATAATAATCTACTTCAGTACTTGAAACTCATCATAATTAATTATCTGTCATTTGATTATAGTTTAGTTAATGCTATAAGTATGAAGCCAAGTGTTTGGCACCTTTACCCTGTGTACACACAATTCCTAAAGTAGAGTCTCTACCTCCTCCATGGCTTTCCTCTCTGTGGTTGTTGACAGATTGGTGTGCCTGTGTACTGCCTGGCGCTCAACCCACGGCGCCATCAGCTGGTCTGTGGGGTGAATGGCGGCATCAGAGTGTACAGCCTTGATGAAAGTAAGATGGTCTCAGTTGTTCCCAAATGATCATTTATGTGGCTATTTCAGTTTCTGCACAAGAACATTATCCATATATCTCTTTGTGTCCAAATGTTTTGAGGACCTTGACTAGAAGTGAGTGTATGTCATGGCCTATCTAGTGTTCATCATCTGACTACACATAGTTTGTTTTGATTCTGTCCTTTTTGACAGATAAGCCTAACCATTATTTTGCAATGACAAAAAAAAAAGAAATAATCTGCAATTGATTGACAGTAAAAAACATTTAGCTTTTTTCCAACCAACCCAACAACAATATTTTCCCTACCTTCCCCTGACACATTGACACCTAAGTCTGGAAACAAACAAAGTCTGGAAACAAACAAAATTGGGGTGGGCCAACTGAGTGGATATATATGAAATGTTTCATTTTCAGGATGGTTGGAGTTTGAATTCATCATCCATCTAACATAGTGCACTCCTTTCACTGAAAGGTCAAGCTTTTCACAGATGTTCATTATGCATTTACAATCAAACAAAAGTTTGAGTTCACTGGGGTTCGAGACATCAGGGGAAATTTAGGCTTAATTTTGATACTTCGTTCTCCCAATCTTGTTTGAGACAACCAGGAATTCGACTCATCCTAGTTTTACTGTTTAAGATGACACATCTTTTTTTTAGGCTCCAAATTTGACAGTCAAGTTTTCTGTAAAATGGTATGTTAATATGAAATAAGGTACCGTATTCAACGTAATAAGCGCCCAAGGCAATATTTGCTAATATATTGGCTAGTGAACAATCCCAATTAGCACCCTTTCCGACTTATTTATTCGTGTATAATATGCACTCATGTGTTATATGAACCCTTAATTATGGGCAATTAAATTCTCGAAAATATATCTATTGTGTATAATACGCACAGATTCTTCTTTTATATCATTTCAGGCTGTCAGCATAAACCACAAAATTTACAATCTTTCAACCTCGTTTTTAATCGCACCAAAATTCTGTTCTTATAAGAGCCCCCTATTTCTAATTTTGAGAGTGCCCTGGGCGCTTAAGACGTCGAATACAGTAAGTTGTTAAGGAGTATACTGTAGCAATGTAGTGTGTACAGTACCTGTGTGTTTATGAGGCTGTCTGTTCTAGACAAAGAGTGTGGGCATGTCGTCAACAACCGGGTGCTGTATGTAGCCAGAGAACACACGGATATCGTCAGGAACATTGTGTGTTACGAGTCACGGATATACTCCGCTGGGTAGGTCTTTGTGTTGTTAGGCTTACTCCACAATAATGACAATTCCTACTTTGATTTATCTGTAGAAAGACAGTTGAAGTTATCCTAAATGTTTCTAGGATCCCAATATAATGTTTTCTTGTACCTGAAGTTTACACATGAATGCAGACTCTAGTATCTCCCGGTCAGACGGTGGAATCATAAAGAGCAAACAAAACAAATGAATCATTGGGAATGATCATGATGATTAATATCCTCTGTGTGTGTGTTTGTGCATGTGTGTGTGTGTGTTTGTGTTTGTGCATGTGTGTTTGTGCATGTGTGTGTGTTTGTGCATGTGTGTGTGTTTGTGCATGTGTGTGTGTTTGTGCATGTGTGTGTGTTTGTGCATGTGTGTGCTTGTGCATGTGTGTGCTTGTGCATGTGTGTGTGTGCTTATGCATGTGTGTGTGTTTGTGCATGTGTGTGTGTGTTTGTGCATGTGTGTGTGTGCATGTGTGTTTGTGTATGTGTGTTTGTGCATGTGTGTGTGTGTTTGCGTGTGTGTGTGTGTTTGCGCATGTGTGTTTGTGTATGTTTGTGCATGTGTGTGTGTGTTTGTGCATGTGTGTGTGTGCATGTGTGTGTGTGTTTGTGCATGTGTGTGTGTGTTTGTGCATGTGTGTGTGTTTGTGCATGTGTGTGTGTGTTTGTGTATGTGTGTGTGTTGGTACATGTGTGTGTGTGTTTGTGCATGTGTGTGTGCTTCTGCATGTGTGTGTGTGTGTTTGTGCATGTGTGTGTGTTTGTGCATGTGTGTTTGTGTATGTGTGTGTGTTGGTGCATGTGTGTGTGTGTTTGTGCATGTGTGTGTGTTTGTGCATGTGTGTGTGTGTTTGTGCATGTGTGTGTGTGTTTGTGCATGTCTGTGTCCAACAGTAATCAGCCCCACAGCAGAGTTTCTCAACTAACATGGTCGAGACAAAGAAACTTTCACTATACATATCAAATATTTATGGAGAAGGGTTCAAAATTAGCAATATGTCTGTCAGTCCAGGAGTAGTGAAACTCAACAAGGACTAGTAACGTATCCCTGTGGACTTCCACTTCCACAGTTAGGTAGATGGCAACTCTGTTGCAGATCATTTCCATAGTGAAATAAAACTTAATGTCATAGAGATAGTCTAACCCATGTGCATGTCATCTGCATGACAATGATGCTAAGTATCCCAAGATCCGGGTTACAATAGGGCTTCAGCAACCCATGCTTGCTGTAAAAGGCTTGTCGTAAGAGGCAACTAACAGGGGATCGGGTGGTTATTCACACTGACTTGGTTGATACATGTCATCGTATCCCAATTGCGTTGATCCATGCTCATTATTTGTCAATCACTGGATTGTCTGGTCTCGATTATTAACAGACCGATGTAATATAGCTGGAATGTTGCTGAGTGCAGGGTTAAACAACAAACAAACAAATGCTATGTATTACAAATATTGCATTTCATTCCGCAGCCTAGTGAAAATATAACATAATGTTTACCCTGTGTGCATGTGGTGTGCATGACATCGATGCTGTATCTTACAGGTATGACAAGAAGCTTGTGATATATGACTCGTCCTACACAGGAGACAACAGTCTGGAGGCAGTGTTCATGTGAGTAGTGCTTCCCCAAACTCTACAGTCAACCAGGCTTCAATCACTTACACAGATCTTCTTGTCCTTTTGGATTCTATTTCTGTATCCTTGGATGTATCCTTTGTAAGATGTAGCACAGTCATGTGGCAGTGCCACACGTCCCAGAAATTAAGGTATGTTACATTCATACCTCATCATAAAAATGGCTGTGGACTAGTTGGATGTGACAAATTTATGGCATTTGTGATGTAGTTTTCATCAGTTCCTGGCAGAGGTAGATTGGTGTGTTTGACATGACATTGTCATGTTGTGTTTGACATGACATTGTCATGGTGTGTTTGACATGATCTTGTCATGTTGTGTTTGACATGACATTGTCATGTTGTGTTAGACATGATCTTGTCATATTGTGTTTGACATGACATTGTCATGGTGTGTTAGACATGATCTTGTCATATTGTGTTTGACATGACATTGTCATGGTGTGTTTGACATGATCTTGTCATGTTGTGTTTGACATGATCTTGTCATGTTGTGTTTGACATGACATTGTCATGGTGTGTTAGACATGATCTTGTCATGTTGTGTTTGACATGACATTGTCATGGTGTGTTTGACATGATCTTGTCATGTTGTGTTTGACATGACATTGTCATGGTGTGTTTGACATGATCTTGTCATTGTGTGTTTGACATGATCTTGTCATGTTGTGTTTGACATGACATTGTCATGTTGTGTTAGACATGATCTTGTCATATTGTGTTTGACATGACATTGTCATGGTGTGTTTGACATGACATTGTGATGGTGTATCTGACATGATGTCATGGCATGTTTGACATGACATTGTCATGATGTGTTTGAAATGACATTGTCATGGTGTATTTGAAATGATGTCATGGTGTGTTTGACATGACATTGTCATGATGTGTTTGACATGACATTGTCATGGTGTATTTGACATGGTGTCTTGGTGTGTTTGACATGACATTGTCATGATGTATTTGACATGATGTCATGGTGTTTGACATGATCTTGTCATGATGTGTTTGACATGATGTCATGTGTTTGACATGATATTGATATGGTATTTTACCCAACAGCAACCCGCAGGCTCATGATGCTGGGATATCCTGCCTCCTTCTGGCTCGAGACAACGAGAACAACACATGGTAGGAAATAGGGCGCTTGTTAAACTAGGTCTTACCAATCTTTGACAAACCAGGGTATTAGATCTCCGTTATGAGAAATACACTGGTCCCATTTGCCACCATAGGTTTGTTTGAAGTCCATTTCAAATGACACAACACTAAAATTAGCTGTCCAATCAAATTACACAATCAAATTACACAAGAGATATAATTTCTGTGGAAGGTACTGATGTGTGTGATGAAAATGGGGATGTCACTTCCTCAACAAAACTACATGTATAATGAATGGGAAATTGTCTTAGAACAGAAATTATACACTGGTATGCCTTATTATAACACCAACAAATTAGAGATAGTCCATTATTCCAAGCTGCATTAAGGATTTTCCAGATATTACCAATATTTATTATTTTAAAGCATTATATATAAAATATGGTCTGTGACTTGAGCCACTAGTCGAAAGCCTGAGTCAAGCAAAATTTCTCCTGGTCTAGCAAGATCAGCTAATACTAGTCCATATACTAAAAAAAAAAGTAAAAACTACTGAAAACAATGCTTGGTGAACCGTTTTTGGTATAGACTGGGAAAATATTTGCCATCTAAAACAGAAATGTAGGTTTGTTTTAATTTATCCTCGATTCATTTCTTGATGACATTGTTGTGGGTGCTTGTGTGAGATGGAATGTTCCTCTGTGTCAGGATCTTGACGGGGTCGTTTGACAAGAGTGTGAAGATATGGTCACTTGACGGCAAGCTGGTACACAAACTGGACAACTTCACGGCCACTGTGACCGGCATCTGCTATGTGCCTCGCAACAAGACCGTGTGGGCTGCTGGAGGGATGTCGTATGCCAGCCTCTTTGACCCAAAGTCAGGGGACAACGTAAGTCTCTTCACCAGTCATGCTTGTTCAGTGGTAAATCCATCTTCCAGAGGCAAGGGAGTTAAATGACTGAAAATTTCCAGTTTCCACCCTTGCTGAACTAGGCTGGAATTTCTGGGCTCGATCGTTTGCACCACCAGTGGCTATTACGAGTTATATCCCTTCTATGTCACTCCTATTGACAAATCATATTCCACCTCTCGTATCGCTTGCATTTGCTTCAAACAAACTGGCAGAGCCCAGTCAAGATGATCTTATCGATAGTCAAAATCTATGTTGTGATAAAAAAGGGCCTTACTTTGCGAAGTGCATCAAAACACCTTTATTTATACATAAAAAGATTTGGAAAATATCTGTTATCGTACCAGTTGTATATTTCATTATGTGAGTTCGATATTGGACTATGCATAGCCTCGTTAGTCCAGCCAAAATGTAACTCCATAGTTCCAGCCTAGTTGGGCAAGGCTGGAAACTGGACTTTAGAGTCAGTCAACTCCCTTGCCTCGGCAAGATCTGATAAATCTTAGCTGAGTGTTTTCTTTAGTTGTCTCATCCAGAGTTAGATATCAGTATTTATCTTCACTAGTATGCATGACTGACCTGCTACGTCAGTTGCCATGGTTGTCATCTACCTAATGGTAGCCCTCAAGGAAATGTCACTAGACCTCCCTGAATTTAACTAGTCTCAGACTAACAGACTATGTTAATTTCGAACCCTGTGAGTCATTGGTCGTGGTGCAAACTGTTTCAAAGTAGTCAACAAACTGACAAATTTACTGACAGTCCAGGGGTGCTTTCCAACAGCTGTCTGTCCATGGCCAGTACTATTCTAGGTGGACTTGTACTCATTAAAGCGCCCTATCCTGCTTGTATGGAACTATATTTGAAACTTTATTTTAATTGATTATGCAAATCGTGTTCATGTTATAATTGTACTCTTATCCCAATGCGTCAGTATGGTAATCACAGTGTTTGACTTTGTTGGCTAGTGATCTTCACTGGGAGAGAGTACTATTAAGAACTACTGTCCTGTCTGGCCACATGTATTTACGTTATCACATGACTTGTCTAGGGAATTTGTCACTGCTCTGCTGATATATATTTTCTTATTATTCTTGCAACTTTGATTACCTTTAGAGTTTCAAGAGTTTTCTTTGTATTTCTGGTTTGACCTGTTTTTTGCATATATTTATGACACAATATTTAGTGTTATCTATGTGGTATTCACAGATACTGGCCCTCTCAGGTAAACAGGCGTTATGACAATACTAGCATGGTAGAAGGATGCATGGGACTAATTGGTGCCAGTATTTTGATTATCACATTTTATTTGTTGTACAGTATAGATTTTTATCATGGCATTTCTCTCTCTTGTAATGTTGGGCTTGGTAGGGAAGTAGCTTTTTATCATGTACCAAACTTGGGAGTGTTGTAGCTGTGTGCTTCCGGTAGGCGGACTTGGTAGTGTTGTATCTGTGTGTTTCTGGTAGGCGGATTTGGTATCTGTGTTTCCAGCGTCGGACTTGGTAGTGTTGTAGCTGTGTGTTTCAGGCGTCGGACTTGGTAGTGTTGTAGCTGTGTGTTTCCAGCGTCGGACTTGGTAGTGTTGTAGCTGTGTGTTTCAGGCGTCGGACTTGGTAGTGTTGTAGCTGTGTGTTTCAGGCGTCGGACTTGGTAGTGTTGTAGCTGTGTGTTTCCAGTGTCGGACTTGGTAGTGTTGTAACTGTGTGTTTATGGTAGTTGGACTTGGTAGTGTTGTAGCTGTGTGTTTCTGGTAGTCGGATTTGGTATCTGTGTTTCCAGCGTCGGACTTGGTAGTGTTGTAGATGTGTGTTTCCGGCGTCGGACTTGGTAGTGTTGTAGCTGTGTGTTTCCAGTGTCGGACTTGGTAGTGTTGTAGCTGTGTGTTTCTGGTAGTCGGATTTGGTAGCTGTGTGTGTCCGGTGTCGGACTTGGTAGTGTTGTAGTTGTGTGTTTGCAGTAGGCGGACTTGGTATTGTTTTAGCTGTGTGTTTACTGTAGTCGGATTTGGTAGCTGTGTGTGTCCGGTGTCGGACTTGGTAGTGTTGTAGCTGCTTGTTTCCGGTAGTCGGACTTGGTAGTGTTGTAGCTGTGTGTTTACAGTAGTCGGACTTGGTAGCTGTGTGTGTCCGTTGTCGGACTTGGTGGCATTGTAGCTGTGTATCCGGTAGGCAGACTTGGTAGTGTTGTAGCTGTGTGTTTCCGGTAGTCATACTTGGTAGTGGAGTAGCTATGTGTTTCCAGGTGTCGGACTTGGTAGCTGTGTGTGTCCGTTGTCGGACTTGGTAGTGTTGTAGCTGTGTGTTTCCAGTAGTTGGACTTTGTAGTATTGTAGCTGTGTGTTTCCGGTAGTCGGACTTGGTATCTGTGTGTGTCCGTTGTCGGACTTGGTAGTGTTGTAGCTGCGTGTTTCCAGTCGTCGGACTTGGAAGGGTTGTAGCTGCGTGTTTCCGGTAGTTGGACTTGGTAGTATTGTAGCTGTGTGTTTAAAGGTGTCAGTCTTGGTAGTTGGACTTGGTAGTATTTAAAGGTGTCGGACTTGGTAGTGTTGTAGCTGTGTGTTTCCGGTAGTCGGACTTGGTAGCTGTGTGTGTCGGTTGTCGGACTTGGTAGTGTTGTAGCTTCGTGTTTCCGGTAGTTGGACTTGGTAGTATTGTAGCTGTGTGTTTAAAGGTGTCAGTTTTGGTAGTTATGTAGCTCTGTGTGTTCATGTGTTAAGGTGTGGGACCTGTAGCTACATGTGTGTTGAACTGCTGGACTTGTAGCTACATGTGTGTTCAGCTGTTGGACTTGTAGCTATATGTGTGTTCAGCTGTTGGACTTGTAGCTATATGTGTGTTCAGCTGCTGACTTGTAGCTTTTCAAGTATAGGACTTGTAGATCTATGTGTGTTGAGTGGTAGGACCTGTAGCTGTGTGTTGAGTTGTAGGACTTGTAGCTGTGTGTGTTCATGTGTTGGACCTGTAGCTGTGTGTGTTCATGTGTTCAGGTGTCAGACTTCATTGGAACGTTCCAGAACCAGGAGGAGGAGAAGTACCAGCTGCATCTGCTCCAGTTCTTCCCGGAACTCAACCAGGTCGTGGGTCAGTAGCTGCTGCTGCCACTCAACACTTAGCCAGGCAGACATTGGGTCCCTTGACTAGGCCTGAGCCAAACTAACTCTGGCATGTCAATTAAAACAAATTCTGCCCTTTCATTTGACAAGCAGACAAATAGATACAGACACATTTTTAATGATCATTTGAACACTTTGTTCTTGTAATGTCTTTGGAAAGTGTGACTGCATTTCTGTGATGGAATGTCTTTACCACAGTCATGATGATATCGTCTGTTTTGAAGTGCTTATTTCTTCAAGAAAATACTTTCCATGCTATATTGACATCTGAAGATATTGATGCTAAACGACTTTAAGTAGCTGTTTAAGTTGATATTTCCAAGTGTTGCCATGGTTGAAGTGAATGTTACAACAGACAACACTGTGGTAGAGAGTGTACCAAGTACTCTGTCCCTATGATCAATGATCCTGATGTATGTGCTATTGGGTCATCTGATCCAGAGAAACATATGCAGAAGTTCTGCCACAACTGACTATATGTTCTGTCACTGCTTGTCAGGAAGGTTTTCCAAATGAATAAAGTAATATACATGATAGATTTACCGGAGGTCGTTGTTAAGATATGTAAGATGTGATGTCACATGTTTGATATAAACTGACCGCAACTTTATTTTGTATGTGATGGCTGATTTTGAAAGATTCACTATTTATTGAATGAATTTAACATACCGGTGTACATGGAATGGCGCACTGAGTGAATATGCAGGAAACATTGAGGATGTATTTTTAGACAGCTCAGTTGTCTAAGGCTCTGTAATTTGCTGTGCAGAGTTGCATACCTTGGGGACGCCAGAAACCTATGATCGTGGGTTCTAATTCCGGTTCGCCCTGATTATGTTTCTAGGTTTGTCAGCACCATACCCGAGCTTGTGGTCTCACCAAAGTGGTAAACGTCTGAGACCTGTATTACTTCAGGCTTTCCTCCCACACCAAGATGGCACGCCATGATATAACTGGAATACTGTTAAAAGAGGCGTTAAACCCAACTCTCTCAATTTTAGACTTGGGTTAGAAATGGTCCCAAGCTACATGTGCTCGTCATAAGAGGTGACTAATTGGATCAGGGGACACAGTACTACACTGTGGATGTCTGTGTTTCAGCGTCCACCAGTAGGCGCCACCTGGTGGTGTGGAAGTATCACTCGTCCGGCTGCATCACAGCTCTCAAGTGCAAAGCTCCACTGGAGAGTCTTTGTTATAGTAAGTGTCTCCATTACACCAGTCTCAACATAATATGTAGAGACAGCTGCTTCATTGTGGAGCCTAGACAACATGGCAGATGTTTTGTGGAGGTCCAGGGTTGTCCAGAGTGTCTGTTCTAAGAAGTCTTTCTTTACAGTACATATGCAGCAATTTTGTCAGAGATATAGTCTTACATTTCTTTCATCATTCTTAAATAGGGTGTTCATTCCCATATCAAATATGGAAAGAAATTTGGGTGGTTGGTTAGCCTGGGAGGCAAAGCTTGTGATCTCCATGTTAAAGACAATTCTCCATATGGGTACAATGTGTGAAGTCCATTCCATTGTTATATTGGTGGGATGTCGCTAACAGTGGCATGAGGCATACTGACTGAAGTCTAAAGAGCAATCTGTAACACTGGAACTATATGACTTCACGGCTGTAAAATAAATAAGCTTATAGTTTGATGTGTTTGATTGTGTGCCTGCAGCTCGTAAGGTGCCAATCCTCATCTTCTCCGGGGACAACGAAGGTGTAATAATGAAGTGGGAGAGGATGCAGTCCAACCATTTCATGTATAGGTACGTTCCTATCAGCTTATACCACAGTGTCTGAAGTTTAAGGGGCGGTGGGGTAGCCTCGTGGTTAATGCATTTGATCATCACGCCAAAGACCCGGGTTTGATTCCCCACATGGTTACAATGTGTGAAGCCCATTTCTGGTGTCCCCCGCCATGATATTGCGGTAATATTGCTAAAAGCGGCGTAAAACCATACTCACTCACTGAAATTTATCATGCAATGGTAGGTTGATGTCAGTTTTTATACCACTAGGGTGAGTTATGTCCATTGTTTTGACTGGTTTGTAACAACCCACTACTGCCAAGGTTGGACGATTCAATTCAGACGAGAGGGGCGCAAGTCTTGGTTCCCCGTTTTGCATTTTCGCTTAAAGTGCATCACCGTCATTGCCCATGTGGTCCAAGTCGGTTAGATCCCTCGAGAGTTGAACACTCATACCACCCTTGAGGTGGGTGCTAACCTATAACTGTGCTGTCAGAAGTAATGCTTGTTAGGATGTTTGACAGCTGCTTTTTCTGTGTCCTGTTCTGACGGTGACACTGATGCTACTTTCCCCGCAGTAAGGAGCTGTTCCTTCTGAGTGACTCCAAGCTGAAGAAGAAGCGTCGGGCAGGAAGTAAGGCCAGGGAGCTGATGATCGAGCAGCAGATGCTGTCACAGATTCTTCCTCCATCAAGTCGGACCGAAACTGCCAGCTCACAGAAGTCCAGCAACAAGAACATCACCAGTCACTATGCCTTCAATAAGCCCATGATACCTCCTGTGAGTATACATCACCAGGCACTATGCCTTCAATAAGCCAATGATACCTCATGTGAGTATACATCACCAGGCACTATGCCTTCAATAAGCCAATGATACCTCCTGTGAGTATACATCACCAGGCACTATGCCTTCAATAAGCCCATGATACCTCCTGTGAGTATACATCACCAGGCACCATGCCTTCAATAAGCCCATGATACCTCCTGTGAGTTACATCACCAGGACCAAACCTTCAATAAGCCCATGGTACCTCCAGTGAGTATACATCACCAGGCACTATGCCTTCAATAAGCCAATGGTACCTCCAGTGAGTATACATCACCAGGCACTATGCCTTCAATAAGCCCATGGTACCTCCAGTGAGTATACGTCACCAGGCACTATGCCTTCAATAGGCCAATGATACCTCCAGTGAGTATACATCACCAGGCACTATGCCTTCAATAAGCCCATGATACCTCCTGTGAGTATACATCACCAGGCACTATGCCTTCAATAAGCCAATGATACCTCATGTGAGTATACATCACCAGGCACCATGCCTTCAATAAGCCCATGGTACCTCCAGTGAATATACATCACCAGGCACTATGCCTTCAATAAGCCCATGATACCTCCAGTGAGTATACATCACCAGGCACTAGTGGGACACAGGTGGCTCCGTCATCTATAGCACTATTATTCACTGTGCATCACTTGGATGTGTTAAACCAAGATCATGGGTGCAAATCCTGAATCGCCTTGATTATGTTTCTAGGGGTTTTGTGTCCTTGAGTTGGAAATGTCTAAGACTTACTTCAGTCCAGGCCCTCGTCCTTGAAGCAGCCTCTTTTGTAATTTCCTGACAGTATAAATGAATTCATTGTCAAGCGATCGCATCTATTTTTATGTTTTTTTATAATTTAAATGAATTCATTATCAAGACCATTTGTTTGTTTTTCAGGTGTCAACTCACAACCATCCCAACACGACAATACTCAAGATAGTGTTTGTGGAGAGTTTGGACTTCATCCTCGCAGCCTCCGAGGACAGCAATATCTGTGAGTGGTTAGGGCTAAAAGTGTTGTCTTGTTAGATATTAGACCTTGTCAGGTTAATTACAGGAGTTTGACAAGAATGTGCAGATACTGATGTTGATGTTGTTGTTGATGTTGCAGATGTCTGGGGGTTTGACGAGGCTGCGGTTAAGGTGTTGATGTTGTTGTTGATGTTGCAGATGTCTGGGGGTTTGACGAGGCTGCGGTTGAGGTGCTACGGAACATGAAGCCTCAGGACCTGGAGGCTCTCATCAACAAGTACGCAGTGTTGCTGGACTCCGCCTCCGAGCTGCTGCCCAAGAACACCACCCAGAAGAGGGTCAGTGTCCCCACACATATGTAGCAGTGGGTCAGTGTCCCCACACATATGTAGCAGTGGGTCAGTGTCCCCACACATATGTAGCAGTGGGTCAGTGTCCCCACACATATGTAGCAGTGGGTCAGTGTCCCCACACGTGTTGTAGCAGTGGGTCAGTGTCCCCACACGTGTTGTAGCAGAGGTTCAGTGTCCCCACACATGTTGTAGCAGTGGGTCAGTGTTCCCACACACATGTTGTAGCAATGGGTCAGTGGGTCAGTGTCCCCACACATATTGTAGCAGTGGGTCAGTGTCCCCACACACGTTGTAGCAATGGGTCAGTGGGTCAGTGTCCCCACACGTTGTAGCAGTGGGTCAGTGTCCCCACACATGTTGTAGCAGTGGGTCAGTGTCCCCACACGTGTTGTAGCAGAGGTTCAGTGTCCCCACACATGTTGTAGCAGTGGGTCAGTGTTCCCACACACATGTTGTAGCAATGGGTCAGTGGGTCAGTGTCCCCACACATATTGTAGCAGTGGGTCAGTGTCCCCACACACGTTGTAGCAATGGGTCAGTGGGTCAGTGTCCCCACACGTTGTAGCAGTGGGTCAGTGTCCCCACACATGTTGTAGCAGTGGGTCAGTGTCCCCACACATGTTGTAGCAGTGGGTCAGTGTCCCCACACATGTTGTAGCAGTGGGTCAGTGTCCCCACACATGTTGTAGCAGTGGGTCAGTGTCCCCACACATGTCGTAGCAGTGGGTCAGTGTCCCCACACATGTTGTAGCAGTGGGTCAGTGTCCCCACACATGTCGTAGCAGTGGGTCAGTGTCCCCACACATGTTGTAGCAGTGGGTCAGTGTCCCCACACATGTTGTAGCAGTGGGTCAGTGTCCCCACACATGTCGTAGCAGTGGGTCAGTGTCCCCACACATGTTGTAGCAGTGGGTCAGTGTCCCCACACATGTCGTAGCAGTGGGTCAGTGTCCCCACACATGTTGTAGCAGTGGGTCAGTGTTCCCACACATGTCGTAGCAGTGGGTCAGTGTTCCCACACATGTTGTAGCAGTGGGTCAGTGTCCCCACACATGTTGTAGCAGTGGGTCAGTGGGTCAGTGTCCCCACACATGTTGTAGCAATGGGTCAGTGGGTCAGTGTCCCCACACATGTTGTAGCAGTGGGTCAGTGTCCCCTCACATGTCGTAGCAGTGGGTCAGTGTCCCCACACATGTTGTAGCAGTGGGTCAGTGTCCCCTCACATGTCGTAGCAGGGGGTCAGTGTCCCCACACATGTTGTAGCAGTGGGTCAGTGTCCCCTCACATATGTAGCAGTGGGTCAGTGTCCCCACACATGTCGTAGCAGTGGGTCAGTGGGTCAGTGTCCCCACACATATGTAGCAGAGGTTCAGTGTCCCCACACATGTTGTAGCAGTGGGTCAGTGTTCCCACACACATGTTGTAGCAATGGGTCAGTGGGTCAGTGTCCCCACACATATTGTAGCAGTGGGTCAGTGTCCCCACACACGTTGTAGCAATGGGTCAGTGGGTCAGTGTCCCCACACGTTGTAGCAGTGGGTCAGTGTCCCCACACATGTTGTAGCAGTGGGTCAGTGTCCCCACACATGTTGTAGCAGTGGGTCAGTGTTCCCACACATGTTGTAGCAGTGGGTCAGTGTCCCCACACATGTTGTAGCAGTGGGTCAGTGTCCCCACACATGTTGTAGCAGTGGGTCAGTGTCCCCACACATGTCGTAGCAGTGGGTCAGTGTCCCCACACATGTTGTAGCAGTGGGTCAGTGTTCCCACACATGTCGTAGCAGTGGGTCAGTGTTCCCACACATGTTGTAGCAGTGGGTCAGTGTCCCCACACATGTTGTAGCAGTGGGTCAGTGTCCCCTCACATGTCGTAGCAGTGGGTCAGTGTCCCCACACATGTTGTAGCAGTGGGTCAGTGTCCCCTCACATGTTGTAGCAGTGGGTCAGTGTCCCCACACATGTTGTAGCAGTGGGTCAGTGTCCCCACACACGTTGTAGCAATGGGTCAGTGGGTCAGTGTCCCCACACATGTTGTAGCAGTGGGTCATGGTCTCCACACATGTTGTAGCAGTGGGTCATGGTCCCCACACATGTTGTAGCAGTGGGTCATGGTCCCCACACATGTTGTAGCAGTGGGTCAGTGTCCCCACACATGTTGTAGCAGTGGGTCAGTGTCCCCACACATGTTGTAGCAGTGGGTCAGTGTCCCCACACATGTTGTAGCAGTGGGTCATGGTCCCCACACATGTTGTAGCAGTGGGTCATGGTCCCCACACATGTTGTAGCAGTGGGTCAGTGTCCCCACACATGTTGTAGCAGTGGGTCAGTGTCCCCTCACATGTTGTAGCAGTGGGTCATGGTCCCCACACATGTTGTAGCAGTGGGTCAGTGTCCCCACACATGTTGTAGCAGTGGGTCAGTGTCCCCACACATGTTGTAGCAGTGGGTCAGTGTCCCCACACATGTTGTAGCAGTGGGTCAGTGTCCCCTCACATGTTGTAGCAGTGGGTCATGGTCCCCACACATGTTGTAGCAGGTCAGTGTGTTGTAGCATTTTGCCTGGTAAGGGTAACTTCATATACGGATCATACAGAACTATTTCCAAATACTGTACGTCCTAGACAAACATATGACAAGAAATGTTTGCATGTTCCCTTGTAACAGTCCAGACCACTTGTTTACTTTCAGGAGAGTGACTCCGTGACAAACCGCGTGGCCGGGTTCGTGTGCAAGTTTGTGTTCTCGGAGCACATGAGTTGTGTGACCAGCCTGGTGGCGGTGGGCCGGGAGCACGGACAGAACAGCACATACGTTGTGAGTAGGAGAGCTGCTTCTCAGGGGGGGGGAAGAACTTTGAAATACAGTGTAACTGAACATCAGATTCCATACACCACCTTTAGGTGGCATCCAAACTCTCCAGAATATGATCCTTATCTTAAAACATGTTCCAATAATAATTGACAATATGATGCTTTGTAGTTCAACTGATCATCAATCATGCAGGAGGCCATCTGACATCAACTAGCAAGTCAAGTTTTTTGTGAAAATCTTTGTCCTTTCATTTGAGGCAAAAACTAGTTAAAGTGACTTCAGAAAGGGGCCCTCCAGGGGTTGTCCTTTGACAAAGAGGCCCTCCAGGGCTGCTTCTTTGATCGAGGCCTTCTGACGGTTTGTTTCACAATATCAATCTGTTTGTTCGGCCAGCTATTGAGCATTGCCTGACTTTCTGTATATAGTTTAACATAAAAAAATACTTGTCTTTTTACACCCGTTGGAATATACTTTTTGCTGTCGTGAAAAGTAGGATGTTCTTGTTACAGCTGAGCGGTGGCTGGGACCGGAGGATCTGTATCTGGGACCTGGAGAAGGGACGGTGTGTATTGCCACATCTTCATTGTCACTTTCTTCTTCTTCATCACATTCTGAATCTGAGTTGCATCCCTTAGGCATGCCGGAAACCTATGATTGAGAGTTTGAATCCCGGTTTGCCCCAATTATGTTTCTAGGTTTGTCAGCACCATACCCGTGCTCTAGGTTTTCACCGAAGTGGTAAACGTCTGAGACCTGCATCACTTCGGGCTTTCCTCCCACGTTAAGCTGACCCGCTGTGATATAACCGGAATAATATTAAAAGCGACATTAAACCCAATTCACTCACTCACTCATTCTTAATCTTCATCTTCATCACCTTCATCACAACACCTTCTTTTATTTCATTAATTGGAATAAAAAATTCAGTTTTGGATCATCTTTCCATTTTCCATTTGATTACAAAATGTTCCTTTATCAATATATAGCAGTCCATGAAGGGATGTTTTCACTTTTCAGACTCCATGACAACTTCCGGGCAGCGAACTCTGCTCATGGTCAAGACAACATGGAGCTGGCATGTGACGGTGTCATCCTCTGTATGGACTACTCCCCCAGCAAGTAGGTGTATCTATAGTAAACATGATCACCCGGTGTCATCCTCTGTATGGACTACTCCCAGCAAGTAGGTGTATCTATAGTAAACATGATCACCCGGTGTCATCCTCTGTATGGACTACTCCCCTAGCAAGTAGGTGTATCTATAGTAAACATGATCACCCGGTATCATCCTCTGTATGGACTACTCCCCCAGCAAGTAGGTGTATCTATAGTAAACATGATCACCCGGTGTCATCCTCTGTATGGACTACTCCCCCAGCAAGTAGGTGTATCTATAGTAAACATGATCACCCGGTGTCATCCTCTGTATGAACTACTCCCCCAGCAAGTAGGTGTATCTATAGTAAACATGATCACCCGGTGCCATCCTCTGTATGGACTACTCCCCCAGCAAGTAGGTGTATCTATAGTAAACATGATCACCCGGTGTCATCCTCTGTATGGACTACTCCCCCAGCAAGTAGGTGTATCTATAGTAAACATGATCACCCGGTGTCATCCTCTGTATGGACTACTCCCCCAGCAAGTAGGTGTATCTATAGTAAACATGATCACCCAGTGTCATCCTCTGTATGGACTACTCCCCCAGCAAGTAGGTGTATCTATAGTAAACATGATCACCTGGTGTCATCCTCTGTATGGACTACTCCCCCAGCAAGTAAGTGTATCTATAGTAAACATGATCACCTGGTGTCATCCTCTGTATGGACTACTCCCCCATCAAGTAGGTGAATCTATAGTAAACATGATCACCCGGTGTCATCCTCTGTATGGACTACTCCCCCAGCAAGTAGGTGTATCTATAGTAAACATGATCACCTGGTGTCATCCTCTGTATGGACTACTCCCCCAGCAAGTAGGTGTATCTATAGTAAACATGATCACCCGGTGTCATCCTCTGTATGGACTACTCCCCCAGCAAGTAGGTGTATCTATAGTAAACATGATCACCTGGTGTCATCCTCTGTATGGACTACTCCCCCAGCAAGTAAGTGTATCTATAGTAAACATGATCACCTGGTGTCATCCTCTGTATGGACTACTCCCCCATCAAGTAGGTGAATCTATAGTAAACATGATCACCCGGTGTCATCCTCTGTATGGACTACTCCCCCAGCAAGTAGGTGTATCTATAGTAAACATGATCACCTGGTGTCATCCTCTGTATGGACTACTCCCCCAGCAAGTAGGTGTATTTATAGTCAACATGATCACCCGGTGTCATCCTCTGTATGGACTACTCCCCCAGCAAGTAGGTGTATCTATAGTAAACATGATCACCCGGTGTCATCCTCTGTATGGACTACTCCCCCAGCAAGTAGGTGTATCTATAGTAAACATGATCACCTGGTGTCATCCTCTGTATGGACTACTCCCCCAGCAAGTAGGTGTATCTATAGTAAACATGATCACCCGGTGTCATCCTCTGTATGGACTACTCCCCCAGCAAGTAGGTGTATCTATAGTAAACATGATCACCCGGTGTCATCCTCTATATGGACTACTACCCCAGCAAGTAGGTGTATCTATAGTAAACATGATCACCTGGTGTCATCCTCTGTATGGACTACTCCCCCAGCAAGTAGGTGTATCTATAGTAAACATGATCACCTGGTGTCATCCTCTGTATGGACTACTACCCCAGCAAGTAGGTGTATCTATAGTAAACATGATCACCTGGTGTCATCCTCTGTATGGACTACTCCCCCAGCAAGTAGGTGTATCTATAGTAAACATGATCACCTGGTGTCATCCTCTGTATGGACTACTCCCCCAGCAAGTAGGTGTATCTATAGTAAACATGATCACCCGGTGTCATCCTCTGTATGGACTACTACCCCAGCAAGTAGGTGTATCTATAGTAAACATGATCACCTGGTGTCATCCTCTGTATGGACTACTCCCCAAGCAAGAAGGTGTATCTATAGTAAACATGATTACCTTGTGTCATCCTCTGTATGGACTACTCCCCCAGCAAGTAGGTGTATCTATAGTAAACATGATCACCTGGTGTCATCCTCTGTATGGACTACTCCCCCAGCAAGTAGGTGTATCTATAGTAAACATGATTACCTTGTGTCATCCTCTGTATGGACTACTCCCCCAGCAAGTAGGTGTATCTATAGTAAACATGATCACCTGGTGTCATCCTCTGTATGGACTACCCCCCCAGCAAGTAGGTGTATCTATAGTAAACATGACCACCTGGTGTCATCCTCTGTATGGACTACTCCCCCAGCAAGTAGGTGTATCTATAGTAAACATGATCACCCGGTGTCATCCTCTGTATGGACTACTCCCCCAGCAAGTAGGTGTATCTATAGTAAACATGATCACCCGGTGTCATCCTCTGTATGGACTACTCCCCCAGCAAGTAGGTGTATCTATAGTAAACATGATCACCCGGTGTCATCCTCTGTATGGACTACTACCCCAGCAAGTAGGTGTATCTATAGTAAACATGATCACCTGGTGTCATCCTCTGTATGGACTACTACCCCAGCAAGTAGGTGTATCTATAGTAAACATGATTACCTTGTGTCATCCTCTGTATGGACTACTCCCCCAGCAAGTAGGTGTATCTATAGTAAACATGATTACCTTGTGTCATCCTCTGTATGGACTACTCCCCCAGCAAGTAGGTGTATCTATAGTAAACATGATCACCTGGTGTCATCCTCTGTATGGACTACTCCCCCAGCAAGTAGGTGTATCTATAGTAAACATGATCACCTGGTGACATCCTCTGTATGGACTACTCCCCCAGCAAGTAGGTGTATCTATAGAAAACATGATCACCCGGTGTCATCCTCTGTATGGACTACTCCCCCAGCAAGTAGGTGTATCTATAGTAAACATGATCACCTGGTGTCATCCTCTGTATGGACTACTCCCCGAGCAAGTAGGTGTATCTATAGTAAACATGATCACCCGGTGTCATCCTCTGTATGGACTACTACCCCAGCAAGTAGGTGTATCTATAGTAAACATGATCACCTGGTGTCATCCTCTGTATGGACTACTCCCCCAGCAAGTAGGTGTATCTATAGAAAACATGATCACCCGGTGTCATCCTCTGTATGGACTACTCCCCCAGCAAGTAGGTGTATCTATAGTAAACATGACCACCTGGTGTCATCCTCTGTATGGACTACTCCCCCAGCAAGTAGGTGTATCTATAGAAAACATGATCACCCGGTGTCATCCTCTGTATGGACTACTCCCCCAGCAAGTAGGTGTATCTATAGTAAACATGATCACCCGGTGTCATCCTCTGTATGGACTACTACCCCAGCAAGTAGGTGTATCTATAGTAAACATGATCACCTGGTGTCATCCTCTGTATGGACTACTCCCCAAGCAAGAAGGTGTATCTATAGTAAACATGATTACCTTGTGTCATCCTCTGTATGGACTACTCCCCCAGCAAGTAGGTGTATCTATAGTAAACATGATCACCTGGTGTCATCCTCTGTATGGACTAATCCCCCAGCAAGTAGGTGTATCTATAGTAAACATGATTACCTTGTGTCATCCTCTGTATGGACTACTCCCCCAGCAAGTAGGTGTATCTATAGTAAACATGATCACCTGGTGTCATCCTCTGTATGGACTACCCCCCCAGCAAGTAGGTGTATCTATAGTAAACATGACCACCTGGTGTCATCCTCTGTATGGACTACTCCCCCAGCAAGTAGGTGTATCTATAGTAAACATGATCACCCGGTGTCATCCTCTGTATGGACTACTCCCCCAGCAAGTAGGTGTATCTATAGTAAACATGATCACCCGGTGTCATCCTCTGTATGGACTACTACCCCAGCAAGTAGGTGTATCTATAGTAAACATGATCACCCGGTGTCATCCTCTGTATGGACTACTACCCCAGCAAGTAGGTGTATCTATAGTAAACATGATCACCTGGTGTCATCCTCTGTATGGACTACTACCCCAGCAAGTAGGTGTATCTATAGTAAACATGATTACCTTGTGTCATCCTCTGTATGGACTACTCCCCCAGCAAGTAGGTGTATCTATAGTAAACATGATCACCTGGTGTCATCCTCTGTATGGACTACTCCCCCAGCAAGTAGGTGTATCTATAGTAAACATGATTACCTTGTGTCATCCTCTGTATGGACTACTCCCCCAGCAAGTAGGTGTATCTATAGTAAACATGATCACCTGGTGTCATCCTCTGTATGGACTACTCCCCCAGCAAGTAGGTGTATCTATAGTAAACATGATCACCTGGTGACATCCTCTGTATGGACTACTCCCCCAGCAAGTAGGTGTATCTATAGAAAACATGATCACCCGGTGTCATCCTCTGTATGGACTACTCCCCCAGCAAGTAGGTGTATCTATAGTAAACATGACCACCTGGTGTCATCCTCTGTATGGACTACTCCCCCAGCAAGTAGGTGTATCTATAGAAAACATGATCACCCGGTGTCATCCTCTGTATGGACTACTCCCCCAGCAAGTAGGTGTATCTATAGTAAACATGATCACCTGGTGACATCCTCTGTATGGACTATTCCCCCAGCAAGTAGGTGTATCTATAGTAAACATGATCACCTGGTGTCAACCTCTGTATGGACTACTCCCCCAGCAAGTAGGTGTATCTATAGTAAACATGATCACCCGGTGTCATCCTCTGTATGGACTACTCCCCCAGCAAGTAGGTGTATCTATAGTAAACATGATCACCTGGTGTCATCCTCTGTATGGACTACTCCCCCAGCAAGTAGGTGTATCTATAGTAAACATGATCACCCGGTGTCATCCTCTGTATGGACTACTCCCCCAGCAAGTAGGTGTATCTATAGTAAACATGATCACCTGGTGTCATCCTCTGTATGGACTACTCCCCCAGCAAGTAGGTGTATCTATAGTAAACATGATCACCCGGTGTCATCATCTGTATGGACTACTCCCCCAGCAAGTAGGTGTATCTATAGTAAACATGATCACCTGGTGTCATCCTCTGTATGGACTACTCCCCCAGCAAGTAGGTGTATCTATAGTAAACATGATCACCTGGTGTCATCCTCTGTATGGACTACTCCCCCAGCAAGTAGGTGTATCTATAGTAAACATGATCACCCGGTGTCATCCTCTGTATGGACTACTCCCCCAGCAAGTAGGTGTATCTATAGTAAACATGATCACCCGGTGTCATCCTCTATATGGACTACTACCCCAGCAAGTAGGTGTATCTATAGTAAACATGATCACCTGGTGTCATCCTCTGTATGGACTACTCCCCCAGCAAGTAGGTGTATCTATAGTAAACATGATCACCTGGTGTCATCCTCTGTATGGACTACTACCCCAGCAAGTAGGTGTATCTATAGTAAACATGATCACCTGGTGTCATCCTCTGTATGGACTACTCCCCCAGCAAGTAGGTGTATCTATAGTAAACATGATCACCTGGTGTCATCCTCTGTATGGACTACTCCCCCAGCAAGTAGGTGTATCTATAGTAAACATGATCACCCGGTGTCATCCTCTGTATGGACTACTACCCCAGCAAGTAGGTGTATCTATAGTAAACATGATCACCTGGTGTCATCCTCTGTATGGACTACTCCCCAAGCAAGAAGGTGTATCTATAGTAAACATGATTACCTTGTGTCATCCTCTGTATGGACTACTCCCCCAGCAAGTAGGTGTATCTATAGTAAACATGATCACCCGGTGTCATCCTCTGTATGGACTACTACCCCAGCAAGTAGGTGTATCTATAGTAAACATGATTACCTTGTGTCATCCTCTGTATGGACTACTCCCCCAGCAAGTAGGTGTATCTATAGTAAACATGATCACCTGGTGTCATCCTCTGTATGGACTACCCCCCCAGCAAGTAGGTGTATCTATAGTAAACATGACCACCTGGTGTCATCCTCTGTATGGACTACTCCCCCAGCAAGTAGGTGTATCTATAGTAAACATGATCACCCGGTGTCATCCTCTGTATGGACTACTCCCCAAGCAAGTAGGTGTATCTATAGTAAACATGATCACCCGGTGTCATCCTCTGTATGGACTACTACCCCAGCAAGTAGGTGTATCTATAGTAAACATGATCACCCGGTGTCATCCTCTGTATGGACTACTACCCCAGCAAGTAGGTGTATCTATAGAAAACATGATCACCCGGTGTCATCCTCTGTATGGACTACTCCCCCAGCAAGTAGGTGTATCTATAGTAAACATGATCACCTGGTGTCATCGTCTGTATGGACTACTCCCCCAGCAAGTAGGTGTATCTATAGTAAACATGATCACCTGGTGTCATCCTCTGTATGGACTACTCCCCCAGCAAGTAGGTGTATCTATAGTAAACATGATCACCCGGTGTCATTCTCTATATGGACTACTACCCCAGCAAGTAGGTGTATCTATAGTAAACATGATCACCTGGTGTCATCCTCTGTATGGACTACTCCCCCAGCAAGTAGGTGTATCTATAGTAAACATGATCACCTGGTGTCATCCTCTGTATGGACTACTACCCCAGCAAGTAGGTGTATCTATAGTAAACATGATTACCTTGTGTCATCCTCTGTATGGACTACTCCCCCAGCAAGTAGGTGTATCTATAGTAAACATGATCACCTGGTGTCATCCTCTGTATGGACTACTCCCCCAGCAAGTAGGTGTATCTATAGTAAACATGATTACCTTGTGTCATCCTCTGTATGGACTACTCCCCCAGCAAGTAGGTGTATCTATAGTAAACATGATCACCTGGTGTCATCCTCTGTATGGACTACTCCCCCAGCAAGTAGGTGTATCTATAGTAAACATGATCACCTGGTGACATCCTCTGTATGGACTACTCCCCCAGCAAGTAGGTGTATCTATAGAAAACATGATCACCCGGTGTCATCCTCTGTATGGACTACTCCCCCAGCAAGTAGGTGTATCTATAGTAAACATGACCACCTGGTGTCATCCTCTGTATGGACTACTCCCCCAGCAAGTAGGTGTATCTATAGAAAACATGATCACCCGGTGTCATCCTCTGTATGGACTACTCCCCCAGCAAGTAGGTGTATCTATAGTAAACATGATCACCTGGTGACATCCTCTGTATGGACTATTCCCCCAGCAAGTAGGTGTATCTATAGTAAACATGATCACCTGGTGTCAACCTCTGTATGGACTACTCCCCCAGCAAGTAGGTGTATCTAGAGTAAACATGATCACCCGGTGTCATCCTCTGTATGGACTACTCCCCCAGCAAGTAGGTGTATCTATAGTAAACATGATCACCTGGTGTCATCCTCTGTATGGACTACTCCCCCAGCAAGTAGGTGTATCTATAGTAAACATGATCACCTGGTGTCATCCTCTGTATGGACTACTCCCCCAGCAAGTAGGTGTATCTATAGTAAACATGATCACCCGGTGTCATCATCTGTATGGACTACTCCCCCAGCAAGTAGGTGTATCTATAGTAAACATGATCACCTGGTGTCATCCTCTGTATGGACTACTCCCCCAGCAAGTAGGTGTATCTATAGTAAACATGATCACCCGGTGTCATCCTCTGTATGGACTACTCCCCCAGCAAGTAGGTGTATCTATAGTAAACATGATCACCCGGTGTCATCCTCTGTATGGACTACTACCCCAGCAAGTAGGTGTATCTATAGTAAACATGATCACCCGGTGTCATCCTCTGTATGGACTACTCCCCCAGCAAGTAGGTGTATCTATAGTAAACATGATCACCTGCATCTCGTGATATACTTTATCCAGGTGATAGCGATGGACAATGGGCAAACGGGATGCAGGGGGTAAATAGCACTGATAGGTAATAGCAAAGGACAATGGGAGGCAGGGGGTAAATAGCACTGATAGGTAATAGCAATGGACAATGGGAGGCAGGGGGTAAATAGCACTGATAGGTAATAGCAATGGACATTGGGAGGCAGGGGGTAAATAGCACTGATAGGTAATAGCAATGGGCAAACGGGATGCAGGGGGTAAATAGCACTGATAGGTAATAGCAATGGACAATGGAGGGCAGGGGGTAAATAGCACTGATAGGTAATAGCAATGGACAATGGGAGGCAGGGGGTAAATAGCACTGATAGGTAATAGCAATTGACATTGGGAGGCAGGGGGTAAATAGCACTGATAGGTAATAGCAATGGGCAAACGGGATGCAGGGGGTAAATAGCACTGATAGGTAATAGCAATGGACAATGGAGGGCAGGGGGTAAATAGCACTGATAGGTAATAGCAATGGACAATGGGAGGCAGGGGGTAAATAGCACTGATAGGTAATAGCAATGGACATTGGGAGGCAGGGGGTAAATAGCACTGATAGGTAATAGCAATGGACAATGGGAGGCAGGGGGTAAATAGCACTGATAGGTAATAGCAATGGACAATGGGAGGCAGGGGGTAAATAGCACTGATAGGTAATAGCAATGGACAATGGGAGGCAGGGGGTAAATAGCACTGATAGGTAATAGCAATGGACAATGGGAGGCAGGGGGTAAATAGCACTGATAGGTAATAGCAATGGACAATGGGAGGCAGGGGGTAAATAGCACTGATAGGTAATAGCAATGGAAATGGGAAATGGCAATGGACAGATGGAAGTCAGCTGGAAATTACACAGACAATAACCAAACACAGTCGTGTTAGTCTGGATGATTGATCAAAGAGAGGCAAGCTCTGTCATGGGGACAGGCGGGAAACGATGATGAAAGAGTCAATGTTAGAAAGGTTTTAGCAATATTTTGCCACGTTCTGGGTACGGACCACTGAAAGAGCCATGAACATGATGAGCAGGAAGCATTGCTGCAAGAACACGGAACCATGCACAAACATGCGAAGCCTATATACATGGCTTCAGTTTATGACCATGACCAGCTGGAGTGTCACTCAACAGTCTCATATGTTCTTCTTCTTCTCTTCCAGGAATGAATTTGCTTATGCCTCAAGTGACAAGATGGTTTATATACGCAAATTCTCAACAGATGGTTCAAAGATGACCTTGGTGAACACATTACAAGGCCATGATGGGGAGATAACCTGTGTTCAGTGGAACCCGATCACCAGCAAGTGGGTGACTGGCTCCGAGGATGGTACAGTGAGAATCTGGGTGAGGAACTGTTGGAATACCGCCGCTAGTGGGGATATGTCACTGTAGTTGTTTAGTCACCGAAACACAGCAAACTTAAGGACCAAAACACAACCATGATACTCTTATCTTATAACCATTGCAGACCGCCTCCATGGTCTAGTGGTAGAGCGTCAGCCCGGAGAACAGAAGGTCCGGGGTTCGATCCCCGGCCAGGTCATGCCAAAAGACATTAAAAGTTGGTACTTGTTGTTACCCTACCTGGCGCTTGGCATTAAGGGCATTAAGGTGCTAGAACAAGGACTGGTCGGGTCAGAGTCAGTATACTGTGTTTGAGTGGGGTATTCATGTTAAACTGCAGCATAGTATCTCAGTGGGCTAGCACTATAAAATTGGCATTAGTCAGGACTAGTACAAACAGCCATGCACACATGCACACGCACATGCACACACACACGCACGTTTGCATGCATGTCGACCACACGCACACACACACGTTTGCATGCATGTCGCTTTAGGAGTGCTACAATCACCATCGCATAACCATGTTTTGCTTGTTTCATATTTAGCCACCTTCCAACATGGTGTATACTCCCTTTTGCCCCGCAGTTTAGCTGGAATACTTTACAAAGCAGTGTTAACCCAACTCACTTACTCCTTTGTCATCTTTCTGCAAGACATACACTGAATTCTGAAGACATTCCAGTTTTGAATTACTGATTCCAGTTTTCCCCTGTGTTGCTCACTGTGTGTGTTACTGCCTGTTTCAGTCTGGGAGTGGCATGAATGAGTGTGAGACAATCCTGTCGGTGCAAGGCGGCGTGGCCTGTCTGTGTATGGACAAGATTCACGGCGCCATCGTAGCAGGCATCCAGAACACCATCAGGTCAGTGACAAATGCCATGAATACAGATTCCTTTTATTATCAATCACAAGGAATGATATCTGGTACAATGGCCTCACTTGCAAGTGCCACATTTGGCTGTGTAGTGTAACAAAGATGGGTTTTTTACTCTAGAGTTTCACAAAATCAGTAAACGTCTAAAACCTGCATCATTTCCGGCTTGTCTCCCACTCTAAGCTGACATGCAATGAAATAATGTCAAAGCTCAACTAACTCTATTCTTCCATGACAAATGAACAGCCTAGTTAAGAATTAACAGAAAAGGAAACATATGAACTGATATGAACTGAAAGTCACTGGAGATCATGTTGGCAACCATTTTATGATCAGACTTGTGTGTGTGGTTTGCAGGGTGTATGAAGCCGAGTTCTACCGCCTCGTTCAGAGTAACCTGGGCCACACTGAGTCCGTGCGCAGCATTATACACATCCCAGAGAGGAATCAGGTGCGTTCTCAAAAATCATTGCAAACCATAATTTCATGCATCCTCTCATGGTAAGGGAATTAACTGACTGTAAAACTCCAGTTTCCACCCTTGCTGAACTAGGCAGGAATTTCTGGGCTCGATCACAGCACCACCAGTGACTATCGGTATTAGGAGTTATGTCGCTTCTACGTCGCTCCTATTGACCAATCAGATTCCATCTCTCATATCATTTGCATTTGCTTCAAACAAAATGCCAGCTCCCAGTCAAGACGATCTGATTGATAATCAAGATTTATATGGTGATAAAACGAGTTGTACATTGGGAAGTGCATCAAATCACGTGAGCACCTTGATTAAAAACATAAAGAGATTCATAAAAATATCTGTTGACGCTGAGTTGGCAGTATACATGCTTTGCAAATCCTGCAATCGACCGAAATCTGCACGGACGTTTACGAGCAGGATGATTTTGATTGGACTCTGCATAGACTCATTAGTCCAGCCAAAATATAACTCCCTATTACCAGCCTAGTTCGGCAAAGGTGGAAACTGGACTTTTAATGTCAGTGTATTTCCGTGCCTCAGGAAGATGAATTTCATCTTTCCAGGTCCTGAAGGCAAAGTACATCATCCCTGATTCCAGTCTACTTGATGAAATAGTTGACATTATTATTGACAATGTGTGAAAATGACAAAGTCGTGTTTGTAATGTATATTTATTTCGCTGCAGTACGTGTCATGTTCATGGGATAAGACAATCCGAGTGTGGAATGCTTGGAAGTTACCAAGGCGACGGAAACAAACAACTAAGATGTCAGAGAAGCGCAAGAACAGTGAAGATGGGAAGCAGACAGTTCCTGATGGGAAGGCCGACGACGATGGGAAGGGGGAGAAGTTGGAGGGAATGTCAGAGGAAGAGGAAGAAGAGGAGGCGGAGGACATGAAGGAGACAAGTCCAGCGGCAGGAGAAGAACGCCAGAAAGAGGAATAAGTTTGTGGAAAACTTGAAAATTTTAGTCAATATTCAATCTGTCATAATTCCTGGAATTGTCATGGTCTTCGTTTTTGCCATATCATTGTAGATATGTGTATAGAACTTGTTTGTGAAAATTGTGCTTGCCAATGAAGTGTTGCCAAATTTGCTTCCAAATCATGTGCTAGTTGTGTAGGTTAGTAATCATGTCATTGTAATGATTGGCTTCAGAAAGTCCGACATGAGTATAAACATATCTACCTTAAGGGCAGCAGATGTTAGATATATTGTATATTTGTATATTTATTTTCATGTCCATATACATATTGCCTAGTGCATGATCTCCAAAGTAACCAAAAGGTTTGTGTATCCTCCAAGTAGACAACTGATATTATCTGTTAATGCATCATGCCAGTCCCTGCATTATCTGTGATATCGGTGTGGCAGTTTATTCATCCCGAAATAAATGTATTTCCCATCATGTGTCATTCGTTCATATCAGTCTGTATTATCACCATGTGACCATGTCTGCTAACTGCTGAGCAAGAAACATGACCAGAAGAGGGTTCAAGTTTGCAAATCAGACTTTGATCAGAGGGAGTATAGTTCTTATTTTCAAATTACAAAACAGCATTGGCTTTTGTATTCAAGATATTGTTGCCAAATGTATTTTCTTGCAAAGCTGTAGGTGTGTATCAACCAGATCACAAATGACACCGAGTCCTTGTATCTTAATGCCGATGACATCAGTTAGATCATAATTGACAGGTTCCTTGTGACAATTCTTATTCTTATTTTGAGTTTGAGTTTAGTTTGAGGGATTTCTGATGATTTGATTGGTTTATTTGCATGAGCCGTTCATTTTTCAATAAACTCAAAAAAGTGACGTTTATAAAGTATAAATTTCACCTTTTGACGTTTACACAAGTTTTGACCGGAACTCCTTTTCATAGGGAATCCCTGATTGTAACAATTTTCTATTCTCTCCCCTGCTTACCACGATCATGAGGACCGGCAATGCCAGACAATATATTAACGTTTCTTTTTCACTCAAGGTTTCATTAAACACTTATTTACATATTCGCATTACCCCCTGGATGTCACAGGGACAAATATGTCCCTCCTCTTCTACCCTCACTTTGAAGTTGAAAACAATTCAAAATACATGACGCACACAAATACTCTTCAAGGTTTTCAATTCCGTGGAAAATTTCCTGTTCTGTGATATCATCCAATCTCATTTTAAACAAAGGAAAATTACTGAAAATGACCTCTGAAAATTAGAAACATTGTTAATCTCACCATTTTTGAAACATTACTAAATCAGTGAGTGAGTGAGTATGGTTTTACGCCACTTTTAGCAATATTCCAGCAATATCACTCCGAGGGACAACAGTAATGGGCTTTACACATTGTACCCAGGAATCGAACCTGGGCCTTCGGCGTGACGAGTGAACGTTTTAACCACCAGGCTACCCGACCGCCCCTAACTAAAGCACCATTCACAGCTTTATTTAGTGTTTCCCCGTGTTATGGGTTTTGGGACGCTAAGAAACATTCGTAGTTATCTCTCTGTTCACATGAACAACTGTAAAACATATAACTTATAAAAGACAATTTTCTCTTAATGACAAGCCATCATCCGACTGTTTAAAATGTCTGTGTGATGCTACATCCCCATTTATCATCCAAAACTGGCTCCCACAGGAGATATCGCTTGGGTGAGATCAAGCGATATCTATACTGTAGATATCGCTGCAATGAAATTGCATCACAATGCTTTGCAGACCATTGTGACATCATTGGTTACCATGACGTCACAATCAAATGACATCACTAATGGCTCTGCTACTGAAGCTGTTAGTAGTGCTTTTCACACTTAAGACACTGCTTATAACTTTCTACAAACTGAATAAGTTGGAAGAATGATGTTGGATGATAAATAAAATCTCACCCTTGTGTCTTTTGATATCAAATATATCAACACTTGTTGATAAAAGTGGAAAAAATCCTCGGCAAACCTCGGAGTTTTCCCACTTTTATCAACTCGTGTTGATATATTTGATATCAAAAGACACTCGGGTGAGATTCTCTATATATAGCCCGAGTAATTGCAATAAACATGGCCGTCCGAAAACATATGATCTGACGATATGTTTTGAAATAAAAATATTGGATATTTACTTGGAGAATTGAATTTCAAAAATAGCATATCAATGATTGTGTTAATGTTGTTTTTTTATCAAATCACCAATGATCATTGTGAAATGTCGTAGATAACCCTACAAACATTTAGAACGTTTTGAAAATTAAACACACAAATGCCAAAGTAACTTTCTGCCATATTGGACAGTGTTTACAAAATTACATTCACGTATGCCTGTTATGAGACACCTATTACATCACGTTTCAAACTCAGCTGCCATACATACATCCCTAATTCCTCATACATCTTAGAATCAAATGATAAATGGGCTGTCACCAATACAAACTGTCTAGATGTGAAAACAAACGCTGTGCTCAGAAAACTGCACTTGTTTGTAAACGAAGGAAAATCAGATATAACAATAACTAGCATTTTCTCCAATTTGAGAAATATAATGACTCTAAATTTTTAGAATATGCCGCAGTGGAGTAGCATTGCAAGGATTGGGGAATTAGAAAATAGATGCATTACAATGATTTGGTAAATTTAACAGAAATTATCAAAGTTTCCGCCGTGTGATGGCATGACTGACACAAAATCATGCACAGTGACGTTTTTTTATTGTCATTTCTGACTATTTCTCTTGGTTACAATGAAAAACAAATAACAATACGCAGATTGTCAGAATTTTCTGACTTCTTCCCTGAATCAATGAAAGTCCCCACGTACATTGTCAATCTTACATACATACATACATACATACATACATACACACAAACACACACACACACAGGTCTTCAGCAACCATTGCTTCTCGTAAAAGGCGAGTATGCTTGTCGTAAGGGGCGACTAACGGGAATGGGTGGTCAGGCTCGCTTACTTGGTTGATGCATGCCATCGATCCCAACTGCGTGGATCGCATTCATGATGTCAATCACTGGATGGTCTGGTCTAGGCTCGATTATATACTGACCGCCGTGATATATAGCTGGAATATTGCTGAGTGTAGTGTTAAACAAGAAACAAACAAACATACTGATGTCAGTGGATACATCATTTTGTAAAAGTCGATCACTGTTTGTGATGTCATACGCCAAGATATGTTGTACATATTTGGTAACTTCTTTGGGTTGGGTTTTTTTAATTTATGGACTTGGAACGTCTTTGTTTTGCGTAAGTGTGAAGAATATATCCGCTAGTGGGTCACTGCATGCCAATGTAACCGGTAAAGTAAATCGTCCAAAATGTGCAACACAGTAAAATTGGCATCCCGTAAACTTCAAAACATGAATTTAAAAGAAATGAATTTCACATTGTTGTGGTTGCAAACTCTGGTGTTTGAACCATGCAAGTTAAAATTGTGTAAAGCGTTCATACTCAAGTTCACCACCACAATGTGAAATTCATTTCATAATTATATGGAACCACAAATAAACATGACCCCCAAAAAACAGTAGTCCATAAGTGGCTGTGGCCTATTTCCCCCCCCGGTTTTATGCAAAAAGAATTACTTAGTTATTCAATCAAATGCCTCAGAATGACCAGCAATTTATGTTTCATAATGAGTTAGGGATATATAAAAAAGGTAGGGATAATGAATATTTTGTATGAAAAGATGTCTTCTCTACAAACACAATATCCCCAAAATATTCATGATCCATGATGATTCATGAACTTTTTTTGCTTAGTATATAATGCTTTGTGCACCTTCCTCCTAGGTAACCAGGTATGGCACTGAGATGTTGGAATCAAAAAGGTCAAATGAAATGTCATGTATATTTATATTCTAGAAGAAATGGCATAAGGGATGGCATGTCATTTCTCACGAAGTATCCTCAATAATGAAAACAAACACTCTTTGAAAATTCCATTTGACTGTATTGCTTAATGAAATAACATTGGACAAGGAAATATAAAACAAATTTCTAAAATCTGCTAATAGCAAATGTTCTTAAAATTAGTAGACATTAGACATAAGTTCAAGTGTTGGTCCTTCCATCTTTGCGTCCCGAACTCTGGTCCGTTGTATACACAATGACAAGTAAGCTATAAAATATAAGCACAAATCAAGTTTACATAACCGATAAATTACAAAAGAGCCAATAAACTTTCCAATGCTTAAACAGCCTACACTTTCCTAAAATAACATATAGGCTTAATATAAATGTAGTGACTACACAGAAAATGCATGAAATACAGAGATCTAGGTTGCTCTGGTGCTGCCAGCCAGCCAGCCAGCAATGAACTAGCGCCATACAACCAGCTGAGATTCCAGGACTGTGGAGACCGATACAGATCCTGTGTGGCTTATATACACACAAAGGCAGTCGTGGTGTCGGGGTGCACAAACAGCTGCAGTAGGGACAAGGCTTTCTATGCACTTTCAGTACACTTCGCTGGTCAAGCCAGCAACGGACTCCTGGAAAACAGACCCACTAGTCTAGTAGCACCATGTGTCGTATGTACAACTGCTTCAAACTCAAAAAACAAAAACAATTGGTTCTCAGACATTGAATTTTGAGAATGAATGTTTGCAGCCCAGTGGCTGTTTTAGTATGAAAAGCATGTTCCTCACAAGTAAGGATTCATTTTTGAGGGATCTAAACACAGAAGACATGACAAAATGTTTCTTACAGGATGACTAAGAATCAATTTTTTATTTTTTTAAAGCTCCATAAATAATTGAATTAGTGTGACATACCGTTAACAATTTGTAGTTGTTTTGAAAGTTTTCAACGGTAAGAATGTTTCTGTATTATGCCAATCACCCACTAGATCCTCCATAACAGTGGCAAGAAAGGGGAACCACACATCAAAACATAGCATTACCTACTGCAAGGCAAAGATCCTTCATTCAAGAAAATAACAAAGAGCTTGACTTCAAACAGAGTTAACAAAACAAACAGTAACATTATGCCCTTCAAGGAACAAGTCAAGCTTATAAAGCTGCATTGGAAATTGTCATAATTAAATTTTTCGCTTGGTCCCATTCCAAATCACAATACAATCTAAATTGGTTATCAAAATATACATCCAAAATATATCAATTTGGAAAAAATGGTGTAAAATCTTGGTCCCATTTGTTCTAAAATACTTAAAGCACTAGAATAGGAGATTCAACACAGACATGTAAAACATCGCAAAAGGACGTAAAATCAGATCCAGAGATAGTCCTGCTCTTGGATCACACGTTGTATCCATATACATCAACAGTGTAGACTTCAGTTCCATAATGCACATTAACAAGATGGCGATATATATTCAGCTCAGGAAATAGCAATTTCAACTCTAGACCAACCTCATTGATCTTCGTATGAAAGTGGTGTAGTGTTTGAGTGTGAATATGTGATGCCAAAAGCAGTGTATAGAGATAGGACAGAAGGTTGAGAATGGAGAATTAGTGACAGACACTCCCACAGACCACCATGGTTGACGAGTTGGCCTGCTTATGTACAGCATGACGCCATTTTGACTGCTGAGAACAGGGGAGATAACTCTAACAGAAAGCAGCACTACCTGACCTCTGGTCATGTTAGCAGTCAGGGGAGATAACTCTTAACAGATTGTTGACAGTTGAAAGGAAGTATTGCACTAGATACATAATATACAAAATGGGGACACTTGTCATATAAACAAGTTAATAATAAAAGCAGTGTTTTGAAACTACCAATATCGATTTCATAATTTAGCAGGCCATAAAAGTGTAGGAATATATATGGATACATATATGTTATAGCAGTACAATTGGGAGATAATAGGTATCTACATTTTGTGCAATATATCAACAGATCTAACAAATGTATGATAACAAACCATCAGTGTAATGGATCTGGCAAGTCAGAAGAGAAAATAGGACAAGATATACAATATGAGGCTCGATACGTGGCATAATATTATACAGAAACATCAGTAACGCCACCTCTTAAACTGCTCCAGCCACTCCTTATAAATTTGCCTGATGAAGACACAATCATTTTTCCTCGACACTGGTGACACAGCTCCTGTTTCTTGGTATGAAAGACATTGTTTTTTTTTACACTTAGTTCTGCTTGAGGAAACAGGCTTGTTTACCTTCCAAATACTCCACTATCACAAATCAACATTTCTATAATCGTGTGTAGCGTCGAATGGTTTCCTCCAGGTTGGAACTCCAAGAGATGATCACAATGAAATAAGGTTTGTTTATGTTGAATGAGTTTTTACATGTAGCATGTTTGTGCAACTATTTTCCCAACTGTTTGCCGTAGAACTTCCTGTTGATGAGGAAGATGAGGAGGTTGACGTTGATCTTGGCCTTGCTGAACATCACCATGACGGCAACGCCCTCGTACTGCAGCTGCAGCAAGTCCTGAAAGAACAGCAAGTCATATTACTCCATTGTTCACATCGGTCAGCGTCCTGCTAGGTGAGGTGAGGTGAAATTGGGTTTAACGTCGCGTCCAAGATTATTACACTTATATAGCGACGTGCATGCACGTGTGTGTGTGTGTGTGTGGCTGCTTGTACTAGACCGGACTGATGCCGATTTATCGTGCTAGCCCACTGAGATACCATGCCGCAGTTTAACATGAATACCCCACTCAGACACAGTATACTGACTCCGAGCCGACCAGTCCTTGCTTTAACCCCTTAATGCCGAGCGCCAGACAGGGTAACAACAAGTACCATCTTTTAACGTCTTTTGGTATGACGCGACCGGGGATCGAACGCCGGACCTTCCGCTCTCCGGGCGAACGCTCTACCAAGAGACCACGGAGGCGGTCGCGTCCTGCTAGGATTGGGAATATACATATCACAGGGCTCCAGCACTCTGTGCGGGTTTGTTTGATGTCAGATACCCAACTCATCAATAGTCTAACTGTATGACAGCAGCCTGTAAAATGACCGAGTCTGAACCAGACAATTCAGTGATTGATATAAGCAATGATCAACCAAATCATCGAGCCTGACCACCCGATCTATCAAGTCACCTCTTACGACCAGCATAGGTTGCTGTGCACCAATTCTAACCCAGGAAACCTGGACTGAGGATAGGGCAGTCACAAAATGTGTGACAGTGTCATCTCACACCTGGTGCTAGGTCACAGCTCAAGCTATCAACCGTGAATGTGTGACTGTCATCTCACACCTGGTGCTAGGTCACAGCTCAAGCTATCAACCGTGAATGTGTGACTGTCATCTCACACCTGGTGTTAGGTCACAGCTCAAGCTATCAACCGTGAATGTGTGACTGTCATCTCACACCTGGTGCTAGGTCACAGCTCAAGCTATCAACCGTGAATGTGTGACTGTCATCTCACACCTGGTACTAGGTCACAGCTCAAGCTATCAACCCTGAATGTGTGACTGTCATCTCACACCTGGTGCTAGGTCACAGCTCAAGCTATCAACCGTGAATGTGTGACTGTCATCTCACACCTGGTGCTAGGTCACAGCTCATGCTATCAACCGTGAATGTGTGACTGTCATCTTACACCTGGTGCTAGGTCACAGCTCAAGCTATCAACAGTGAATGTGTGACTGTCATCACACACCTGGTGTTAGGTCACAGCTCAAGCTATCAACCCTGAATGTGTGACAGTGTCATCTCACACCTGGTGCTAGGTCACAGCTCAAGCTATCAACCGTGAATGTGTGACTGTCATCTCACACCTGGTGCTAGGTCACAGCTCAAGCTATCAACCGTGAATGTGTGACTGTCATCTCACACCTGGTGTTAGGTCACAGCTCAAGCTATCAACCGTGAATGTGTGACTGTCATCTCACATCTGGTGCTAGGTCACAGCTCAAGCTATCAACCGTGAATGTGTGACTGTCATCTCACACCTGGTGCTAGGTCACAGCTCAAGCTATCAACCCTGAATGTGTGACACAGAATCCCGTTCTAAACCACGGATGTGACTGGTCCATCATTGACTGTGAACAGGTGCTTGGAAGGGATTGAACACAATCATTGTTAATTGTTTGTTTGTTCGTTGTTTAAGGCGGTCTGTAAATAATCAAGTCCAAACCAGACAATCCAGTGATAAGCATCATGAGCATTAATCTACCCAATTGAGATACGATGATATGCATCAATCAAGTCGGGGAGACCACCCGATCCTGTACTAATTATCAAGTCTACTGTACATTATATTTTTACTCCCTATGAGAGTCCTCTGCTGATGTCTACAAATTCTCACCTGGAAGACAAGTTCCACTTTATCCATTGGGACGCCCATGAATTTGGCGTTCACCTCAAACACACCTGGGTTGTCTGTCGAGCCGATTTCAAACAGCACATTCTTGAATCTGCATAGAAACATCAGCACATGAGTGTAACTAGACAACCTGTATGCTTCTTACCACAACAACACTGGTCAACAGAGATCAATACAGGTCAACACTTTCAGAGCTTTTCCAAAACACATTTCCCATCATCGAAGTCTGAATATAAATTCCAGGACTTGACAAATCTGACTTCAAACATCAACACGTATTGACATCTGTATGAACAGTCTACACAAGGCTCACTTTATTTAAGGCATAAATTATTTACAAGTTTAGTTCATAGTCAATTGGCAAATTAAAATTAATATTTTTTTTTGTTTCATTCCCAAAATAATTTTTTTAATAAGTGTCGTAAAAGATAGAAAGAATTGGCCATTTCCTCAACAGAAGTAATCCTACCATCAACTGCTAGAATTTCAATGACGGATGTTATTTGATATTACATTATTTGCCTTTTACTGGAGAGAGATAATTTTAAACCAAATTGTCAGCCAAGAGCCTCTATATCCTTGTGAGGCTGTATCTGCTGTCCATCAGCCAGACACTTCTGATTGGCATACTCACTGATTCTGTGGGAGTCCCTGTATCTCCAGGATGACGCCCTTCTCGTAGAGCCTCGCCGCGCTGTACATCACCGACCCATGGACCTTCTGGTTGTCGGCCTGCTTCCGGAACAACCCTGGCTTCTTATGCTTCCTGAAACACATTTGTCGTCATGTTTCATCATAGGTCATTGATCACCACATATAACACACACCTGTTTTAAGAAAAAACAAAATTTGGGCATAAACCATTCAAATACAAGTCTGGCCTTCATCATTTGGGCAACCTGGTTTATTCTCTTCAATGCAGTGACATGACATGTAGGATAGAAGACACGGACCATCACTTACTTGGCTTTCTGTTGTAAGTTAGCAAGACATGTCTTCACATACTGGTTGTAGTAGTCAATCTGAGACTCGTAGAATGATCGTTTGTTTGCTAAACTCTTGCATGTTGTCCTGAGACGCATCAGCTCCTGCTTCCTGTTGTTGCGATACCGCCTCTGGTTACGAATATCCTGAAAACATGCATTGTGTGGCAATTGATACTTGTTGTGAAAGTCCCCCAATAATGAGTAGGTGGTGACAATGTGAGACCTGACTGAATGTGTGGCACCATGCACTGATTGTGTGGCGCCCTGCCCTGATTGTGTGGCGCCATGCACTGATTGTGTGGCGCCATGCACTGATTGTGTGGCGCCATGCCCTGATTGTGTGGCGCCATGCACTGATTGTGTGGCGCCATGCACTGATGGTATGCCACCATGCCCTGATTGTGTGGCGCCATGCACTGATTGTATGCCACCATGTCCTGATTGTGTGGCGCTATGTCCTGATTGTGTGGCACCATGCACTGATTGTGTGGCACCATGCACTGATTGTGTGGCATCATGCACTGATTGTGTGGCACCATGCACTGATTGTGTGGCACCATGCCCTGATTGTGTGGCGCCATGCACTGATTGTATGCCACAATGCCCTGATTGTGTGGCGCCATGCACTGATTGTGTGGCGCCATGCACTGATTGTGTGCCACCATGCACTGATTGTGTGGCGCCATGCACTGACTGTGTGGCACCATGCACTGATTGTGTGCCACCATGCACTGATTGTGTGGCACCATGCACTGATTGTGTGCAACCATGCACTGACTGTGTGGCGCCATGCACTGATTGTGTGCCACCATGCACTGACTGTGTGGCGCCATGCACTGATAGTGAGGCACCATGCACTGATTGTGTGGCGCCATGCACTGATTGTGTGGCACCATGCACTGATTGTGTGGCACCATGCACTGATTGTGTGGCACCATGCCCTGATTGTGTGGCGCCATGCACTGATTGTATGCCACAATGCCCTGATTGTGTGGCGCCATGCACTGATTGTGTGGCGCCATGCACTGATTGTGTGCCACCATGCACTGATTGTGTGGCGCCATGCACTGACTGTGTGGCACCATGCACTGATTGTGTGCCACCATGCACTGATTGTGTGGCACCATGCACTGATTGTGTGCAACCATGCACTGACTGTGTGGCGCCATGCACTGATTGTGTGCCACCATGCACTGACTGTGTGGCGCCATGCACTGATAGTGAGGCACCATGCACTGATTGTGTGGCGCCATGCACTGATTGTGTGGCACCATGCACTGATTGTGTGGCACCATGCCCTGATTTTGGGTCACCATGTCCTGATTGTGTGGCACCATGCACTGATTGTGTGGCACCATGCACTGATTGTGTGGCACCTTGCACTGATAGTGAGGCACCATGCACTGGTTGTGTGGCACCATGCACTGACTGTGTGGCACCATGCACTGACTGTGTGGACCCATGCACTGATAGTGAGGCACCATGCACTGATTGTGTGGCACAATAAACTGGTTGTGTGGATTTCCTCAGTACTGTCAACCACTTGTTTGCCTGGCCCAAAAGGTTTTTCAGTGTGCAAATAAACTAGACAGGTGTGTCTCAGACAAATCCTAAAACTTTGTGATTCACTATGAGAGTGACATACCTGCACAATGGAGTTGGTCAGTTCCTGGTATTTGCTCTTCTTGGATACCATCCCTGCTATTTCCAGAGTCTGTAAATTCTTCTTGATCTTGGCCTTCATGTTCTCCAGCGGCAACCTGCAGATCAAGGGCATAGATCAGACACTACAGACGACTAGACCAGGCACTGTAGTGCACAGATGCTACCTTAATATTATACACTGCTTCATATAAGCCGTAAGTTGAACACTGAACTCTAGAAAACCAGCAATTTATGTTTCAGATGAATTAATAAAAAAAAATCCCCTCCTTTTTGGGTGATATTTTTTTCAACTGATTTTCAGTTAGAGAGTGATTGAGTGAGTGAGTGAGTGAGTATGGTTTTACGCCGGCTTTAGGAATATTCCTGCAATATCATGGCAGGGGACACCAGAAATGGGCTTCACACATTGACTAATTTGGAAACCAATCATATGTCCAGTGAGTTTTGAACAACAGTGTACCTGGTGTCTCCGAGGATGGAGGCGTGACGGACCAGCTTCCCCTTCTCCTTCTTCTCCGTCATCCTGCGATCAATCATTTCACGCTTCTTCACTAGCGCCTGGTGGATTTCTTCCTGGAGAAGATAAAAAACAGCAATGCCTTATGGGAATTCATATATCTATGTCACAATCCAAACAACACGAAGTTTCCATCAGTACCTGTGTTTCACTGGACGGGATGTCGAGCACCTGGATGAGATCGTCTCCCGGCTGACACGCTATCACATCAACTATCATGCGCTTTGTCCTGAAAGTAAACAGAATGTGGCTTATTCATCACCGGCATAATATGATCACAAGGTATTATTATAAAACAAATGTGATTTCAAGTGTGCCCTTAACCCTCCAAGTTGTGAACAAGTTGCATTTGCTGTCTAAATTACAATTCTGCTACCTGTATTTATTGCTTTGTTGCCATTTGGCTCACATTAATAAAATTATCTTTGCAACCTAAATCTTTACACATATTGAAAGAAACTGGACAACATTGATTGTTTCGTTGTTTACTTTCAAAATTGTGGCATGTCCTAATAGGTTTAATGAGATGCATATGTGGGAAGGCACAGTGGAATTCAGCAGTGGGATGCAAGACGACCAAGATTAATTTGTCTGCTATGAATGTGTCTCATAGTAATAAATAAATCGGAAATCCAAGTGACTGCATAAAACAAACATTTGAATAAAGTGGAGAGGCAGCAGCGGTATTGTTTCAGGTAATTGGCCAAGCAAATTCCAGTCATAGTCATTTGATAAGGGTAACTGTTTAATGACTTGTCTTTATTGCGTCAAGCTTTCAAAAGTTTGTTGTTCAGGCACACAACACCAATTGGAATGTTTTCAATCCTGTCTCATCTTATTATTTAATTTCTAGCACTTTAATACAAGTAATCGCGTGAAACCCTGCCATGTGACACTGGTTGTTATGAAAACCATGTGTATGGTAAGGAGGTGGTGAGGTGAAATGGCACCTGTGTTTGTGTGGCTGCTTGTACTAGTCCGGAATGATGCTGATTTTTAGTGCTAGCTCACTGAGATACCAAGCTGCAGTTTAACATGAATACCCCACTCAGACACAGTATACTGACTCCGAGCCGACCAGTCCTTGTTTTAGCCCCTTATTGCCGAGCGCCAGACAGGGTAACAACAAGTACCATATTTCAACGTCTTTTGGTATGACGAGGCCGGGAATTGAACCATGGACCTTCCGCTCTCCGGGCGGACGCTCTACCACTAGACCATGGAGTCGGTTGGTAAGGAAGAGAATATATGAATGTCAACTTCTTTATTATGAGGAACAACATTTCTGAGTAATGTGCTCTTTCGCTCATTTCGGAGTATATGCTTACTCCTTCATTGGGCATCCCACCTGGTGAAGGAGTAAGCCCATACTCCGAAACGTTGCGTTCCTCATAATAAAGAAGTTGACATCCACATATTCTCTTCCTTATGTGTATCACCTCTAAATGCATCATGTGTTTGGTGTTGACAGATAAAAGAACACAACTGGTGAAAATCTGGGTTTCAAACCACTTAGCAACACTTGCTCCCCAATTACCAGAATGAATGATTGGACACTAACCAACTAGCGTGTGTCTAACCTGATCATGAGAGTCTTCATGTCTGCCTGGTCGTCGTGCTGAACGTCAAACTTGCTGGACAACGTCATGGACAACTCTGTCTTGGACAGCTGGGCGCGTAGGTCATCGTTCGTGGTTTCATCTCCCGTCAACTCTGTCCCTGAAGGAGGAAAAGCATATGTCTACATGATCTCATCAATACCCAATATATTTATATTAATACTTATCCTGCATTACATATTTTCATTTCATGTAAAAACATGAGGTCATCCCATGAGATAATTGTGAAAACTGCTCTGCCGAACACTATACATCAGCAGTATTGTGGGTTGGATTGTTGTCAAAATGTTCATGTCTTAAGTTCCCAATGCAAACTCCTCTGTTAATCGAAACTATGCTAATTCAAATCTAGATCCTCTACCACAGTCCCTCTTACTCACCTAGCAGCTCATCGATGGTGGGCACCTCCCCTAGAACAGTCCCTCTTACTCACCTAGCAGCTCATCAAGGTGGTCACCTCCCCTAGAACAGTCCCTCTTACTCACCTAGCAGCTCATCGATGGTGGGCACCTCCCCTAGAACAGTCCCTCTTACTCACCTAGCAGCTCATCAAGGTGGTCACCTCCCCTAGAACAGTCCCTCTTACTCACCTAGCAGCTCATCAAGGTGGTCACCTCCCCTAGAACAGTCCCTCTTACTCACCTAGCAGCTCATCGATGGTGGTCACCTCCCCTAGAACAGTCCCTCTTACTCACCTAGCAGCTCATCAATGGTGGGCACCTCCCCTAGAACAGTCCCTCTTACTCACCTAGCAGCTCATCGATGGTGGGCACCTCCCCTAGATCCTCCAAGAGTTCATGGAGCGCATCCTGATGCTCTGGTGCGATGGCGTCCTGATGCTGAAGCAGCAGCTGTAACAACACAACAACGTCAGTGGACGACATGAGGGTGCTAAGTGCTAAGATGATCGTAACTCCCATACCTTAACATAGACTTACGACTGTCTTAGTGCTAGGGTTGTTTTGTACAGTGGCACCTAGATCTGAACCAGACAAACCAGTGACTGAGGCCATGAACACCAGGGACAATGTCGTGTTACCTCGCACTCAGCGATATCCCAGCTAAATGACGATGGTTTGTAAATAAAAGTCTGGACCAGACAAACCAGTGACTGAGGCCATGAACACCAGGGACAATGTCGTGTTACCTCGCACTCAGCGATATCCCAGCTAAATGACGATGGTCTGTAAATAAAAGTCTGGTCCAGACAATCCAGTGATTGACACTGTGAGCAATGATCCACGCAGGTACGATGGGTACAATCAAATGCCATCAACCAAGTCAACGGGCCTCACCACCTGATCAAATTAGGTCATCTCTTATGACAGGCATAGGTTTCTGGGGACCAGGGGTCAGGGCGCAATCATACAGTCAAGTCACAGAGCCTGACCACCTGATCAAATTTGGTCATCTCTTATGACAGGCATACATTGCTGGGGACCACGGGTCAGGGTACAATCATACAGTCAAGTCACCGAGCCTGACCACCTGATCCATATCCATTTGGTCATCGGTTATGAACAGCATAGTTTGCTGGGGACTCGTTCTAACCCACAGGGGTCAGGACACAATGATACCGACAAGTTACAGAGGTGGTCACGGTCTAGAGGGGACAACATCAGGTGTATGTCAAGGTCATGTCAATCAACACTTTCTCCAGTGATAGCAATACTTCTCACAATCTCACCTGATGTGTGTCCACAATCTCCTGCACCGAGATGTAGACAACTGGTTTGGTGATCATAGTGACATCCGTGTACTGGTCGATGTTGAACTTGACCTCCGGCTCCTCCACGTCACAAGCAGCCAGGCAGTACTTCCTGTAATGACATCAGTGGCAGCTCATCAATTTGTGATCAATTTTGTCATCAATATTGTATACAGTGTAGAGATCCAGCATTGTATTATTTCAAAAGAATCTACTAAATGCAAATATTGTGAAGTTATAACTATTGAATTTCTGTTACTGAGGGAGGAAGTGAGTGAGTGAGTTTGGTTTTATGCCGCTTTTAACAATTCCAACAATATCACGGCAGGGGTTCTCGGCGTGATGAGCGAACGCTTTAATCACACGACTTCCTCAATTTTCTGTTACTGAATAAAACAACCCAAACGCTTTGAATGACTTACTTGAACTTATCGTGGGCCACCCTGATGTAGTCGTTCATACTGGCCAAGTACGAACTCTCTCCTCCGAACTGGAAAGTGAAGCAAACAATTATGAGCGGTTTTGACATCAACATCCATGGCAGGCTGACCTTCATCTAAGGGGAGCTAACAACGTCCTTGACTATGTCTTACATCAAACTGGCTCCAGCAATGGAACTTATCAAGCTCTAAGATGTCAGGGTACAGCTAAAAAAGGGGGGAGGGTGTGCACATAACACACATACTCGTAAAATCAAAAAAACTTTTGTGTGTGTGTGTGGTGTGTGCGCGTGCGTGGTGTGTGCGCGTGCGTGGTGTGTGCGTGCATGCCCCCCTGTGTACAAATTGTCTCCACCTTTACCACCCTATAGTTGCCTCTATTGTTCTGATTTAGAATCCCCACTGATTTCAATAACTTGCATAAAAACACTGAGAGTGTTACCCCTTTATTAGATGCAGCAAACTGAAGGATTTTCGCAATGGATCCCAGATTCCTCCTCTGGTCATTGGTTAAAGCTTTATCTGCGCCGACAGTGATGATGTCGAAGGCGTCGGGGGCGACGATCGCGGAGTTGAGATACCGATAGTAGAGGAGATTTCCCACAATCTACAACAGAGAGATGACCAATGTCGCAGAAACCAACAAACTGCCTACAAACCTTCAGGCAACAGGCTTAAAGAGGAGCTTCACCATCTAGTGCTCCTACTGTAGTCTGGGTCAACATGCTGTAGCTAGTACCTTGGGTGAAACCGAGACATGATACAAACTTAAAAACTGTCCAGTGAGGCAATCTTAACTCCTTGCTTGATATACATCATAAACTAGAGTTACCAGACAAAGTGGTACTGAAAGACATTAATCACACTTTCAGGACAGATATAGATAGGTGTACAGACTGTGCTTGTGTACATTTAGCTTGACTGGCAGATACGAGTCATGTGTCATTCTCATTCAGGAAACAGATTATTTCATCAACAAACCTGAAATCTTTGTCAGGGAAATAATAATGAGTGAGTAGTTAAAGTATAATGCCAATTCAAACATTATTTCAGTCATAAATCACACCGGGTCAGCTTAATGTACCCAGGAGAAACCCAAACTGGTGTAGCTCACAGATGTATACTGCATATGTTCATGAGCAGCGTTATATTGCTGCCAGACCAAGAACCGTAATGAATCCAACACCAGCAGGTCCTGACATGGTTAAGGGAAGCAACTCTGTACAGTAGTGTCTCAGACCACTCATGTCCCATTACATCAGCGATAGAAACTGGCACTAGTCCTGTAGTCCTTGCCAAACTGTCCAATAGTAAGGTACAATAAGGACTAGTGGAAACTTGCAATTATTAAGGGTTTTGCTATATGTAATCATTATGAGGATTAGTGGACTAAAACAGTTCGTTTCTACCGCTGTACATGCTGAGGTTGATTATTGGTAGATAATGTAACCGACTGTACCTTCAGGACATCTTTCTCCTGTGCGTCCGGGAACTTCTTCATAAGAGCATCCCTCATCACCCGAGCCATGTACCGCATCCCGTATCTGCAGCAACAGGCACCTCTCAGTAACCACATTCAGGAGTGTATAGAGTGTTATGAGTATTGTATAAATTAACTACTAAAGACAACAACTCGCTCAGATGGTACTGTGGCATGAATGATTAACAAATAGGGGGATCCGTTCTTCCGTAGGTGCAAAAACATCTGATCAGATGCAAAACACAAACGGTTAAAGGAAGTGACAACAGTGACAATAATTGTACACATAGTATCCCAACTGTCGGCATGTACTCACGGGATCTTGTCGAGTGAGGTGAGGATCTTGTTGAGGAAGCGGTCGGAGACGTCCTGCAGACGTTTGATGGACTCCTGGATCTGCTGCTGAACCTCGGGGTGTTCCAGGGCTTGTTCCGTGGACACGTCGTACGGCAGGCCCCTGAGACAGAACACACTCCGTCACTGTCTAATGATCTTGGCCTAATTGTGCTTTTGAATTCTTGGTATTCTTGAGTATTCAATGGCTGGAAACTTAATAAACAACCAGCAATGAAAGTCGGTTGCTTAAAATGTTCATCGTATTTACATTAATACCCGCAAAAATAACCTGGTTCAGACTGGACTCACCTGGCCTTGCCTGTCTTGGACTCCACCTGGTTCAGACTGGACTCACCTGGCTTTGCCTGTCTTGGACTCCACCTGGTTCAGACTGGACTCACCTGGCCTTGCCAGCCTCGGACTCCACCTGGTTCAGACTGGACTCACCTGGCCTTGCCAGTCTCAGACTGGACTCCGCCTGGTTCAGACTGGACTCACCTGGCCTTGCCTGTCTCGGACTCCACCTGGTTCAGACTGGACTCACCTGGCTCTGCCTGTCTTGGACTCCACCTGGTTCAGACTGGACTCACCTGGCCTTGCCTGTCTTGGACTCCACCTGGTTCAGACTGGACTCACCTGGCCTTGCCTGTCTCGGAATCCGTCTGGTTCAGACTAGACTCACCTGGCCTTGCCAGTCTCGGACTCCACCTGGTTCAGACTGGACTCACCTGGCCTTGCCAGTCTCGGACTGGACTCCGCCTGGTTCAGACTGGACTCACCTGGCCTTGCCTGTCTCGGACTCCACCTGGTTCAGACTGGACTCACCTGGCTCTGCCTGTCTTGGACTCCACCTGGTTCAGACTGGACTCACCTGGCCTTGCCTGTCTTGGACTCCACCTGGTTCAGACTGGACTCACCTGGCCTTGCCTGTCTCGGACTCCGTCTGGTTCAGACTAGACTCACCTGGCCTTGCCAGTCTCGGACTCCACCTGGTTCAGACTGGACTCACCTGGCCTTGCCAGTCTCGGACTGGACTCCGCCTGGTTCAGACTGGACTCACCTGGCCTTGCCTGTCTCGGACTCCGTCTGGTTGACCCAGGCCTTGTACACCTCGATGGGATTGGTGTTGATGCGCAGGTTCTTGTCCTCCACAACCCCTGTGATGAGGGGGTTCAGCATCTCCCTCAGGGCATTCTGACCCCGTTGGTTCCTGGCAAATTAGTCCATGAATATGTCACAAACATCCTAAACTGATGAAGCATGTATTTGGAGCCACCAATTTTATCAATTCCATAACTAAAAGCACACGCCAAAACACAACATACTGATACAACACCTATGACATTAAAGACCACTGCTTATTGTCTAACAGTGTCTAAATTACCAGGTTCAAGCTTTGGAACAATCATACCTTGTAATTATTCATTAATAACATGACAACCAAATTGGTAGAGTTTACCAGTTTAAACTGAATTATTCATTGCAACAACAAAATACACATACCTGTTGAACCCTACAATCATCTTGACAACAAGTGGGTTGCCAGTCACAATGTCCGTCATCTTGTCCACTTTAGATCTGTAACAGAACATCCAGTCCAACATTACTGTACGATGTCGTCTGAAGATACAATATTGCCGTGGATAACATGCCTCCAATCTACTGATCCTGTATGTAAGTCAGACAGACAACTGACGGAGGAGACAGCTTAGAAGAGTGAGCAACCACAGTGATAAGATAGAGGTCTACAGAAAGTCAAGCAATGTGATGGAACATTATGGTCGTTTCCAACAGACATTTAAATTGTTCTTACTACCTGAAATCTGCAAGTATATTGATGATCTTTTTGGAATGAATTATCTTAATTGCATGTATATAACATTATTTTCTGGTGTAATTCAGTAGGTATATGGATTCAAAGGTCTGAGAAGATAAGGTGTTAATTCACACAGCACATTAACAATTAGTGTCAGAGATCCGTGAGGTGGACACACACAGGTAGCAAATGACTGATGAATGTGAGGACAAGGTACGACTTCCCAAGAAATTTATGAAACACAACTACTTACTTACATACTCGTACTAAACAATCTGTACCAATTGCTATCTGTTGGTCTTAATAATGTTTTCTGGTACTAAAACACTATGTGGCATGCATATTTCATATCACTTGTCCCATGCACTGTTATTTGCCTTTACTGTGAATACATTACTTAACCATGCAATGACCAATAAACTGCACCCGATAATTTCTCATATTTCTGTAAGATGGGATATACGGACCCTCTTTGGGCTGTACCGTCATGCAGTGAGAGGGGATGTTCATGGATGCAGTGTGACTCCATCTTCCCAAATCAAGGGTGTTAACTGGCTTAGAGTCCAGCTTCCACCATTGCTGAACTAGGTTGGAATTTCTGGGCTTGATCGTAGCGCCACCAGTGGCTATTACGAGTTATGTTGCTTCTATGTCCCCTCCTATTGACCAATCGGATTCCACCTCTCATATTACTTGCATTTGCGATCTGTCTGTCTGCATTTGCTTTAAACAAAATGGTGGCGCCCAGTCAAGACAATCTGATCGATAATCAAAATCTATATTGTGATATATCGGGTCTTACTTTGCGAATTATGTGAGCCCCTTGATTCAAAAGATGAAAAGAACTGGAAAATATCTGTTAAAGCCAATTTGGCGTCACACATGCTTTGCAAATCCTGCAATCGGCCACAATCTGCACGGCAGTTACGAACCAGATGTCGATTTCATTACGCGATTTTGATTGGACAGTGCATTAACTTGTTAGCCCAGCCAAAAAATAACTCCATAATCCCAGCCTCATTCGGCAAGGGTGGAAACTGGACTGTCAATTTCAGTCAGCTCCCTTGCCTTGGAAAGATGGTGTGGTTCATGATGCAGACAACAACGACTGATACACTGTGTCATACCACACATGAATCGAATTTTCTAACATGCTTGTGTTTTCAGTTCTATTTATTACTTTCCAGTCGTGTTTCATCATCTTATCTTCATAAACTATTACCCTGTTGGTTCAACAATTGTGTACATGTATGATGCACATGTATAATCTACCTAAACATGCAATGCAATGGGGAGTTGGAGCTTTCGTAACAATGTTACCAAATTTACCAGCCCATTTTTTATTTCTTTAGTCAATAATATGGACAAACAGAAGGTAAAATACTACAGAAAAAACCTGTTGTTAGGGTTGATATGAAGACTTATGTCCCTTAAAAAGAACAATTTTCTTGAAAAATAATGGAAAAACAAAAATATGTTTAAAACTCCCATTTCCAAAGACAATTTGTCCTTTCTCAGCAAAACCTACTATAGGCTTGTCTATAAAAATAACAAAAGGTTTGCATGGCCTACAAGTGGATCTCTGTTACAAAGACAGTACAAAACCCACACTGTAGAACGAAAGACAAGAAACAACAGCAATGTATTACACAACACAATAATAAACAGACAAATATCAACATGGATGAATGTTTCTATTTTCTTGAATTCTGTGGGAGTTTCTCTTACTCCGTCTTCTGTTCTAACTTTGACCAACTTGCAAGTAACTGCATGGGAAACTAGGAACTGAGAGAATCAAAGAATGAATACATGTTTCTGGTGCCACCAGCCTGATACAGAAGTAAGCTGGATGATAGACAGCTAGATACGCCAGCCCTATATACCACTGGATGATAGACAGCTAGATAGGCCAGCCCTATATACCACTGGACGACGACAGACAGCTAGATACGCCAGCCCTATATACCAAATCACGCTTGGGGAACAATGTGGAGACATCCTCAAATGTTTAATGAAATGTCTTCAAATTTAAAATTCTTGACATATATTTTGACACATCACTAGTATAGTACATCACACACTATCAGTAGACAAACAACTGTGTTTCAATTTAGATGTTTCAAATGTTTATCCTATAGTGTACATTTCATTTCAAACCTACTTCACGAGGCACAAAAACGTTCCACTTCAAGATGAGTTCAGTTTCAACTGTGTGTACCACATAAACTGTGGGTTGCCTGAAGAGGGAAGAGCTTACATACTGCTTCTAACATTTAAAGACAGCTCCACACAGTGCCAACCAAACACAAGGAAGTATTGATGATAGGGTACACTGTACGGAGTAGTACACACTGTGTGACACACAGACACGCCCACTTGTCCCACACATGGATGTATGTACAACATACCTACACACGACACATGCGTCAGACTACAGGGGAGGATGGAGTCATACTCTGGACAGATCTGTGTTCAATACATCGGGGAGTCTACTTGATCAATTTTCAACCTCTTTCACACTAAAGACAAGTAACCAAACCTTTGCAATTCAGAAATAATACAAACTTAACAAATATATAAATACCTATATGGCAAAGTAGTATAGAGAATACTACTCAAAATATTAATAAAGTTTCACTTTTTCAATTTTATTTATTGTCTTCTGCTACTCTTGTGTTAGAATAAGCAAAGGTCCAGGATCCTTGAATTTTACATTAAAGTGAATCTAGGGACTGTTAAGTTAAAACTTTTAGTTTTCGGGTTATGACCTTGACTTTCAAGCTTATATGGAACACTGGAGGTCAGTGCACAGGGTGGCGTTGTCTACATATGGCCGATGTCTGTCCAGAGTATGAACCCAGTATGAGATGCAGACCCGTCTCAATGAGGATGTCATGATTATGATGGTGGTAACAACACTGACGTAATATCGGGTACACGACATCACCCATACACCATGTCCATACTTACATTCGCCTGGGGAGGCAGAGAGAGAAGAGAAACACATTAGTACGATTAACGCTAGCTAACTAGGTGAACTCGTACAAAGCAATGGCTGAAAAGTAAACAGGGTAATGACGACCACAGGGATGAGAATTCAAGTGGGGAGGTTTAAGTTAAACAACAGAAGGACTATTTCATCTTATGAATGACAATGGTTAATATTGCAAGTATAGGACAGTTGTAACATTACAATCACTTTGTGAACAGGGTCCACAACACCAAATGACCCACTAAACTGTTCTTATATACATTTATTGGTATGTTCATTGATGACATCAGAATCTCAGGACAGTCCTGTAGTCAAGAGGGCAGTGGCACCACATCTCAACAAGTCAATGGACAAATGAACACTGCATATATTTACATATTTTTCTCATCCCTGGAATATTCAAACATCCAACCCCAGTATATCACTAGGTATGTGTAGTTAGTATGCACTGTATATACTCTTCAAAAAAAAAGAAACATTACACTGGAGTGAGTGAGTATGGTTTTACTCTGATTTTACCAATATTCCAGAAATATCACAGTGGGGGACACCGGAAATTGGCTTCACACATTATACCCATGTCAGGATTCGAACATGGGTCTTCAGCATGATGAATGCTTTAACCACTAGGCTACCCGACCGTACCTGCGTTACACTGGAGATGAGTTGGGTAACGATATATTATTGCTACTGTAGGTATGCACACAAGTGCTGATTGTAATGAATGCTAAAATGTACAGAAATGAGCAGAAATTACTAGAAGACAACAGAGAATGTTTGACGTAGGTATCGCACATTCTGTACACATTCACATGCAACATGACTTGCTCTGTCCCTGTGTGCATCAATGGCAGGGCATGATCTCAATCCCGACATACGCTCAGATATCCTCAACCTGACAAGACAGACACGAGACCAACCCCATCAGCAGTCTGGAGGCTGGAACTAGCCCAGCAGGATGTCACTCGGGCCATGAATGTATCCAGGGCAACCGTCACCAGGATGTGGATGACACACACAATCACTGGAAGGCCATGCATCTCTGGTAGGCCCAAGGCAGGAAGACCACCTGCACAAAACCACCCTTCTCGACTCCAGCACCTCTGGGATAGCTCTGTGTTTAATTCTACCATATATTTGCATTGAATTATCTCAATCTAGTCTCAATTAGATGTAACACTTCTTTTTTGGAAGAGTATACACATATATTTACATGTATAAATTGATATATACCAATTGTAATAAACTGTTATGTACCCAAACATCATAAAGAGACAGTATTGCTGAAAACACACAGCTTGCAAATTAAACACCAAAACCGACCATTTATGTATTTCTACACAACTACATAAATGTGTAAAATAGAATAAAGGCAGGATTTTCTAAATTTGGAATGAACTGTCTGAAGTTGTTTGAGTACAATCTAACGATACATCGTATTACGTCTCCACCCTGGAGAAGCTGTTGACAGAACAATAAGCTCAGAGATTAGTCCATCCTGCAACTAGATCTCATAACATTAATAGGACAATATCTACTCCAACTAGTTCTTGTACTTCCATAAAAAAAATTCAGTTTTTTGTAGAATTTTCTTATCAGAGCTTCAGATGTTTTGAAAACATAGGTCAAGTGACCAAGTGAGAAAATCGACAAGGTGAAAAACAGAAGACTTGGGGATTCATATTGCTTTGAAATGGCAGACATCTTGTCTGCACTTTGACAATCTGAAGCACTGTATATATGTTAAACAATTACAAGACTTTTATAACTTATGTTACTTATTATTCACAAGAATATAAATACAATATAAAGAACAGGAATATAAATTCAACGTATTAATCAAATAAGATTCTATAATACAAGAATTAAGGAACCTAAATGACACGAAGCATAGTGCCTTGACACTGTGCTTAGCGTGTACTACTGCAAGTAGAGAGGCCGGCTATATGGGGAGTTAGACGGAGACTTACTTAGAGCCACCTAACAGGAACCTACAACAGAACGACATCGGTCACTCACTCACACACATCATCGGGAGCACGTCAGGGCACTACTCACATCACAATCTCACACCACCATACCTAAATCATGGCTTCATTCACTTGAAACAAGGAGATACTCGTAAATGATAACAAGAACACAGTAATTCTAAAGTATAAATAACCTAAGTTTCAGAATAATAAAACAAGAAGGAACTGATGAATATTGATATAAAAACTTGCTTTACATAATTTACTGGTATATTAAAGTACTGTATTCACCATAATAAGCGCCCTGAGTGCTTAGAAAATTGACAAATGGGGGCCAATACAGGGATGAGAATGGATATTTTCCTTTTTTAGCTGAAATGTCTTTTCAGTGGATCTTGGCCCATAATTTGGGGAGTTTATATGGGGTTCATCAAAATTTAACAAATTTGTGTTCACTAAATTCGCGAAAATTCAAGGAAAAATTTCATCCCTGCGAATGTTAACACCATACAGTTTTCATGGATTTCAAGGATTAATGTTTAGTGAAAAAACTTAGTTCAAACGTTGATGAAACTAAAAGGATTATGGCAATCGTTACGGGGCAATTATACACCCCTTCTGAGCTGCTGTTTCTGGAAAAACGTATCTAAAATGTACAAGAAAATATGGTCTTTGTTGGGAAATCTCAAAGATAATTTACAGATTGATCTAGAGGTTTGTCAGGGGGCCCTAATTGGTGCAAGGCACTTAGGAGGGCAAAAAAGGTATTTTTTAATGACTACTTTCTATATACCAAGGCACCTTAAGAGTGATCAAGTAAATGTGACATATTTGTCTGTGTTGACAAGTACTGCCCCATACTGTCCCTAATAGCAAGCAAGTAGGTGGTGTGCATGGTGGTGACTGGAAGTGATCTAATGCACTGTGAACAGGGCTATAGAGTTATCTCCCTTCTAACTCTAGAACATGGCGGAGAATCAGGGCACCTGGCAGTATTGATCATATCTTCAGATAACTGCAGCGGAAATATCTGACATTTTGCATATGGTGATGAAAAACAAAGATGAAAACATTTTGACTCTTAAAAGAAATTAGCATAAATGATAAATGCGAGCAAAGATTTTACATCACATTCACAGCAATCTTTCAGCCATTTTCATAACAATACTAAATCATAACATATTGTAAAAACAGCTATCGTTCACTGTAGAAGTTAAAAGTACACAATTTCAATACTCACGCTATTTCTTCTTCCAGTGCGGTCTTGAACAACTTCAGCAGAAGATACTCTTCTCTCTGATTCGACCCGTAGTTAAATAGTGAAAAGATGACAGCCTCCATGAACTTGGTGGTGCGGCTCTGAGGCATCTCGAAGATGAGCTTGGCAAGGTACGTAGGGTTGGTCTGGAGCAGGTAGAACAAGTGCTGGTATGCCTCTAGGCGCTCATGGCTCTCCTTACTCAGTGCCTTCAGACCTTTCATGTACGACTCAGACGAGATGTTCAACTTTCTGTTTTGTTTAACAACATCCTGTGGAAACAAAGACAAGTATGTAAAAATATAACACTCAACACTCAGTAACACTCAAGATAGATAGATAGATAGATAGATAGATAGATAGATAGATAGATAGATAGATAGATAGCTCCAAGGTTACACCACAAGTCACTATTGATTGCATTTCTTTCGGACTATACATGCATTCCTTCTGACTTTAGATGTTTGTATACAGAGAAAGCTTCAGTCAACTTCAATGTTGAATGACCTGATCGCATCTGAATACTTTTGCCAGGACAAAACAATTCCCAATCAGACTTTTGTTCCCAACTCTTGAAACCTACAGCAGGTACCCAGGCAGGGTTGGGTGATAGGGGGTGATAGGGGGTGATAGGGGGTTTGGTACCGCTGTTTCAATTTTGAACTGGTCCCAACACCAGATACAAGACCTGCCTGCAGTGTAATCCTGTTTTTGATGAGAAGACCGATCTTGATGTCCATCTGGTCTAAGTCATGTTCCAGCTGTTGGTTGGACCTGATCTCAGACACCACTTGCTGACGAAGCTTCTGTAACTCTGTAGTGAAAGGGAAATAACTCAGGAGATCATCATCAAAAGACTACAGCTCTGTTTCCGACAACGTCAATACTTCACAGGCTCGTGTACACTACATTCCACATCACCTGCGAATACATGCAGCCACAAGGAGTCGAGACGTGTTTGTAAGCTAAGGAAATGAGGCTGATTAAGATTCATTGTTGTCAAATGAGCCCTACTCTGCACATCAGCTATGTTGGTTGGTTGGTTTGTTGTTTTACGCCGCACTCAGCAATATTCCAGCTATATGATGGCGGTCTGTAAATAATAGAGTCTGGACCAGACAATCCAATGATTAATATCATGAGCATCCATCCACGCAATTGGGATCAATGACATGCATCAACCAAGTCAGGTCAGCCTGACCACCCGATCCTGTTAGTCACCTTTTACGACAAGCATAGTCGCCTTTTACGGCAAGCATTGGTTGCTGAAGACCTAGTCTACCCCGGATCTTCACGGGCCACATCAGCTATGTACAAACCCTATTGGTGCGCCATGTGTGTAGAGTGGGTGGGCGAGGTGAAATGGGGTTTAACATCACGGAGGCGGCCAGGGGATTGAACCACTGACCCTTTACTCTCCGAGCAGATGCTCTATCCACATGGCCACAGAGGCATTCGTAGAGCAGATGAACGCAATATTGCAAGGAAGAAACATGAATGTTCGTTTTATGTAATCTGATTGCTCATTGGTCTGATCAGTCGCTGGCTTCCCTCTCGCTGTAACCAGGCCTTTGATTCATATTGGTTGCAAATAGTGACAACACCACAAAGTGGCCACATGTATTCATGGGTAATGGGGCAACATAGTGCATACAAACTAGTATTTACAATGTTTTCAGGGGTAGATTTAACAACAAATTTGTATGTGGCCCTCAGGGTTTGCTCCTTTTAAAAGTAACTGGCTTACAACTAAATGTCGGAGGCCACGAAGGGGCCGAAACCTGTGGTCGTGTAGCCAGCGAGCGGGACTTGAAAAAGTTTTCCTCACCCCTGATCTGCCTTTTCCTGCACTCTGAGATTAAATCTTGGCTTCCATTTGCCTCATTTCATGGTAATTTACAAGCAAATAAAGATGTTGTTGTACACAACATTACAAAATGGCGTCTGGTTGTCATTGTACCAAGATGATCAAGATATATCTTTCTTTTAGTTAACCATTAATTTCACAAGACCTCATGACCCCTAAATATTTTCTCAGCAAAATTATATGATTAACAAGTAGTGTCCAATTAAAAAATTAAACATACATGGAGAAGGGGTGAAATTTGACTAGCCAGACGGGCAATCTACTTTACGTTCCAGCAGTTAAATCAACCCCTGTGTTTTTTCAGAAACAGGCATGCTTGACGATGTTGTTTCAGAAAAAGGCATGCTTGACAATGTTTGGAACTCAACCATGCACTGTCGCCCCTAAGGAGGTAACATTAGTTAGTTTGACATGAACACAAGTTGTTCCATGCAGTGTGATGACAGCGTGGATCTATCTATAAGTTTCACACAGACGATACTACAGGTTGCCATTGATCTCCATAACAAATGATGTAAACGTGAAAACAAAGATTGAACACAAAGTACATGAAACCAGGAAGTTAAACTTGAAACATCGACAACAGAATTATAACCAAAAGTAGCACCATGGCGCTGTAGCTTACATGGTTCCATATTCAAAATAACAGAAGGAACCACATACGAAAATATTCTGTCAAAGTTAATATTCTGCCATCATGATTGTTATCTTCTTACAAAAGGACAGATGGGATGAAAATGTACAATAGCTTACATCATGTGTTGTATTTCCATACAGAGATAGCCGGGTAAAGTAACACCACAAGTCCATGAACAATCATTTAGAGAAAAAAAATTGAATAAACGGGAGATGTTTACAAGATGGCCAATGTTATTAGTTAAATGATAATAATGATGCCTTCAATATTCTTAGTAATCATATTAAGCTTATGTTTTCTAAGCTTTATGGATTTCGTCTTCAGAAACAGTGTTTTGGTGTTTTTTTAAATGAAGAAAATAACTCCTACATGAATGGATCCAGATCATTGAAGACCGTGAGTGGCGGGAGATTGCAGGCCAAGTTTCCCCACAGTGATTTTAGAAGAGATGTTTGTAGACTATGAATGAAGGACAAACCTCCCCTGACACCAGCTCACTTAGGCTTAAAGCCTAGAAGAGCATTATTGGTAAATGTTAGAAAATTAAGTCTTGAATAAATAGCTATAATGATAATGAAACAACCAATATTCCAAATTTTGGAGATGAAAAAGAAAAATGTTTCAACTATTAATAGTCTATCCTTTTAAAAAAAAAAAAATATATAAATATTAAAATATTTAAAACACACACCAGCAATGTATGACAAAAAAACCATTGCAACTGTATGTACATTACAAATGAGTAGACCAAAAAAATTAAAAAAATAAAAAATAAAACAAAGATACTTGACAACCTTGGGCTGCTACTACTGACCTTCACCTTCTGTCCAAAGCCGCACATTAAACAAGATAGACCATTAACTTGACTTGCTTGGAGCAGTGCCCCAGGGCCTCAGTTCTCACACAGCTTAAAGTCTCTTCATGCAAAACGAGGCTGACACAAACAAGAACCACGATACCAGAACCTATTGGCATGAGCGAAAGGAACAGAAGGCAGCGACATGCCAACTCAGAATAGGCATCCAGAACGTATCGCTTCTTGTGAAGGTGGTTTAATAGGCATCCAGAACATATTGCTTCTTGTGAAGGTGGTTTCATAACAGAAACTGGAATAACACCTGCATACTGGTAAGTTTGGCATTTTGCAGATATTTGCAGATACTATGTTACCAGCTTTACTACACATGGTATGCGAAACACACGTTTATTAGTTTCATTAGAAACAATATGTATCTGCTATTACGCCAAACCTTGGCCCCTTGTATCAACTATTCCGACAGACTTGGCCCAGGTATCTACTATTCTGACAGTCTTGGGTCAAGCAAATCGCAAGAGAATTTGTGATGAAATGTTGCATTCATCACGCTTTGTACCTCACCTCCACTTCTATAATGGGAACAGTTGATGAGTTCTGCATATTCCATGCATGGACTGAAGGAGTGGATACATTGATACAAGTACAGGGACTACAAGTATCAGTTATCTTCCATCACTCATACATTATATGAGGAATGTAAACCATGAATGCATTAAGACCTACCCAGTTCTTCAGCATAATCATTATCACTGGCATCAAGGAGGTGGACAAACTTCCTCACAACAGACAAGGATGGGCTGCTGTCTTGCACTGTAAAACACAATGTTTGTTTAACACCGCACTATTCCAGCTATATTATAGCAAATAATTGAATCTGTACCAGACAGTCCAGTGACAACTCAAGTTTAGTACACGTTCACAGTTGCTAAGTCCACATAGATCATGTTTCATAATATAACAGAATCCATGTTCATAAAAAAATACATAAAACACAGTTTTTGCCTACTAAGAGAATTTCATAATTCCAGCTATATGACAGCGGTCTGTAAATAATCGAGTGTGGACAAGACAATCCGGTGACTTCATGAACATCAATCAACACAATTTGGGATTCGATGACATGCATCAACCAAGTCAGCGATCCTGACCACCCGATCCCGCTAGTCCCCTCTTGTAACAAGTATAGTTGCCTGTTATGGCAAGCATGGGTCGATGAAGACCTATTCTACCCCGGATCTACACAGGTCACGGCAACACAAGGCGAGGATGTGCAACAGTCAGTCAGGAGTCACATGGGGATGGGAGGCAGTGAACAAAGGAGTCATGCTGCAATACACTGCCAGATATATATTTGTTTCACCTTTCAAATATAGATAATGTCTCTGCAGTGTTGATATTCATTACATACATTCTTACATCATATAGATTTATTATACAAAATATGGTGAACAAGATATATGAGCAGTTATCAGTTCCTGATCGGTGACCTATCGAGCCACACTTACTCAGGGCCTTGTAGTCCTGGCGAGCCAGGTTGGACCGGAAGAACGCCTGGATCCTGATGATCTTATCCTCCTGCAACACAACAATAGTCATGACACTCACCATCGGCTCACACGGCGACAGTCATGACACCATCGGCTCACACGACGACAGTCATGACGCCATCGGCTCACACAACAATTGTCTTGGCACTCACCATCAGCCCAGGCAGAGCCACGGAAGCTACACGACTACTGTAGTAGGAGGATCCATACTTAGCATGGTCCTGCTACTGAATATCTATAGGTTGTCAAAACAAAACAATACAGTATGATGTACAACTAGCACAATTCTTAAAAGTTTAATGTTGATTATTATTTACGTGAATTGTAAATCCTGCCTACTCACATTTGATTTAAAGAAGTTGAGTCTGTCCCGGTACTTCTTCCTCTCCCGCCACATCCGTACGTACGACTGAAGCTACAAGAGAACAGGAGTAAGTCTACACTCATGTACTACAGTTATAATCGCAGCAAGAGAACAGGAGTAAGTCTACACTCATGTACTACAGTTATAATCGCAGCAAGAGAACAGGAGTAAGTCTACACTCGTGTACTACAGTTATAATCACAGCAAGAGAACAGGAGTAAGTCTACACTCATGTACTACAGTTATAATCGCAGCAAGAGAACAGCAGTAACTCTACACTCATGTACTACAGTTATAATCGCAGCAAGAGAACAGGAGTAAGTCTACACTCATGTACTACAGTTAAAATCTCAGCAAGAGAACAGGAGTAAGTCTACACTCATGTACTACAGTTATAATCGCAGCAAGAGAACAGCAGTAACTCTACACTCATGTACTACAGTTATAATCGCAGCAAGAGAACAGCAGCAAGTCTACACTCATGTACTACAGTTAAAATCTCAGCAAGAGAACAGGAGTAAGTCTACACTCATGTACTACAGTTATAATCTCAGCAAGAGAACAGGACTAAGTCTACACTCATGTACTACAGTTATAATCTCAGCAAGAGAACAGGAGTAAGTCTACACTCACATACCACTGCTATTCCTGAATGCAATGAAATTTAGTAAGAGGGCCTTACATGCTTATTGAAACAAGCACCTACTTTGATGGCAGCATCTTCGTTGCTGTTGAGATAGTCCAATCGACCCTTGAACTGGCGCCTTTGTTTGCCTCCGCGGAACCAGGACTGAAATTAGGATGACATGTGCTACAAGCAAGATTTGAGAAACCCATAAACTCATAGGAGACACTATGTCAATTCAGCAATGTATTGCCACAATGGCGGGGAGAGTACCTGTATTGCCACAATGGCGGGAAGTGTACCTGTATTGCCACAATGGTGGAAAGTGTACCTGTATTGCCACAATGGTGGGAAGTGTACCTGTATTGCCACAATGGTGGGAAGTGTACCTGTATTGCCACAATGGCGGGAAGTGTACCTGTATTGCCACAATGGTGGGAAGTGTACCTGTATTGCCACAATGGTGGAAAGTGTACCTGTATTGCCACAATGGTGGGAAGTGTACCTGTATTGCCACAATGGTGGGAAGTGTACCTGTATTGCCACAATGGCGGGAAGTGTATCTGTATTGCCACAATGGCGGGAAGTGTACCTGTATTGCCACAATGGTGGGAAGTGTACCTGTATTGCCACAATGGTGGAAAGTGTACCTGTATTGCCACAATGGTGGGAAGTGTACCTGTATTGCCACAATGGTGGGAAGTGTACCTGTATTGCCACAATGGTGGGAAGTGTACCTGTATTGCCACAATGGTGGGAAGTGTACCTGTATTGCCACAATGGCGGGAAGTGTACCTGTATTGCCACAATGGTGGGGAGTGTACCTGTATTGCCACAATGGCTGGCAGCTGTGTCTTCATGAAGTTCTGTCTCTCCTTGTATTTCAGCCTCTGCTGGTGACCTCTCACCATGGCCTGCAGCTTCACGACACGTGGCTCGTTGGCCTTGAACAGCAGCTCCCGGTCATACGCTGCCGTCTGCTCCGATATCACTTTCTGAAAACAGATATCATACAGCTTGGTCAGGCGATATGGGGTTTAACATCACATTCAAGATTATTGCACTTATATAGAGATGTGCATGCATTCATAGAAATGTGTGTATGTGTGTGTGGCTGCCTGTACTGGTCCGAACTAATGACAATTTTATAGTGCTAGCCCACTGACATACCCTGCAAGCAGTTTAACATCCATACCCAACTCAGACACAGTATACTGACTCTGAACCGACCAGTCCTTGTTTCAGCCCCTTAATACCGAGTGCCAGACAGGGCAACAACAAGTACCATCTTTTAAGGTCTTTAGGTATGACGCAGCCGGGGATCAAACCCCCGACCCTTAAGACCATTAAAATGTATAATATTTGGGCTATAACAAGGATCCTTGGACTATTATGCTTAATTTCTAACACTGCATAAATATGTGTCTCGATTTGCTCTAATTCATGCTCCTACGTTGATGTCTACGAGATAAATGTTGTGTCTTCTGAATGTAGAGGTTTCAAATATAGATTCGATGCCTGTAAATTTCATCTGAAACCATATGTGATATCAGTATTATGACGTCATACAGATGGGAAGTCTAAGCATTGTGACGCGGCAGACATGACATCAAAGAAAGTGATAGCATTTCTTTCACTGTTATCAGCAAAACTATGGTTTAACATATATATCAAACTGCTGGCGGACCAATCAGAACACAGGATTTAAAATGTCATGGTAGAATTATCTGTTAATTCAGGTATTTATTTCTTATCATCAAGCCAGAAAGGCCATCAGCTTGCATTATATATTAATAAACATAGAAGTGTATTTTAGAAAGGTTTGATTAACATATGATCTTTATTTCAAGCATGATGTGGTGCTACTGTTTCAATGATGACCTTACCTGAATTTCTTCTTTTGTAAGCAGGCTGTGATCCTTTACCACGCCATCTTGTCGGAACCATTCATACTCCCCAGTGCTGATGTTGTAGAAGAACTTGGACCCATCCCGTGTCCTGTTCATTATCCAGCCACTGCCACACTCGCCTACAACACGACAACATTAACAATGCAAAACATTGTTCCACAAACTGCAAACATGGTATTGGTTATAATCCCTGCCATATCAACAAATATTCATGCAGTCATTAGGAAGGAGGATGAAAGTATTGTCGGATCTGGTTGCGAAATATTGTAATATCGTTATGTGTGCAGCCAGTACACCCACCAGCTTCTGTCTTCTCGGTCTGCAGAGTCTTGAGGCTGCCCATGTAGGTGGGCGTGCAGTCGGGCGTGACACTGTGGAGCCCCACCTCCGAGTTGGTCAGACCAGACTGTAGATGGGCGACGTCTTCAGCCCTGATGGCCTCGTTGATGTTCTTCACGCCCAAGGAAACTGAAGGAGTAATAAAACAATAAATGACTACCGTTTGTCATTTAAGAATATCAGTAAGGATTTGAAATAAGTGACTGAGTGTGGAAGGTTTATCCACGGATATATATAAAAGAGCATAAAGACGAAGGTAGAAAGCGCAAAGATGAAAGTGGAAAGAACGTAAAGATGAAGGTAGAAAGAACATAAAGATGAAGGTTGAAAGAACATAAGATGAAGGTTGAAAGAACGTAGAGATGAAGGTTGAAAGAACGTAAAGACGCAGGTAGAAAGAGTAAAGACGAGGGCAGAAAGAGAGTAAAGACGAGAGTAGAAAGAGAGTAAAGACGAGGGTAGAAAGAGCATAAAGACGAGGGTAGAAAGAGAGTAAAGACGAGGGTAGAAAGAGTGTAAAGACGAGGGTAGAAAGAGTGTAAAGACGAGGGTAGAAAGAGTAAAGACGAGGGTAGAAAGAGTAAAGACGAGGGTAGAAAGAGAGTAAAGACGAGGGTAGAAAGAAGGTAAAGACGAGAGTAGAAAGAGAGTAAAGAAGAGGGTAGAAAGAGAGTAAAGATGAGGGTAGAAAGAGTAAAGATGAGGGTAGAAAGAGCATAAAGACGAGGGTAGAAAGAGAGTAAAGACGAGGGTAGAAAGAGAGTAAAGACGAGGGTAGAAAGAGAGTAAAGACGAGGGTAGAAAGAGTGTAAAGACGAGGGTAGAAAGAAGGTAAAGACGAAGGTAGGAGCAGTGTCAGGAGGTACTCACTCTTGACACCCTCATCTGCATCCTTGTTGGCCTTTTCCACACACAGCTGAATCTCCTCCAACCAAAGCTCCGCATCCTCGTCGTCAGTTGCCTGTAACAGCGTACACAAATACAGCACTTCACAACCAGAGTCAAGTATTTAACAACTGCAATAACTAAATCAAACAGACGAGTTAGACTTGACAATTACCAATAACACTTCCAGTTTTGAGTGAGTGAGTGAGTGAGTTAGTTGGGATTGACAGTGGTAGCTCTGTTATACAGCAGCGGAAAACCAGAAATTGGGCTTCACACATTGTTCCGATGTGGGGCATCAAACCCAGTCCTTTGCTTTAACATTTCACACTACCAGGCCACTACAATCTTCGGAAATCAGACAAATTTGAGCACCAGCTGTGATCTCACCTCTGCCTTCTGTTGCTTCTCCTTGAGGAGCAGGGCCTGATAGTGGTACGCCTGTCGGGCGTCAATGCCACGCAGTTTTGCTGATGGTGTTTGTAGCGCCTCTAGTGTATCCTCTGGCTCCCCTCGTGTGATGGCTTCATTGATCTTGTTGATAGCGAGGATTCCTGCAGTCACACCACATACATACCAATGTCAGTTGAAAACAGTCTACCAAACTAAGGTATATGTCATGAGTGAATCAATGCTGTCCGCAGTCAGCAATATTCCAGCCATATCCAGTCAGCCTGTAAGTCCTGACAGAGCAATCAATCTTGTTTTGATACAATGACACACAAGCGTCCATGCTTCTGACCAGTGTAGTAAATATTTACAACAAGACCACTACTGTGGACTTATTCTGCATCCGAGTCCCCGCAAAGTCAGATACACTGAGAAATTATGGGTTGACCCGATGCAATCAAAGAATTAGTGGTTGAGTATTTTACACTAAGAACACTTACGTTCATATTCCTCCGGCACCTGCTGGTACTATTCCCCTGACTGCTAACAATCTAAAACTTATGTTAATGTTCCTGCTGCACCTGCTGGTACTAATCCCCTGACTGCTATCTAAGACTTACGTCAAGGTTCCTCCTGCACCTGCCGGTACTGTTCCCCTGACTGCTATCTAAGACTTATGTTCATGTTCCTCCTGCACCTGCTGGTACTGTTCCCCTGACTGCTATCTAAGACTTACGTTCATGTTCCTCCTGTACCTGCTGGTGGATGGTCTCCACACACGTTGAGATCTCATGGTGAGTCAGCAGGTCACATGGACTCTGTAATGGTGAACTTTGTCTCAAGCACAAATATGGATTTACAGCAGTGTTCATCATTAACACATGACCGGTAGTTCTCAGGACAGGTGATGTTATGTTCAACAATAGTCGACTCAGCTGATGTCTCCACTTGTGTTTGTGAAGCAAATATGTTTTTCACCTTTCCTCAGAAAATAATTCAAAGGATAATATAAAGATAAAATAATCTTTTCAGAAATCAAAATTACAAATTATCTGTTCCTCGTGAAATAATGTTAAAAAATAAAAATGAAACAAAAGATACTCTGTAGTTCCTAGTAGCTTGTAGTCTATTGTCAATACTTTTCAATACAATTTTCAATACAATTATGGACCTCCTATGGACCAATTTTGAGAACAAGAAAGCAGAGTTATCCCCCTTACCCCAGACTTGCTGTGCCTCTGAGCTGCCAAGCAGTCCTGATATTTCTCCATATTGTGCTCGTCCACCTCCAGAAGGTGGGCGTCTGGCTGGCAGAGGGCGTTGAAGGTGTTCTCAGGACTGCCGGTGTCCACTGCCTGGTTGATCAATGCCACTGCAGTCAGCACTGGGGACAGACGGAGCATAATGAGTCAACATACCTCAGATACACAACTACTGGTATCACAAGTTCCTAGAACTAACTTCGTATTTAATGCAGCAAGTCTGTGTGTCCCTCTCGCTCAGTCGACGAGTGAACATGGCTGTGTAATGTCATGTTGAGTGGCATACATAAATGCTGTAGAAGTCAGAAGAGGTTTTCATAATGTACAGGCATCTATTGGGCATGTACGTCCACATATTTGTTAACATTACAAACTCATCTCATTATAAAGTGTCCCCGTTTACCAGTAATTTAGGAGTAAAATTAGGCTTGCACCGGCAAATAAAGTGCCTTATTAATCTTTGTTGATAAACAAAACATAGGCGATATTCACATAAGTATATTTTGCAAACAAAGTCAGCTTGTCTGTTACCATCAGGATTTTCCCTTGTCTATATTTAGTGCAAGAAAATAACATTTTGCTTATCTTCAAAGTCAAAAACATATTTGTAGTGACTTAGTCTCGAAATATTTTACAAAATGAAGAGAAAATTGTGAATGATGTGTAGACCAGAGGAAGTTACTTCAGAAATGGCATTGAACATGATGTTGAAACATGATGTTTTTTTAATTGTTGAAAGCTGGGACTGACAAAAAATTAGGGTGGACTTGTAATTTGTAGAGTTGCCAGTCCACCAGGACGCCAGCAGGAACACTGTTCACAGGCTGCCAATGAAACCTATACATAGTCTACACGTTCAGTCACAAGCTGAAGCCTGAGATCAGAAAATAATTCTTTGGTCTATAGCAACAGTCCACATGACATTAAAATGTACTGAAAATAATGCCAATAGTCAAGTACAGACGAGGAGACTTGAAACTTTTTGGAAGAGACTGCACCAAGAACCAAGAACTATTTACATTTTCACAACAGGAAGCAGTCAACACTAGGCCATAAATGTTAATTAACAGCACTAATATTTATTTCCCGTCATGATGACCATTCTGTGAAATCGGAACATTAATCTTCCTGATAATCCCATCTCACCTGTGATAGCTGATGCAATCTCATCGTGTTCGAGGTCACCCTGCAAACACATCCATGCAGACATTTAAATAGGGAATGATGTATATCTAAAGATGCAATTAACCAGCTGGGGATATTCTGCAAATTCATATTAGCTCTATCAACAATGAAATGTTCCAATATGTTTAACGAGCAAACATCATATTATACTTCTATACACCACACTTACCCAGATATCTGCTAAAATGAGGTTTATTTGTTTCACCAGTGGATCCGTATGCATTCCAGTTATCATTCTCAACTCCCTGGGGAGTTTACAACCAAAGCTGCCCACAGGCGCCAGTGAGTTTTTACATCAACCTCATATATTGGGTACCCAATTTCTGCTGGCTGAACAGAGGCAAATTTGAACTAAGTCACTTGCCCAGGTTGACACAACATGTTTTGACACATGTTTAGTGTGTATGAACGTATTCATGTTTCCACTATCAGGCAGCCCTTCATGTCTAAAGTAACTCACATCATTCAAACGTCTGACTCATATCAGAAGTTGACTGATTCATATACAGAGCATATCTAAATTTTCAATCGCTGTGATTACTTAATCATTCAATGCCTCCATCTATCTCCTGGTTCTCATGCATGGTTCTAGAGAAACGTGTTTCTGATTCCCAACCTGTTTATCTGTCCTGATGTTCCTGAACTCATCCAGATACAACATGGCCGCCCCCGGGATGACTGGCGGCAGCTGGGCAGACGGGTTCTGTAGGGCCTTCATCAGCAGGGCAGGGTCGTTGCTATTGATGGCGGAGTTGATGGACAGGAGTGCCTGGGATTCTGGGACAGGAGATATTTATGATGAGAATCCCGTCCAAGTGAACACCACAAGCAGACACCCAACACGGATTTGTTACATCAAAATCACATCACTGCCTTTGAGTAGTAAGCAAAGTTCAGAGAGTCGATGATTGAGCCACCGATTGCTTCAGGTGATTAGCTATAACATGTGTATGCTAGCTGTACTCTGGACGGGTTACTACACATACGCATGACATGGTATGTAAGACACGTCTACACGTTTCATATTTTTAGGGGTTCTTATTTTTTTTATGAAATTATATCTAGGCTTGTTCCTGAAGAAAATACATGTGAAACAGCAACCATAGCAGTATTATCAATTTATCAGACAATTGCTTGACATTGTTGTATTGACTTTCAAGTGGCAGGGTTGGATGTCACACAGTTTTTCTTTATTGACTTTATCTGAATACCTTTGTTTCGTTTTCTACGAATACACATCAGTTTTGTTCATGTATAGAATGTACACATCAATCAGTTGTAATAAACTATACATTGTCAATTTTTTACCATTGTTGGCAGATCAGTGAGTGAGTGAGTATTGTTTTACCCTACTGTTAGCAATATTCCAGCAATATCACGGTGGGGGACACTAGAAATGGTCTTCACACATTGTACCCATGTCGGGAATCAAACCCGGGTCTTTGGCGTGACGAGCAAACACTTTAACCACTAGGCAACCCGACCTCAACCGGCAGATCAGTAAATGTATAAAGTAAAGGGGTGCTTCCTTACTCTGGTACTCGGTGTCAGCCTCAAGGTTTGCCTGGTCAATGGCGGCCTGGATCTCATCTTTGTCCAGCACAGACTCCTCCCCGTTGTTGTTGTTCTGAAACAAGGTGGCACATCAACATCACATGTGTATCGCATGGCACATCAACATCACATGGCACATCAACATCGCATGGCTCATCAACATCACATGTGTATCGCATGGCACATCAACATCACATGGCACATCAACATCACATGGCACATCAACATCACATGTGTATCGCATGGCACATCAACATCACATGGCACATCAACATCACATGTGTATCGCATGGCACATCAACATCACATGGCACATCAACATCACATGTGTATCGCATGGCACATCAACATCACATGGCACATCAACATCACATGTGTATCGCATGGCACATCAACATCACATGGCACATCAACATCGCATGGCTCATCAATATCGCATGGCACACCAACATCGCATGGCACGCCAACATCGCATAAAAACATTAATATCGCAGGCACATCAATATTACATACCAGTCACATCACTACCACATATCCTATAGCAGTATATGCCTAAGCTAACACATATTGGAGATGAAACAGCAAGTTAATGTTTTCACATACCTTCTTGAGCTCTGCAGCTTGCCGGAGTTTCTCAATGTAAAACATGATGTTTTCATCTTTGATGTTCTTGAGTCCGAGGTGGGAGGATCTGAGGGCTGCCAGCACCAGGGCAGGGTCAGACTTAAGGAGGGCTTCGTGCAGATGGCCCACAGCTGAGGATGCTGGGAAACAACAATTGTGTATCGTTTACAGCTGGAGCCGTGCCTTGTGAAGATGCACCATATCATACCAAGTACTATTGATTGTGTGACTGGTATCCGGGCAACATGATGTACTTGTCCATTTTAACCTACAGTGATTTCAAAACTGTAATAATAAACTCACACCTATTTTATGAAAGAATATGACAGCTAACAGTTTAGTCTACCATGTATTCTTAGTAATTGGGATGCAATGATATTGAATACTCATTTGTTGATATTGATAACATGCCTGATAACAGTTTCAAGAGGCATGCTAAACGATATTCTACCATGAATTTGGAATTTACTCGATTCTGATTGGTCAATCAGAGGCTATTAAATCACAATAACCCCCCTCTGATTGAAACAGCTGGTTTGACGGCCGCATCACCGCGGAAGCTAATATTCATAGAATAGTACTATTTTCAGTCATTGTCGGTAGGCATATTTAAATAATTATATCTACAATTACAGGTTACAAAATGCACAGATGCGGTTACTACAGTATTCAAAGGATGTGTGGCAATACATTTCATGCAGAAAACACGTTAGAAATCTACAAAGGGAATGTATTTACGTTTTGGAGACAACAGAAAGCTTGGAATTTTGGCGCTTTTCTGTATACGACTGTGACGTCATATCTTTTGCGTCACAATGAGCGATATGACGTCATAATGGTGACATGCGATGTAGAGCGAAAACCTTGCAAAGCTTGCCTTGTTTTCTTTAGGGATGCCCACCGCATGTTAGCTTACCAAGTTGCTGTGCTTATATGCTTTCAATGCCTGTCATATGTTCGAGTGAAGTATTACGGTGTCAACAAACTGCTTGAGTATATACAGCGCCATATTTTGTTCGGTGATTCCGTAATTCAGATCGATAACCCACTCAAAACACTGGATTCATCCCTTGCCGCTTCACTCAGTATGTTTGCTAAAACCAAAGAGTTCGCGTTTTATTTAGTCATGGTAGAATGGAGATAAACATACTGTGTTTTCAATGTAGAGCTAGGTTACCTGTAGATTTAACCCCACTAAATTTAACATTTGAAACCTCACGCTGCGCGTTCGGTTCCAAATTCAATTTAGCGGGGTTAAATCTACAGGTAACCTAGCTCTACATTGAAAACACAGTATGTTTATCTCCTAAATAAGATGATATTTACTGATAGTCAACTACTTTAATGTTTGGGTTATTTAATACTTTGCTTGAAGTGACATTTATCATCTAAAACTGGCTCCCACAGGAGATATCGCTTGGGTGAGATCTACACTGTAGATATCGCTGCAATGAAATTGCATCACAATGCTTTGCAGACCATTGTGACATCACTGGTTACCATGATGTCACAATCAAATGACATTACTAATGGCTCTGCTACTGAAGCTGTTGGCAGTACTTTTTACACTTAAGACACTGCTTATTACGGTCTACAAACTGAAAAAGTTGGAAGAATGATGTTGGATGATAAATAAAATCTCACCCTCGTGTCATTTGATATCAAATATATCAACACTCGTTGATAAAAGTGGAAAAAATCCTTGGCAAGCCTCGGAGTTTTCCCACTTTTATCAACTCGTGATGATATATTTGATATAAAAAGACACGAGGGTGAAATTTTCTATATGTGGGTCATTCAGAACAGTTCATTTATTCATTTTAGATTACAATCAGCGTTACCTCCTTCAACTATCTAACAACTTCAGCAATATGCTGAAGCAAGGAATGGTGGACTTATTTGGCCTTGACATCACATTCCAATAATGCTACAACATTTACATTTCGATCTGTAAAGGTAATACTATTGTAATAGCAACACAATGACTTGCAAATGTTTGCATTAATACTGAATATTGCAATATAGCCTAGTTCCCAGGCCCTAGAGAATAAAGTAAGATTGAATCCAACTCAAGTCTAGAATGATTTGGCAAGTCTAGATTGCCTCAGCTCTGGCTCTGAAATTCAGCAATGTTCTGGTCTCCATTTGGATTTTATTTTCTATTTTCATACATTCTTAAAAAAGAAAACTTTATTTAGGTGACTAAATGTTTATCTATTTGTAAAACTACCACAATACTTAAATGACCAGAGTACCCTCCCCTGATAGGAGACCGGTATGACTGTTCACTCACTGTTGATAGTGTTAATGTTTCCTTGGATCTCTGCGTGTGTCAGTAGTTCGTCGTACACGTCATGCTCAAATTGTCGCTCAGTGTCCATGCTCTGAAATGTTTCATACATCATTTAATACATTCCACAAAACAAAGTTTCATGACCATTATTAGCAATTCTTTAAAGAACTAATCATCAGCAATAGTAGAATGATGTAAAAAAAACTAGTCTATAATAAAAAATAAGTGTTAATGATAATAAAGTGCTGAGCTGAGCGCAAGGCAGGTTAACAACAAGTGCCATGTTCGAATGTCTTTTGGTACGATGTGACCAGGTATCGAACCACTGACCTGCTCTCAGGGCAGTCGCTCTATCCACCAGATCATGGGGTGTTAAGGCATTGCCTCAGTTTCACAAGGCAATGATTACAAGATCTAGGTCTGGACAGGACAAATGGGCAACAGAAAGTGGAACAGAATCTCTCAAAGTCACATCTGACCCACAACTTGTCAAGGGACAAGCCACCATGTAACCCTTCATGTCAGACAGGTGTCGAGAAACCACTGGCCCCACAACCCTCCCTGACAGATCTAGATAGGTGTCTAGGGACTTGTGGTTATACAAGCCTACATGTCAGACAGGTGTCGAGGAACCACTGGCCCCACAACCCTCCCTGACAGACAGGTGTCTAGGGACTTTTGGTTATACAAGCCTTCATGTCAGACAGGTGTCTAGGGACTTGTGGTTATACAAGCCTTCATGTCAGACAGGTGTCTAGGGACTTGTGGTTATACAACCCTCCCTGACAGACAGGTGTCTAGGGACTTTTGGTTATACAAGCCTTCATGTCAGACAGGTGTCTAGGGACTTTTGGTTATACAAGCCTTCATGTAAGACAGGTGTCTAGGGACTTTTGGTTATACAAGCCTTCATGTCAGACAGGTGTCTAGGGACTTGTGGTTATACAAGCCTACATGTCAAACAGAAGTTCTGTAGGTCTAAGGTACCCTGTTCCTGGAGTTCTCCATCTTGGTCTGCTTGGCATCGTACAGTAACTGCTGATAGCTGTCCATGCTGGCAGTGTCCAGGCTGACCAACATGGCGGAGGGGTTCTGCAGGGCCGACATTGTATCTGGGGCATTCTGTTTGTCAATGGCTTCATTGATGGCAATGATGGCAGCGTGCACTGGAAAAACAAACACAACTTTGTGAACAAAGTTTACTTATGCTGAATTTCTCATATCAAATGTAACATGATCCTTTAAGGTAAACACTCAAAAAATATATTTTTTATAAAAGTTGAACTAGAATCTAATCCGCATATTGCAACTTGAATGGCTTACACAGTGTGTTGATTCAAAGCAAGGTATCCACACCAATACAAATCAAGACATAATTTGATCTATAGCGTATTCGACGTAATAAACGCCCAGGGCGCTCTCAAAATTAGAAATAAGGGGTTCTTTTTAGAATATAATTTTGGTGATAAAAAAAACAGAGTTGAAAAATTATAAATTTTGTGGTTTATGCTGACAGCCTGAATGATATAAAAGAAGTATCTGTGCGTATTATACACGATAGATATATTTTCGAGAATTTAATTACCCATAAGGGTGCGTATCATACACCAATAAATAAGTCTTGTGTACATTGATCAATCGGAAGGGGTGACTAATTGGGATTGTTCACTAGCCAATATATTAGTAAATATCGCCGTCGGCTCTTATTAGAGTGGGGTGTTATTATGTCGAATACGGTAAGTACTATTTGAACAGTTGGTCCAGGTTTTTAGCATGAATTTATTAGCGTATTCTGTCAATAAATTGTGGGGTTTGTTGGTTTGCTGGGATATTAAATTTCCATGTCATGGCTGCCAGGAAATAGTTTACTGGTCCTTACAGTAATCATTATTTTAAGGTCATTGATGACTTTTCAACGTTTTTAGTAAATTAGTTTTGAATTTCCTGCCTTAAAAACTATATATACCACAGCATGTCATTATGATGTTGGAGTGAGCATAGTTTTACGCCGCTTTTAGCAATATTCCAGCAATATCAAAACAGGGGAAACCAGAAATGGGCTTCACACAATGTACCTATGTGGGAAATTGAACCCGGGTCATCGGTGTGACGAGCAAACACTTTAACCACTAGGCTAGGAAACCCTGACTAGTGTCTAGGAAGTACAGCATAGGTGAGGTTCTGGCAAGCCAAGGCTCATAATCAATGTGACTGAGATTCGAACCCAGTGTTCACAGGATCATGGAATACCCAAGGGACACAACTCTACACAAACAAATTGCAGCACCTGTTCTGCTGGCCCACACACTCCATCCCTGGTTACAGATAACTCCCGACATGTCATTGTTTCCAGGACAAACACATCCTTTATCAGCTCATCTGCTCATCAGCCCGAATCAGCAGCTGATGTCAGGGATGTTTAATTGATCCTCGCCTGAGCCTCTCTCCTTCACCTTATCTCCTTGCATGCTTCTGGTCATTACAGCTACCGTATTCACCATAACAACCATAGAATACTGACAAAGGGTGGCACTTATTAAAACAAACACAACTTAAATTTGTCGTCAGTGATCAAGCAGCAGAGGACAGAATCAGTTCAAACATTCATGGAATTGAAACGTTTTTGATAATGGTTCCACGGCAGTTACATACTAATTCTTCCTTGCTGGTCCTGTATAGAATCTGTACCATGAACAGGGAGATCAGCGTTAGAAATTGGCACTTGGCCTATAGTCCTTGCCAAACTGCCCAATAGTTAAGTTATCATAAGGACTTGTAGTGTGTGTGATTGAGTGAGGTGGGTTTAACGCCCCTTTTAACATTATTCAAGTTATATCACGGCGTGTCAGCTTAATGTGGGAGGAAAGCCCACAGTGATGCAGGTCTCATACGTTTGCCACTTCGGTGAAACCCACAAGCACAGGTATGGTGCTGACAAACCTAGAAACATAATCGGGACGAACTGAGATTCGAACCCACAATCGTAGGTTTCTGGCGTGCCCAGGGGACACAACTCTGCACAGTGAATCCCGCCGCCTTAGACGATTGGGCCACTGGTGCCCTCCATAAAGACTAGTAGAAAATTGCATTGTTTAAGGATTTTGCTATATGTAATCATCATAAGGACTAGTGGACAAAAAGTGTTAGTTTCTATCGCTGGGAATACAGACTGTCCTGTCAATTTACCAGGCACTTATTGCTTATTTTACAGATTTTCCACAGACTAGTCTAGAAGTTGGTCAGAGGCTTAATACGGTGAATACAGCATAGTGCATCACACCTCATATCTCCCTCTATCCATCACAGACCTCCAGTATGTCCGATTGAAAGAAATAGCTGGACCCTGTTGCTAGACAACGGGATCTTACATCCACATCAAAATTGCTTTAGTATCTTCAACAAAAAAAACACATAGAGTTTCAATAACATACTTAAAAACATCAAAAAAGAAAAACGTGTTATTCACCTATAACACCATTACAAAGCATTAGATTCTTTAGGATTCTGAATCAATACCCCTTCTGAATCCAATCTGCCAAATCACTTTATTCCATCAATTGAAATAACCAAAACGTGAAAACATACATCTCTGTCAACTTGATACTTCTGATTATACACACGCTTCAATAACTGTCAGAAAATGACAGGGTTTCAAAGATAAAAATTTAGTGTGTCATTATTGTGATGCACGAAAACCCATCATTGATGCGATTGCAGAGGCAGCCAGCCGCTGGCAAATGTCGTGTAATTGAACTCAGTGGCGTAATGCAGCAGGTAATGGATTAGCTATTTGTTAGAGGATGCCTGCATCGGGACGAGTCGACCAATTTGGCAGTGCTCGCCTGATAGTTCCTCTAATCTTGTTAACATCATGGGGAAAAACTATCAACACAAGGCCTAACGAACAGGCTTGATAGTTCTGCTGACATTTCTGTCCAGCGTGCAGCTTAATTATTGATTCGTATGCACAGACATGAACACTGTAAAATGGGCGTCAATGATAAACAAATTATGTATATGTACTCCAGACCCATGACAGTCTACTGTAGCATAATTGATTCCCATGTGTTAAAGGGGTTAGTCGGGAATTGCTTCCATTGTCAGTAATTGCTGATTCAGCCCAACAATGTGCTACAACTACGATACATGATGACAGTGACTGACAGACATGTTCCATATGGATCATACACTTCTGTCTTGTAAACACACTGCTTATCAATGGGAATCCCTTGAAAAACAGGATCAATCATTACTTGTTTGCATAACATAAAGAACAGGACCCTGGCCAATACTGCTCCTACATCATGGTCCCGATCCAACATTCATAGAGCTGCCATTTGAAGGAGTCTGACGAGGATACTCTCAGTAAGTGGCAATATATGTAGCACATTTCACATGACAGAGAAAGTGGCATAAACTTTCCACCCCAAATGGGATAAATAGATTGTATGGAAATGCCATTTAAAAGCCACAAAATTCCACAAGAAAAAATATCTACATGAAAAAAAACTTTAAAAATTTACTAGTGCTATGATAGTATTAAGTCACAACATTTCTAAAATTCAAATCCCCACAGAATATAGTATTCAAATAACTTAATTTACAATTCAGAGCGATTATCTACATATAATTCAGATTAATGTAGTCCCTATTAACTCTCTAAAGAGCTCCACCATCCAGTTAGTGACACGCCATCACTCTCTCATGGTCTCTCATGGCCAGTATAGTTGTCCTGTGTTCCTGTCCCCCGGGGCTCTGGCACCTCGGTGGACCCGCCAGTGTGCTCCCCGGCAGGGCTGTCACTTCCATCAGAACCCACATCTTCAAGTGCATGTATTGATTCCTCATTCCCAGGCGCCTCGTGTGATTCAACTGGCATTGCCAGGATTGTCATAGACAAGTTTGTATTTTTTCCAAGTGAAATTGTCCTGTTACTTAGCTGGGAGATAAGTGCTTCCCTCTTCCACGTGAGGGACTGGTGAATAGTGCTTAAACCTGCAGCAGCAATTCTACCACTGCTTGCAACAAATCCTTGGTCCAAACTTTAAGAGTGAAACATAACATTGCTTTCTCCGAACCGATGGCTCCATGCGCTGGCATGCTAAGTATGGATCATTATTAAATGCCCATCAAACAGTACTTATGATATAAGATGGCTACGCCATAAATAAAAAAAACCAATGAAGTACAAAGTGTGGTTTATCTGATGATAAAACATTGTTCTGTCATGACGTCATTTCTGGAGATTTGAACAAGCCCTTCGAACTTCATGACGTAGTATACTGGACGACATGATTTTTGAGAGGGAAGTGTCTTATGAATTGTAGCTGAAGAAGCTGAGAAACGCAGATAAACGCAGTGGCCGAACAATCGCATCCAAAAGTAGGAGATATGACCATCGGTGTTGGGAGAAAAGGTTCAGATAACCGACGTGAGGATTTTGAGAATATGCAGGAAATACCCAACTTAACCCCCATGTTCATAAAATGGAGTTGACCGACATTTCCTAGGTCGGATTGTATTCAGGGAGTCGTCATTATTAAAATACGGGTAATCATTCTAAAAGTTTGTACATTTTACTAACATCCTTAAAGATGCAGTACAAACTGTTGATATCGCATATAAGAAATAAACAACTCGTGGTCGTTGTTTATCGTACAACAAAACAGTGCAGGGAGAAACACTATGGGGCTGCACCTCTCAAGCTTTATTCTCCAAGCAGTGTTTTATCATACGATAAACAACTCTCGCTTGTCATTTCTTTTCTTAAATAAACACAGTGTTTACAGGTGTATATTTCTCTGTTGACTTCATTCAGTCCTATAATCAAACCTCAGAATGCCCCCCACACAGCTGTCTTTCCTCCTCTGTTTAGTGTAGCTGTGTCTGAAGGAAGCCGAGCTGTTTTAAACATGACTAAAGTCACATACTACTACATACAGAATCTAATAGTCAGCAAACTAGTGTTGCAAAAACAGGCCTTCTAAAAGCCAAACGGGACCAACAGAGCCTATGAATATATCCAGTACTTCTTCCTGAGGTTTGTTATAGAATGACATAAATAAAAAGACGAAAAAGAATATCAATTAAGTACTTCATTGAAGGCACTGATTTTTAAAATAATATGACGTCAGTCTGTAATAATCGTGTCTGGACCAGACAATCC